GTACTAGGATTACCTAGATTAGAGTAACTAGTGGCTATATTAGTAGTAGAGGTAGTAGTAGTAGTAGCCCTAGCTACTCTCTTCTCTAACTTAGAGCGCGCCTTCGTGCCACCGTAATAGGTAGGCTTCTTAGCTGGTGTGGCCGGGGAGGAGGCGATACCTTTAGAGCGAGTCTTATAAGAGGAGGAGGTAGGCTTAGAGATAGGACTAGTATTAGACATCTATATATATACGTTAGCTAGAGATCTAAGGAAGGAATATTCGTCTACCCTTAACGGCGATTAATAAAGCTAAATCAGTAACCGTAATAACGCGAATAGGTTATATAGGACCGGTTCTAATAAGAATAGACTACTATAGACCCTTCTAAACCTAAACTAGGGAAGATAGTATATAAATTAATAACTTACCTTAAGAGCGAAGTAGATATACTAGAGAATAAAATTAAAGGCGAGCGAAGCTAAATATATACTTGACTAAAGTAGCGATTACGTGTCCTAGGTAGTAGCTATAAAGTAAGGGATAAGCGCGTGTATAAACTAATAAAAGTGAACTAGAATCTTAAGTTCACCTATATTAAGGATAGTTATAACGTTATAGAAACTTAGTTATAGATGTATAGGTACACGATAGATTATAGAGACTTAGAATTATATATACTTAAGTACTTTAGGGCGAAGTATAAAAAGAAGAAGGATATTATTAGGACGGGAACCATAATAGATCTATATAGACTATTCTAATCTATATAGCCACGTAGTGGCCAGAGCTAGGTTAAGTTAGCTAAGTTAAGCAAGGTCACTATATAAGTGGACTATATAAACCAATTCCTACTCGTTAGGAATTAACCTCGTATAAGAGTGAGATTACTCTATAAATACATTCCTATGTCTCTCTATAAACTGTTAGACTACTATCCTACGTCTTTACTCTTTACACTACTATAAGGTAGATAAGACTATCTTAGAGCTATAGGCTAATAATATTATTAATAGTATTTAAGGTGTAACTAAGGATAAGCCGTTAATAGACTTATTCTATAAGATTATCGCTCGACCGTGCCTAAGGAAGTCTCGAACTAGTAGTAGAACTAGTACCTCGTTAACCGCCGTTAACGGAAGTACTACTTCTATACTCGAGCGCCTTAAAATAAAGAGATTACGATATAAGGAGGCTAAGTTAGATTATAAGGAGCGGAATACGAGGCTTTAAGATAAGTAGATAAGATAGATAATAATTAAGCGTAAGGAGGCGGCGGTAAGATATTATTAAGATAATAAAGATAAGCTCGTATATACTTAACTACTTCGTTAGATAGAATTATAGTATTATAGATTTAATCCTATAATACCTATATAGATACCTACGTTTCCTTAACCTTAACCTTAACCTCGTCCTCTATCTACTTATAGTTTAAATTATTCGCTAACTCGTAAGACTCGTTATAAAATACCCCCTTAGACACGAGTTATAGAAACCTTTAGTAGTCTAGTATAACTAGGGCGTTACTAGGCGGATATAGTACTATTAGCTCTTAAATAGCGTAAGGAGATAGAGACTTACGATAAGACGAGGGCTAGAATACACGAATTAAGACTATATATAGATAATAACTACTATACTTACCGCTATATTAAGGAGATAACTTAGTCTAGAACTACTTATTATAAAGCCGCGAAGATAGTAGGTATTCTACTTAGTATCCTACTAGACGCACGTCTATACCTTTATAAGTATAAGAAGTAACTTAAGATAAGTAAGGCGGCGTCCTTGCTCTAGGCGTTTACTATAACTAGTATAACTAGTATTTAGATAGGGATAGTATAGTATTTCTTAGAGTGTATTTAGGAGTATATATTTATATATTAAGGCTATATACTCGACGAATAGTACCTAAAACGGATATATATATAGACTATTACTAGCTAGCTAAGCGACTTACTTATCGGCGAGTTAGTAACGAGTAAGTTACTTAATAAGTTTATAAAAAAGTCTCCTAATCTCCTTAACTTTAGTAACCTCTCTACTATCTCTACCTTATCTAAACCTCTCTAAATTAGCGACTACCTTCTACCGGAGCATCTTATTAATATAGTACCTATCTATAGTATATTTAAAGAAGCGTAGAGCCTACTAATTAGTATAGCTATATATAAATACGATATAGAGAAAGTCCTTAAAAGTTTAAGATTACTAATATATCTAGATATACTACCTACGAATCTATACCTTTATTACCGCCTATATAAGCTTAATAGAATTAAAGTTAGGTAAGTACGGTAGTATATACTATATAATATAGCTAGCGCTAAGTATAAGTAGCTTAATCTATTAGTTCGTATAAAGTACGAGATTATCTATAATAATTATTATTATATACCCGGGGTATTTTACCTCGAGAGTAGGTAATAGGTATACTTATAGCTAGGTATAGAACTTATCCGTTAAGAAATAACCTTCCTTTATCTAATAGTAGATAAAACTATTAGCCGTAATAGCTCTATATACGCTATATATAGATCCTTAATTAAGAGTACTAATCTTAGTTAGAGTCTATCCTTTTAGTACTCTAGCTCGACGCCTCTATCTAATTTTCTTATTAAAAATAACCTTATCTAAGAAGATATATAAGTCTACTAGTAGCTCCGTAATATCCTTAAGGTATAAAGTACGCGCTATCTCTAAGCACGTACTACTAATATATTTTAATAGCTTATAATTCTACCCTCGCTTGGATAACTCTTTAGATAGAAGCTATTTAGATATAGTAAGATTAAACTCTTCGTATATCTATCTAGCTATCTTATTAAGGTATAGCTAGCCCTTACAAAGTAGTCTCTTAAGTAGTTATTATATTATATAATTACTTAGTTAACGAGGTGGACCATAACGCGTTAACTACGGTTTATTTCTCTATCCGTACGTCTTAAGGTTAAACCTCGTCCTATATACTATATTCTTACTAACTTTAGTAATAGCGATAATCTTATTAATAGGTATATCGTGTTATAGGAGGAAGTCGATTTATCTATATACGGAATCAGGATAGATAACGCCCTAGGGTACTATATATACACACGTTAGTAAGTTAAAAATACTAAATATTATATATACTAACTCTTATATACTATATTATATAGTTATAGACTCTATATACGTGTGGTGCGGCGATAATGCCGTAAAATGTTAATTACATATAAAAACGCGTGTTGGTGGCACAGACGTGCATCGGGCGCCAAGCTTTCCCATGTAACTATGGACAAACGGATTGAGACCTGAGAGGACGATTAATATATCACGACTGACCAGACGTCTTTGATGCAATGGTAATGGTAGTGAAGTGTCACAGCCATTCCGCCTCTGGGACCTCCTAGACCCTGACATATACATGCCCCAGATCAAGCCCACCTGTACAAAGCCATATGCCTACCCATCCATCATGAACGCATATGAAACATCATTCAAGCCCAGACCCACATGCTAACCAACGATACAAGGCAAAGGTCTATGATTGACACAGATTGTAGTACAGTACTACGTAGTAATTCCCAACGACCCATCCAATCATATCGCAGACGAAACTAAACATTTTCTTGATTATCTCAACAACACCACTAACCTTTTCACATGCCCCTGCTCCTGCTCTTATCCCCACATCATATGTCCCCGGTGCAGATCCCGGCGGGCGCCACCTCCACATCCAAACTTTCGAAAAGCTGGGGAAACTTCACAGTATTATCCTCCCATGTCGGTCCGACCGGCAGGATGCAGGCCCTTTCTCTCGCGAACGTATGTATCGTAGTATGGTAGCTAAATATGGCGAGGAAAATCAACTCATCGCACGACGAGACAACGACTTAGGGCACTTTGTACTCGTTCTCGTGCTACACCCATGTGTCTCTAAATGATCTTCAGACCTGCAGCTAGCCATATGTGTCAAAGGCCGTTGTCATCTTTCACAAAGCTGGACGGTTTCTAAGGGGGCTTAGATCTGTCTGCTGGTGGAGAACGCAGTCCCACTCACTTCTAGTACTAATCCATAACAGAAGTCTAATAGTTACCAGCTCCTCCTGCGTCACAGCCACAGCCACAGACACCTCATACAGATGACGCAGGGAGGGTCGCAGGGTAGGGGAGTCGGATGCGATACCCTATGTCTATGTGTGTGGCGTCTGTCTCTGGGTATCTCACGTCCAATACTAACTACACCACCAGTACCTACCACTCCTAATCCCCATCCACATCATCGGATGAAGGCACAGGGTCCGCGCCAAGTGTTTATGGCTGCGCAAAATGCCAAGTACCTACTAGATAGTGGCTGGGTAATTTTGCGTGCATGTAGATGTGGATGCAATCACCGAATGCATGCACGTAGATATTGAATCTCTTTCAAGAGATGCCAAGTGCACAAGACAATCTTCACTTTCCTACCCTTCCCATACAGCCCATACCCACCAAGCCCATGAATGAATGAATTAGACTTCAGAAGGGGAAGGAGGAGGGAGCTGGGGGTAGTACAAACAAGAAACCGACATAATTATATATGAAAAGGAAGCCGCGAATCGAACAAAGAACACATCTATCTGTTGTCTTCAGATCAAGATCGATCTTCTCTAGGCGAAAGGATTAAAACAAATGCATGCTTGTGATACTGTATCTTGTGCTTTTTTCACATGGAGTGGCGACGACTAGCGTGCGGCCTCGGTACGTTCAGGGATTGCGTATTTTGAAGCACGCCTGGGGTAGTGGTGGGGCTGTGGACGGGGTGTGTGTGGAGGACATCGACGATTAGACAGGGGCCGTTATTCAGGCTATGCACAGTAGTGTTTTGATGAGGCGTCTAGAGCGATTGCGTCTGGGAAAGACTGGAGACTCAAAGCAGAGCTGTGTGGAGGAGGGTGGAGGAGAATGTAATCATGATGTTGATGAAGATTACACTCACCCTGTGAGTGGACGAAACTTGACAACACTGTGCGTTTAAGAATGCTCATTAGAAAAATGCTTCGTTTTGTTTACATGCAGCGCTAAACGATCATACAATGTTTCCCAGTCCGCCAGCCCCCACCCAATGCCTAAACAGACCGTGTCTAAACAGTATGCCCGTATATGCGCCCCTCATGAATCATGCCAAATGGTACTGCAACTTCAAAAAGATAAAATGTCTAAACTCCATTTTCACCGTTCTGGCTGCGGATGTAGCCAGGGTAAGCCTTCAGTTGATCCTCATTGATCTTGTATAGGCTTGGGCAGCCAAGGGACAGAATGGCCCGTCCAGCATCGCCAGTCAGCGTGGTGAGAAGCGAGGTGAGCAAGTCGGGCTCGCCCTGTTGCACGAACTGGAAGGCGAAGCAGAAGAGGTTGTTGCCTTGAAGCAGAGTTTTGGCGTTGAAGACGCCACCGGTGAGGTTTTCAATGTCAACACCAGTGAATGAGTTGGGTGTACCAGTGTTGCCACCGATATCAAGGAACTTTGGGTACACAGAGGCCTCCTGAATCAGGTCTAGGATGAAGAAGGGGATGGTGTATTCGGCACCGATGGCACGTTTGTACCAGTTGTCTGGGATAGTTTCGTAGCCAGCACCGCCGGTCCAGCTGCCTTGGTTGTCTTGAGACATACCAAAAAAGGCCTTGAGAGTTTCGCGGTTCAACACACCGTCAGGGTGCTCTGCAGACTTGTTGCCCATGAAGCGATAGATGAACGTATATGCCGCTGGTTGCACGGCGACTCCAGAGAATGGACCGTTGAAGAAGTAAGGGTTTTGAGCCTTGGACTCGTCGAATCGCTTGCTGCGGAACTCCTGAAGAACTTTCAAGTTGTAGTTGGCGTCTGCGTCAGACACACCTGCTTGAGTGTCGTAGAGAGCTTGCCACTGCTCCCGACGGACCGTCCAGTTATCACCATACTGGTACAGATCAGGTCGCGTAGGGCTAGCATCGCCTTCATATTTGTTGTGGCTGCCGGTAAGACCAGTTCCACCTGGTGCTGCAGCGGAGAGTCCTCCAATGGACCATTTGGTCAAGGGGCCATCTAGGACACCTCCGAGAATGGCGAGGAAACCGCCGAGATCCTTACCCATGCCAAACACGGTGTAGGTTCCATCGATGAATTGCTGAAGGCTTGCCACGCCATCTGTTGCAAAACGTTGTTAGCACGCATTCTATAAAATAAGTCAAGAAGTACCGTACTATGTGGGATGTAACCGTGGTTTGCCATGGCGTTCAAACCGGGGCAAGGTCCACGAGCGTCGCTGGGGCCTGGAGCAACGTAGGCGTATTTGCCTTGATTGCTAACGTATTGCTTCGCAGCGTCGAAACCGATAGCCAGGGATGGGTCAGGGACATTGTTGCCCGAGACGCCTTGGATAGCCCTGATGGCATTCTCGATGTCGGCGGCGTGTAGCTCACTTGCAGGAGTGCTGCGAGCAACAGTTTCTCCGTCTTGAACCTTTGGAAGTTGGTCAAGGTGGGCAAGGCTGGGGAAGGCGAGAGCAGACTGTGCAAACAGCACAGCTGCGACGGCAGAGGTCTTGGAAAGCATATCGATGCTGATATGCAAGAGTCGTCGCGTGTTGATTAAATATTGAAGGATCGACACTGATCATGAATACAGACATGGTGCGAGCCCCTATATATACTTGTTATGATGCCTGGTGCACACCACTGCCGTTCTATGAGCTTTAGACTCCGTAAGTCGCGCCGGCCAATGTCAAGAACGATGCATTAGCCGATCCCAGGCCCATGTCCTTGGCCGAGTGATGTTGTTCTTAGCGTGCTGGGAGATTAGCATATCATGCTATTGATCGTCTGCTATTCGCTGGCCGTTGGCTCTGCAAAAGGAAGTACAGTACCATACTATGTCAACAGTACGTTTAAACTGTGTGGGACTTCTGGAGGCGCATCATTCCTAGTGCTTAGCGTGATCTTGACTTTGCTCTTAGCTCTTTGGAGGCGAAGGGATCCATCCCGTTAGTCTCGAGCTAAATACGTTTTGTCCCCGGTGAAAGAGGACCGCTGCTGTAGATCTACGCCACGAGTGTGAAACTTTGCCCAAATAGGGCAACAGACATTTCCAATCGCGGGGTTTAGCGTTGACGATGAAAGGCTGGAGAACCTCTCAGGGCGTCTCTTGTCAGAAGCCAGCAAACAGGCCGAGGGCTGACGTCGTCGCTTGCTGTGATGCTCAATGTTGGGGAATACCACCCGCGCTTCTCATCAGGGTGCGGGTGGCAGACATCGTATTCTCGCTGGGCGAACATGGCAATCCCATTCATGGCTTTTCCACCACTCTTTGACGTCAAGCTGCCTGAACAAACGAGTCGCATCGACCATCGTAAGACGGCCAAGCATTTCAAGGAGGTCCATTTTCATTCCTGTGCTACCAGTAGTCGGTCGTGCTGCGGTCATCTGTACAGACAGACGTGCCTTCAGAAGTAAGCGTCGATTATGGTCTTGGATTACGGTCTTGGATTACGATTCGCAGTCTGCATCTACGCATGTCGGACGCCACGTGCGTATCGCCTCTCAGGCTTGTGGGGTTTTACCAATCCGCCTTCACATCAGCTTCTTTGACTTGCATCTTCGATTGCGGCCCGCTATTTCTTCGACGTATCGATAGGCCATATAGTTTTGGATGTGGCGCTGCCTCTCGAAACCACTCAGAGTCTTAGGTACTCTGCAGCTGACGGAACTCCCCAGTAGTTTTGTGGTCATAGTCACTTTCCTGCGAATGTAAAACCCTGAAACAGGAGATTGGGAACCAATCACGGCATTGTTATTGCGAATTCCTGCTTGCGTAATCGTCGTCTCGGACTGACTGCCTTGAGGACAAAGTAAACATGGCGTTGGTGCGTCGCTAATTGTAAGTATGCATTAGAGACGCTGTTCATGTGTAGCAGTAAAGCTTGCCATAGCCTGTCTGACACCAGACACTCCAGCTAGGTATCTCCACTTCGTAGCTTCTCAGAAAACCCTCAAGCGCTCTCTCCATTGACCAAGACCGTACCTCAAGATCCCACGAGGTACCGCAGATGGCCGCCACTCGAATCAAAACATGATCTCAACAATGCGGGTGGCGCAAGAAAAACGTCTTCTAATGATATGTTCGGATGTTGCCGTGACTGCGAAGACCTTCCGATTGCTCCAAGATGCAGGTTGTAACGCGCCCTTTCTTTCATTGTCGGTTGTCACTCCTAGTCAGATGTGGTATCTACCGTAACTACGTATTAGTGCTGCGAGTGAATGTATGGAGTCTAGAACTTCTCCCACGAGCACTAGTCCTGCCAGTGCGGAGTAGACGTCTGTTTTCACGAGTTAATGTAACAGTGACTATATAGCGTGGGACAACAGTGGAACGCACTTATAAGCATCTATAAGCTGTTAGTAGAGTTCATTACAGAGCGGCTGTCTCCGTCCACTCACACCAAAATTACTCTTAAGGCGTATAATTAGCTCCACGTAACTCTACTCACTATAATCGTCTAAGATACACCATGAAAAAACGACACTCGGCAGCTTGAGGGTTTCCTCCATAGCCTCGTATGGAAAGAGCCTGGGCCTGGGCCTGAGTCTCCATTTACGCGAGTGGAACAAACCTAGGCTGCTATGTATGCATTATTCTCATTACGTGTTGCTACGTTTGGTGACTGTTGACGAAAGACGCCTTCTTTCGAGAGGCCTGTCTAACACACACATACCTAACGAAAATGTTCCCCTCATATACGCTCTCAATATTGCTTCTGGAGTGTCTAATCTGAGAGCTACTACCGATGAGCATGTGCCATCACATCAGCACATGGTTCGGATGAGATTGATCAATATCCGTTCCCATGACTCAAATGGATATCGATCTGATGAGGCTCCGTCTGGCTTGCAGGCGAGAGAAGTTTGACTTTCTGGTACATTCTGATACCAGACAAACGGCCAATATGATTCATGGATCGACATACAGTCCGATCTTTTGTTAGAGAGCCTGTAAACACTGAATCATTGTCCTCATTACGGTTTTTCGAAGAGCGGTGCGATGGCTGCGTAGAAACGAAGACTGACTACACTGATGCAGAAGTCCTTACCTGAGACCATGTCTATGAGTCAGTATGAACACAATATCGCAAGCACAATTGGTAATAGGACTGTGGTACCGAGTGATGGCGAACAATCATCTAGAAGACGTCGAGAAAGACGCAAGCAGCTTCTGTGGCTGGGGTAAACGGCGGCTACTCTTTATGGCGCTGTGGCTGCTGTGGCTGATGATTCTGCTTCCGGCTTAGTGCGGCTGACTAGTTCACCGACCGAAAACCACAAACGTTCTCGTCGACGTGTGAGTTGTCGATCTGTTTCTTTCTTTTCTTCTTCTTTACACTCGTCCTCTTCGCTCCCACGCGTGTCTCTTCTCAATTCCTTCCGCTCCGGCACTAGAGCCTCCGCTTCCGTCTACAAAGTAACTTGCTCCGTCAGCATCCCAGCCAACAAGCTCGGACGCGCTGTGTATCGCCTGTCGCTACGCTCTCACCGCTGTACTACCACAACACAAGTTACCAAGACTACGACTTCAACACAACCCTTTACAGCGTACTTTACACACCTCCTCGGATTCTCCACTGTGACTTTAGCTAGTCATGGCAGTTCCCACTCAGGTTGCTTGTAAGGTTCCCTTATGAACCCGCGAATGTCTGCTCAACGATTTTTAGATCGTACCTCTAAAGGCATCGGAGTTCTCAACGCCGCACCAGTTTACGAAAGTTTACCGGGTTTTGTGAGGTATCTTCACACACTACATGCCTGTACGGCCTGGTAGATCCTAACTCTGTCCGTAGGCCGGAAGGCAATCTCAGATGTTGCACGTACTCCCCCGATGGTAGATTCTTTGCTTGGGCGTCACCTGAACAGTATGTTCCCTCATTTTCCCGAGATCTGGAAAGACATGTCTGACTCGTACGGTGTAGAGTTTCAGTCGTTGACGCATCGCTTGGACACATCGTCACTACACTTCCCGCGCAGAATGTATTCGAGCTCGGATTCTCGCCCAAGGGTACATTCATAATAACTTGGCAACGACCTGGTAAAGATGAGGATGGAAACGCAATCAAGAATCTCACAGTATGGCAAACCGTGGATCCCAATGCCGGTTCCGAGGGCCAGCGAGATTCGGTGGGAAAGTTTGTGCAACGATCTCAGACCGGTTGGAATCTTCAGTACACTCCTGACGAGAAAATATGTGCTCGCACTGTCACAAATGAGGTCCAATTCTATCAAAGTGGAGATCTAGGCACTGTCTGGAATAAGCTGCGCGTGGAAGGACTCACAGATTTTGCGCTATCCCCGGGCAAGAGCCATTCAGTTGCTGTTTTTGTTCCGGAGCGCAAGGGATCCCCTGCAGCCGTGAAAGTGTTCAACGTGCCTCAATTTGTTACGCCAGTCTCGCAGAAGACATTCTTTAAGGGAGACAAGGTCCAATTCAAGTGGAACGATCCAGGCACAAGTCTTATTGTTGTCGCACAAACTGAGGTAGACAAGTCTAACAAAAGCTACTACGGAGAAAGCAACATGTACATCCTCAGTGCCAATGGGGCATTCGACTCTCGAATTACACTGGGTAGGTTCACGAAACCAACACACTGAGCTGAAGTCGCTAATCGTGTGCTACAGACAAAGAGGGCCCCATTCATGATGTAACATGGTCACCAAACGGGAAAGAATTTGGTGTTATATATGGATTCATGCCTGCGAAGACGACCATATTCAATTCACGAGCGGTCGCACAGCATCATTTCAACCTCGGACCTCGCAATACCATCTTGTTTTCGCCTCATGGGCGATTTGTCATCGTGGCCGGATTCGGAAATCTGGCTGGACAGATGGACATATATGACCTGGAGAAGGATTATGCCAAGATCACGACGATTGAGGGAAGCAACGCTAGCGTGTGTGAGTGGAGCCCAGATGGGAAACATATCTTGACTGCTACTACGAGCCCTCGTCTACGCGTGGACAATGGGATCAGAATGTACCACGTCAGTGGCGCATTGATGTATAATGAGGATATGCACGAGCTTTACCATGTTGTGTGGCGGCCTCAGACCATTCAGGAGCAGCCTCTGGGAGATCCTATGAACCCAATCCCGACTCCTCATGCTTCAGCTGTAGCTTACCTGGGAACCCGAAAAACACCCTCGAAGCCAGCCGGAGCTTACCGTCCACCGGGAGCCCGTGGTACAAGCACACCTCTGCACTTCAAGCGCGAGGATGAAGGCGGTGCTGCGTTTGTCAACAACGGGATCGCCTCAACTAGTGGTGGTGTGAATGGATTTGGCAAGAACCGCCGCCGAGAAGTGCCAGGAGCCGAGTCTGCCGAAGCCCTCCCCCCTGGTGCCGCACCCGGTGGAGGTGTCAGCCTTGCTGGTCATGATGGCGACGAGGCTCTTTCGAAGGCCGCCCTGAAGAACAAGAAGAAGCGGGAGGCGAAGAAGGCGAAGGAGGCCGCCGAGAAATCACAAGGTCTCACTGCCGACGGCGACATTCCAACTGGTCCGAATCGTAGCCCTGAGCGCCGTGACAGACAACAGCGCAGCAGATCAAAGAGCGACTTTGACCGTCGTAGCCAGTCCAACAGACGTAATCATTCGAACAGTAGGAATCCTGCCCACCAACGAGGCAAACCTTCACATTCGCGCATCTTCACAAATAATGATGAGAATCGAGCTACGCCACCTGTTGCTGCGGCTCCTCCTCCTGACTTGACTGTAACTTCTCCTGGCGGCGGAAGCCCCCACGAAAAGAAAGTCCGAGCCTTACTGAAGAAGATTCGAGCCATTGACGACCTGAAGATGCGCCAGGCAGGAGGCGAAAAGTTAGAAGATACGCAAGTGAAGAAGATCACAACCGAGTCGCAGATCCGAAAGGAGCTGGAGGGTTTGGGCTTTAGAGAGTAGAAGAGATGCTCTTGGGTAGCCTTGGTGCCGTTGACAGGCTCACCCGTGGTGCGCTGCTTTGTGTAGTCATGAAGGTTCACAGCGCTGGCGACTGTTGTATAGCCAAAAAATCAGGTTGACCATATAGTAGTGTCGTTTCGACGCTGGTACGGAGAATCACTTCCGCATATGATGCATGACGTCGCCTATACATACATGTTCAATTGACTCTATCCTGAACCGAGAACAAGATCACGCATGGGCTTCGTTCCCAGGCCTGGAAAATCCGCCCGTATTTATTGTTGCCTCTGGACCATTCAGTTCTTCGTGGAGCCATGTGAAAAGCTAGTTAGCCAATTCCACGCAACAGAGATATCTTGGTCTCATCAGGCACGATATTTACTCGTACCATACAGATTCAGAATATATATCGCTTCATCTTAATTCATAAGTAGACATATATTCACGTGAGGGGTCGACTTTGAAGGTGGTCATGATTCGTTATGGCTAGGATATCAGCCACTCCTACGAGGACCTGATGACTGTGACTGTTGGGTCCCAGCAAGCATGCTTGGGACTGTTGCTCTTACCAGAGCCTTCCCTATAACTCGCCCGCAAACCCCTTTTTCAGATTCTCATACTTGCTTTCCGGGTAATCAATCACATTCGCACGCTGCTCAATCAAGCCGCCATTCCCACCGCCTAGCTGATCTGCAACTCTACAGATCAAGCTGTCCTGCCCCGCCTTGTCCGAAGAGCTCTCCCACCACATGGAGCCCCCGAGACCCATCTTCTGGATGTATTTGACTTTCTGGTCAGCAACCTCCGGGGTATCGTAGCTAACCATCAGCCCCGTATTCTTGTCGATGCAAAAGCTCGCCCCGACGTCTTTGTCCACGTGCACATCCGAGCCGGGCCGCGGGAGCGCTTTGTAGTCCCATACACCATTCTCCCAACTACCCTCTCCAACGCCCGAGAAGGGCGCGCCGGGACCTTGGGTGTTCTGGAAGGCACGGCCGTACAGCGGCATTCCGAGCACGAGTTTGGTGGGCGGCACGCCCGCGGCTACGTAGTCGTGGATGGCGCGGTCGATGCTGAAAGGCGTGCATTTGGGGCGTGAGTGCGACGGGTACAGATTGGCCTGGTGTCCGGCGCACTGGTCCCAGCTGCCGGCGAAGTCGTAGGCCATGAGATTGATGAAATCGAGTGTCTGCGCGATCGCGCCTAGGGGGAGGACCTTGTACTTTTCGGGTCCGCAGGGCGCGGCGATGGTGAGGAGGAAATGCGGGCGGGGGATGTTACTATGGGTGCTGGCGATATGGTTTGCGTAGGAGTCGAGTTCGCGTCTGCATTCCTGGAGGAGGAGGAGAAGGTTTTGGGCTTCGGCGGGGTTCTGGGGGTATTCCCAGTCGATGTCGATGCCGTCGAAGCCGCAGTCCTTGAGGATTTGCACGGCGGAGACGGCGAATTTGCGGCGGCCTTCAGGGGTTGAGGCCGGTTGGGCGAAGTTCGACGAGTAGGTCCAGCCGCCGATTGAGAGGAGGACTTTGAAGTTTCTGTGCCGGCGTTTGAGGATGTTGAGTTGCTTCATGCAGCCGTAGACATTAGTGCCCGAGTCGTTCCAGGAGTCGGTTGGGTAGTGTTTCTCGACGTCAGACCAGGAGTCTGTGAGGTATCTGGGAGACGGTTAATAATTGTGCTGATAGTTCTTCGTGCTTCCACGTTTGTTTACACTCCCTATACTGGACTTTGGGCTGAAATGACTTACACTTCTCCTGAATCAGGTTTCACATTGGCGAAAGAATAGAGTACATGCGTGAGCTTGTCCGCAGGCAGGTCCTGAGGATTATGGGCACGTCCATAGATAGCCTTCTCATGTTAGACTGAACCATGGGACCCTAAATATTGCGGACGCTTGCTTACCCAGTTCACAAAATAAGCAACAGAACGATATCCGTCACCGCCGCCCATATTGATAGTCTGCGTGATATCGGAGAATAATTAATTTTTGGTAGTTGAATAGGAGGTGGAAGTACACAATGTAGGAATGCTGTGCGTAGTGAATGATGTGTTGTACAACGGTATGTTGTGCCTTTAAACAAGCTGGAGGTGGCGCCACGCTGTGGCGGTGCTGTCGACGCGCGGACGCTAAGCTGCTTTAGGACGAGCCGTGCCCCCAACAATGAGGCTTCCCCTTGCATTCAGCCGCAATCATCAATCATTCACTATTAATTACGGTATGATTGATTAAGAATGCCCACATCACCAATTGACTACGTAGGATACAGAAATAGCAGTAATTACACATAGAAATCAAAAGCAAATATCAATGCCCCAAGTCCAATCCATTCCCAAAATGGCAAACCGCTGTATATGCCGAGCACCCCTCTATGTTCTCCATCACAAACTATTCGCAAAACAGCATCGCTCGCAGTCCATGGCGTATTTCTTTACCGAGTTGCGGTTGGCCGCTTCTCCATCTCGCTGAAAAGTCTCCGCCATGCCCTCGGGACTACCTGTCTCTCGTCTTCGTCGTTCTACGAGTTCTTTGTTAGGTAGCATGTTCGTGCAAAGCTAGGACTGGTCATCCATGATTCAGGAATCACCACTACAGCACTGTCACTCTTCGAAGTCATTAGACCATCGCCGGTTTCATACGCCTACTCCAAAATCCCAATTGGTATCTCGCACAACATGTCTGACCCGCGTGTGATTGCTTGGGAGCTCCAAGACGCCTCATACAATCCGCCCATCCAGAAGAACACCGATTCATCATCACTGGTCTCCACCGCCGCTCCCTCGACATCACAGCTCGATGAAACCCGCGAGCTGGACGTGCAACCAGGCGGACAGTATCGTGGTAAGAAATCAATTTCAACTACGATTCAGAACTGTTGACTGACTGACATTGATCCCCCATAGCACACACTAAGCTCTACATCAACTTCTCCCGTACCGACGACACCGCATGGCGCATTGCAACCGGCTTCCTCATCACGCCCTCTATCATCGCCACCGCCGCACACAACGTCTTTGCGCTCTCCCCACTGGCTCCAGCCGCACAAATCAAGGCATACATTGGCTACCGCGGCAGCGCCTCTGTCGCAGAGCGGTATACACAGTTTCGCTCCGGGAAGAAGACTGTCATACCAGAAGGCTGGGTCACTAGCCGCGGCGCTATAAGACGAGACAATGTCGCTTTCATCCAGCTCGACCGGCCCTTTGAGGGCGTGACATGCGTGCGCTATGCGTACGCGCCCGGGACGGGAGCTGGCGAGGTCGAGGTCGCCGGCTACGCTGCAGACAGAGAGGATCCCGGGACGAGAGAGTTCGGGGGTGTAGTGTGGAGCGTGAATAGTAATGTGAGCAGACAACCACGTTTCGAATTCTTGGAATACAGCAAGTTGACGGCAAACAGATCTCATACAACCTCACCCGCGAGGGTCTAATGTCATACACCCCCATTGACTCTGGAGGCGGGCTTGTCGGCGCGCCCGTCCTTCGCACGAGCGACAACTACGCCATTGCTGTTCATGCATTCGGAGGCGCGCCGAACCTCGCCGTGCCTATTGGACCCAAGGGCCATGACTTTGATGCGTACATAAAGGCGCTTGAAGGCCCATTGAAGCCTGACCAGCTCTTCGCATTCCCTCTGTCGACACCAGAGAAGAGTAGATCTGTCGATGTCGCAGATGTGGCGCGGGCGTTTCCGAAGACATCGCAGAGCGTATGGACGACGCAAGGAAGTACGATGATTGCATGGTGGGCGGGATATGTCGCTGCTGGCGTGATGCTAGCACGGTGGCTAGGCCGGGCGAAGAGGTGAAGGGATAAGGCTGCTTTCAAGTGTGGTTATGTGGTTTGTTATATACCCAGCACATTAGTTGCTCGACATAGTAATGCATAATTAAGTCCCGGCTCTACTAAATCATTAGCCGTCATCATTTACTAAAGTCTATGTTTCGTCGTCAGGCCCATAACAAGAAGGCTATACAGCTTTCCTAAATCAAAATCTCACAACCCGGCGCCCACCCCATCAACATACAATCCCAGAGGCTTGAAAAAGCACAAACATACGCGTCTCAACCCCATACAGACCACGAAACCCCAGCCTCGCAGGCGCAGCTCGTACTCCATTTCACAGCTGAGCCCATCACCTAACACAAGGCTCCACGCTAACATCGACCCTCCCCTCTCATTGGCCCCAATCCCATACTACAAAACGCCTCATAAGAACACTTACTTACCTACCTACTTAGCCCCCAAAATCCGACTTCTCAGCAACAGTTTCTATATTTGAACCTCAGCCTGGCCGTCCTAATGATATGGCGTGCCGTCTAGCGAGTCATTACATGGTCCCTCCCTACCTCAATGCATCCCGGGGGAGTTGTGTGTTGGACGGCTCGGGAGTGTATCGTGGTTAGATCCTTGCGTTAGCTATCCTTGCAGGACATATCCGGCCCCTCGGGGCATGTGCGTGTGTGCTTGTGTATTTGCTAGTGCAGTGCACGAGGCTGAGAGGCGCGAGGCTGGTGGTTGTGGTGGTGGTGCACTTGAGTAGTGTAGTCGAGATGGTGGACGTTGTGGGAGGGGATATATATAAGGCTCGATTGTCACTAAGCAGACATTCTGATCTGCCCACGGATTCTCCTAAGTTGGCTTCTGTGTACACGTCAAGGGCGACAGCAAAGGGCTGTTCAACAACGACAACAAGACACGCACAAGGCTGTATCCATATCCCAAATACCTACCTGGCTGGACACTCATCCGCCCACGCTCTTCGCCCTCTCAACAAACCAGCGTTTCCAAAAAAAAAAAACAATCTCTCCAAACCTACCACTATGTATCACCTCGCACCCCTCCTCCTCCTCCTAGCAGCATCCACAGTCCTCTCAAACCCCCTCTCACTCCGCCGCTCTGACCCCCTCCAACACCTCCATGCCCGCCAATCCGACCCCACCGACCCCAAGAACCAGCTTCACCACGGCCCAGTCGTCTACCTGACCGACTGCGACGTGCCCGCGCCCTCTAAGCACTACTCCATCATGACATACTACACCGGGCACGTGAACCGGGCCACGCCCATCACCGCCACGGAGCGACAGCCGGTGCATAAATGCCGGGTGTCGAATAGCACGTGGGTGGATTGGGGCAGTCGGGTGCATTGGGACTGTTTTGAGGGGCAAGGCACCCCCGCGGACGTCTTTAGCTTTGAGAGTCAGATGGAGGTCACGAGTGGGACGTATGGCGAGTGGGCTGGCAGTGGGAAGGCGGGTGGGAAGGATGGGGCTGGTAAGAGGTATACGTGCTGGAAGGATGATCATCGGGTGTTGTTTGAGGATCGTGATGGCTCTGATGAGATGCAGTGTTATTCGGGCTATTACTGTTATTTCTGAAGAAGGCTCTTTGGAAAGGGGAATTAGTGGAATCGGACGACCTGCCATGTGACCTTGGACAGGAAGATTAGACGCACATCATGGATATACCCTTATGTAATGACGTTTCAAGAGAATTGTTGCGATTGAGGTTTCAGTTACGTGATAGCAACAGCTACCAGGTAGTTTGCAATGCGCTACCAACCAGTTTTCCACAATCCAGCTCTTGAAAATTCTTTTATGAGGAGTTTCTTTCTACCAGAAGGTACGATGCGTGACTTTAAGCTTCGAGCTTCATACCGCCAGCTAGCAAGTTCGGTCCAATTCTGCCATCGATGCCGAGAGCTCGCAAAGTCTTCCAGACTGACCTGGCTCCGTTTCTTGCGAGCAGGAGTGGTCAACAGTAACATTGATGCCAAGAGTATCATGGCAGAGGGAGGGGGATGAGGGTGGTGAATGGGGATAATTGTGTTAGTGCAGGGCTACATGGGATTTGGTAGCCAGGGTTGGTGTAGCGTATTGGAGATTGGTAATTCAGGTTGTTGGGTGCGCCAAGGAAGATATTGTTCTCCGCTGACATATATATGCTCCAGATGAATGCGTAAGGTACTCTTCCAGAACGGTAGGTAGAGGCGCCACCGAGATGTTTGCGCCACATGCTAAACTTTTGGCCAGGAACACCGCCATATTGTGATGCATTGTAGAGTTTCGATTTCGGACGGTGATTTCGTCAGAGAGGGGTCATCGTGAGTTTCGCCAGAAGCGGGAACTTGCGTGAGAGAGGGAATAAGACACAACGAGCGTCCAGAGGCGTATAATATACAGTCGATAATGCTTTCGTCACCCAAGACGGGTATCCTCCTGAGTCCGGGAAGTCGAGTCAAAGAAAAAAGAAACTAGTCGGGGTCATGTCTGTTCTCATAATCGTCACCATATGAGAAAAAACACAAAATGTGGGTCCACAACGCACCCTGATATTGCGGGTATCAGAATGCAAGATGTCAACAGAGAGAGTTGACAAGTACCGCGTGAAATCCAGAACAGAATAAACAGAAACGAGGAAACAAACCGCACCATTCCGTCTCGCAGTTCAACCTACGATTGAGCAGGAGGAGGCCTGTTGTTCCGAGGTCCGTTGTAACCATTCTGTGGTCGATTCTGCTGCGGATTCGGGTTGCGTCTTCCTTGATACCCGCCGCCTCCTCGACCTCGTTGTTGGAAGTTGCCCCGGCTGTTGGACTGTCCCGGGTTTCCTCGTGCACCTGGATCTCCGGATCTAGCGTTTTGGTTCGAATTTGGATCCTGCACCGCCTGCACTGGCTGATCAGAAATTGGCCGAGGGATATTTTGGGGGGTATCGTAAACGTAAAGTGATCGTTCGATCACCTGTGGGATGGGCTGAATCTCAGTACCAAGCTCTTGTTCAATCTTGTATAAGTTGAACCTGTCATCCCAGTTGATGAGATTAATGGCCAAACCTAGATGTCCAAAACGACCTGATCGACCAATGCGATGAAGATAGGTTTCGGCGTTTTTGGGGAAATCAAAGTTGATGACGACATTCACAGCTTGAATGTCAATACCACGAGTTAACAGATCGGAGCATACCAGGTTTCGCGAGACACCGTTGCGGAAGTCGTGGAATACGCGGTTACGTGCAGGCTGAGCCATGCGGGCATGCGAGTAGAAACATGAGTAGCCAAGCTCAGTGATTTTCTTGGCAAGAAGTTCAACGCGGTTCGTGGAGTTGCAGAAGATGATGGACTGGTTGATCTGGAGCTTGTTGAATAGGGTGTTGAGACAGTGTACCTTTTGTTTTTCTTCCACGAAAGCATAGTATTGGGTAATACCTCGAAGAGTCAGCTCCTCCATCAGATTGATTTCATATGGCGAATTCATGTGTTTATCCTGTGTACATGCACATTAGCGGAATCAATCCTGCGCTACAGCATTGCACTAACCTTGAAGCTCTTGACAACGATTGGGAAGGTAGCGCTGAACAGCATGACTTGGCGATCCTTTGGATGAAATCCGAGTAATTGCTCAATGACAGGGGTGAATTCGGGAGACAAGAGTTTATCAGCCTCGTCCATAACAAATGTGGGGCACGATGATAGATCCGCCACACCCTTACTGGCCAGATCCAATATTCTTCCTGGAGTCGCAATGATAACGTGGACGGCTTCATTAAGTCGTACGATATCATCTCGCAAACCCGTGCCACCAGTTGTTACCATGACATTAATTCCAAGATGTTTACCAAGCATCTTACAGACTTGAGCTGTCTGTAGTGCCAACTCTCGAGTCGGGACAAGTATCAGAGCTTGTGTCTTCGTACTTTTGGGGTTAATCTTCTCTAGAGTTGGAATAACGAAAGCAGCGGTCTTGCCAGTGCCGTTCTTTGCGCGCGCAAGGATATCACGGCCGGTCAGTGCGACCGGGATCGTCTCTTCTTGAATGGGTGATGGTTTCTCAAACCCGGCTTCGAATATGCCCATCATAAGCTCTCTCTTGATATAAAAGTCCTCGAATTCGAGGCCTTTGGTGGCTGTAACATCCTGACGTTGTGTTAGATGGCATCGTACATGGACTTTTGACAATCATACCTCGGTTTGTACGCGTGTATCCTTCGCAGGTTTGTTAAGACCCTGCTTCCATGATGCACTAGTATCTGTCGAGGACTCACTGGGAACAGGTTAGTATTAGAGCTCCGTCGAAGTCTAATGCAATACGTACCCCAATGTTGTGGCGGCAAGCTTGTTAGTAATTTCGGTCGTCATTGTGGAGAACGGGCTCCTAGCTGTGATTTATGCCCTCTGATAGAGGCACCTGATGGACTTGCGAGTCTTTTTCCCTATGGCTTTAGATATTCTGAGTGTCTCAGTGTTAGTGGTGTGTCTGTGTGTGTGTGTGTGTTTGTGCGCTCGAGGTCGTCTGTAAGGTATGTCTAGATCTTTCGTTCAAGAGCGTGTCAGATTGATCGATTGCTATGCGCAATTATGTAGATTGGAATAAGCCGTAGCACAAAGCTGTCCTGTCCTGTCCCGTAAGACTGTGTGCGAGGGAAGAATGTGCTTTGTAGAGGAGATGAAGTATAGCTCGACGCCAACGGTTTCGAGTTTCGAGTTTCGAGTTGCGGCAACGGAGCAACGGTTTCAATGGCGTGTATGCGGCTTGGTCTTAGGCAGTAATCAAGAGTGAGTGCAAGTGTGAATGTTTTGGGAGAGGGGAAGGGCTTGTTATGGGAGAAGGCGTTTGAACACACGAGCTCAGGTTGTGTGCATTGGCAGACTTGGGGTTGCGGATGGAGGTCGAGCGAGACCGTGAACCTTAGGCAGAAATAAATTGTTGCCTGATTAGAAGCGATGGAAGAGACAACAACAATGATACTCGACTTGGCGTCGGACTTTCGCAGCCCGTCATATGCACCTTACACTCTGTGACTGTACTCCGTACCTCCGAGCTTTCAGCGTGTCTATCTAGATGAGTTGACCTTTGCGTCGACCTCAAGCCCACACAATGGCGTCCATCAGGCTCTCTGCTCTCTTACGTATAGAGCGACAATGCAGTCGAGTATCTACCACACTATGCTCATGTCCCTTTCGGACGGCTAAATTCACGCCTTCGCCTCCTTCGCGTACTTACACACAGCGCTCACAACGTCGACCCACAATGCCTGTCCTTCGCTACGATACTCAAGCCGCCCTCACTCACCAACGCCGTACAAAAGCAAGGAAAGCTGCGCGAGCGAGACTTGGCCTGCCCAAAACAAACTGGGAGGCTATAGAAGCCGAGGTCAAGTATGCTATGAATCGGGGAGCACGTTCACTACCGAAAGCGGACTACAAAAGGATCCGGAATCTCACTTACGGCTTGATCGGTCTGAATGTAGCTGTCTATATGCTTGAGCCGCCCCTTTCTATCGCGATTGATAACTACAGACGTGGTTCTGCTGACGTTGGGGGGGACACAGAGAATGCTAAGAGGACCGCCGCAAGAGTCTGGAGCGCTAAGGTGAAGCACTTGTACCTCAGCGTAAAGAATTGGCAAGAGGGTCGTTGGTGGACGCTCCTGACCAGCGCGTTTGTTCATGGTGACACTTTTCACATCCTTAGTAACATGATGGGCATGTATGCTTTCGGGACGATACTCGCAAGAGCTCCTGGTCTAAAAGTGTGGAACGTTGCAACGATTGCATTTGGATCGGCATTATCGAGCAGCGTCGGTGCTCTGATTGGGGCCAGTGTCAAGGAGTCGCGAAATGAAGGATTAGAGATCATAACATGTGGCGCGAGTGGACTCGTCATGGGACTCGGGGGTGCTGCAGCAGTTCTGGCACCTTACGAGAAGCTGATTATCTGGGCCGTACCCATTCCTATCCAAGTGGCCGCAGTAGGTTTTGCGACTTGGGATCTATTTTTCATAAACGATGAGTCTAGTAGAACAGCGCACGCCGGGCATCTGGGTGGTCTATTCTTCGGGGTGGGATGGACTCTGTGGCGCCTACGGCATCTACGAGGACTTTGAAGCTTAGAAGCCGCAATTCGCCGGCGGTGATGAAAGCTGAAGGTAGTTGTTCGTCGCAGCAACGAGACGGAAAGCATCTTTCAAAAAAAAATGAATGCTCGACCGTCTGGGAACGTCAGATGAAATGTCCTCAACCCCCGTACACCTCATCCATCAGTGCAACTGCTTGCTTTCTAGTCAGTATGGCCGAAAGTGAAGATCTTGAGAATGTATTCATATATCGGACTATTGATGTGCTTGGGGCAGAATCTTGCATGAGAAAGAGGACGTCCAGATAGTCTTTGACGGATGTAAGTTGAGTGAGGAGCCTCATGCACGTAGTAAGCAATACCCCCAATCACTATCGGGAGATTACTGGCGGCCTCTCAGCCCCTGAGTGTGCTTCATCTCCTGGCAGTAGAGGTCATTTCTGATGGACTGAACGCGCACATGCTGATAGGCTGTTCATATTGCCCGACGCTTTAGCCTTGATATACGTCCCATTTGCTCCGGAGGTGATATATGAAATCCATGTATCCATCCTGGTCTTGGTAGTTTGTTCCCAACACTGTATAGCTTTATCTTCACGTAAGGGTTGATGTTGACTAGTTGATGAATAAATGTCTGTTAATTTCTCATGCATCTGCAGTATGGATGATCAACAGAGGAAGGAGAGACAGAAGGTCCTACATCAGATGTCGAACATTTCCAACAGAACAGGTGGAATACGCGTGTCTGACAGTATGTGCGCGTACAAGATCTACCTATTTCTGCTTCCATAAGAGCATATGCCCAGATATACAACCCAAACGCCCAAAAATGCATTACACTTTGGCTTTCCCTAACCTTACGAAGCTGCCACATTTTCTGGCAACGGTCTCTTGAATGGATGGGCTTCCGTATTCAACACCCACTCATCCAGACTAATCAGGCTTTCTTCAGAATACAACAAATAGAAGTACTTCAATGTCTCTGCGAGCCAGAAACTCTCCATGCTGTCTGTCTGAGTCGTTTCATTCTGCAGAATGTCGTGTATGGCACTGTGTCCGAAATCTGATCGTGTGTGCTTTATGATAGACTCGAACATGTTCCAGCCGACTTCGCGCCAGTGCTCGTTGCCCGTGATGCGGTACATGTACCATACAGATTCGATGGCCTCTGGGCTAGTGAGATGTCAGTATCAGGCTACATCATAAGACATCACATGAGACGTACCGAAGGATATAGGATCGCCCGTTGACGGTCTTCATGCCAAGTGGAGTACCTTCCTTTTCGAGTATTTGCATAACGCGCTCTTCGTGAGTCAAAGGAACTTGAGGCTTCGTGATGTATTGCGTAAGAAGTTTGAACTCCCGAGCAAACGGATCAGCTTCGCTATTGGCTTGCTCAGTCTTAGCCTCATCCGACATCTCAGGCTCGTCACGGTCAAGATCCAATTGACGCTTCTTGAGCGTATTAGGCGTGTCCAAAGACTTTGGACTGGGAGGAGTCACTGGGTCAGCAGGAAATGCTGGATCAGCCAGTGCGGGAGCGGCTTCAACCTCGGGTGCAGGTGTCGGTTGAGCTACGGCCTCTTGCTTGGAGATAACAGCAGCTGAAGCTTTGGCGGTCGCTTCTGCCATTTGAATATTATATTGCTCCACGTCTTTGAGGTACGATATCCGACGCAATTCGGCGTATGGATCGAGTTCGAGATAATACTGTGTCTGATTCCACGTACAATCTTTGGGATCGTCACACGGTATTGCGCGGAATGACTCTGGCATAATGCCTGAAGCAGTGCTGTTGTAGGCCCAGACGCAACCTTCTGTCAGCTTTTCAGCAAGCTTCAGATCGGGTTCTATCCCGAATATTTTGGCGCCCATGCCGATCATGCCGCCGACGAAGCATGTCAGATGGGCGCCCTCCGGATCTAATTCGCCATCATCGACATCGACGTCGCCTGTCCTGCCTGAGATGCCAAAAGCGCCAGACATGAGTACGTCGACTCCGTGGGGTAACATAGGGCGAAAAATGAGATACTTTCGAATGGCTTTCATAGCCAGCTCGTACATATTCTTGTACTGGTCTACGACACCGCCAAGTAACAAATATTGCTGCGTCTGTCAGTACATAACCCGCTGACTTCATGTTTCGACGTACCTTGGGAAGATATTCGTAAGTAGAATCAGACATGCCACCCAGGGTGAAGGTATTTCTACCATTTGAGACTGTTGGTACAAGCCCCTGGGGTATACAATCGGGCGCCTCCTTGTCATTTGCCTCCAGAGTTGAGCCTGTCACCGGAGGAGGTGATGTGGAGCTATCCACTCCATCAATCAGATCTTCGAATGTCGGCTGGTCTTCAAGATCAAGCTGTCGCTTGCGTAGACCAGAAATTTCCTCTTCTCTCTCATTCCAACCTGCAACTTTGCCAGGCTGACCAGGTGACAGCGGCTTCAATGTATTGTCCTTCTTCCGATCCTCGTCCCAGTCTTGAACACGCAGTGGCTTCTCTTGTACCGGAAGTCGTGGATCATTTTTAAGCGTCCCGAGGCTGGTACCGTCCTCGTCAGGCCCATCCATACCAAGAATCTTACCAAACTTATCGGCCCCCGCAGCGATTGGGTTCTTCTCGAGTTTAGCTTCCGGTACGTCATCTTCCCGAGACATTGTATTTGGCTTGACATCTCCGGGCTTCGATAATCTCCCTAAGCTAGTTTCGTCCACCTTCTCGCCGTTCATGCCAAGTATCTGGCTAGCTTTACCAGCCTGAGGAGTGTTTGGGTTCTTGTCCTTGGGGGGGCCCGGATGCTGTTGGGGTTTGGGCCTTTGTAGGCTGGTCTCATCAACTTTCTCACCATCGAACCCTTGAATACGCCCATCATTGCCTGCCTGGGGCGCAGAAGACATATCATCATCTGTTGCTTTTGCTGTGGACTCGGCAGGAGGTGGTCTCTTGAATGGGACCATCTTCTGATCATCAGGGATCATCTTTTCATCCTCTTTTGTCAGAGTCTTATCCGCCAACGAGACAGTTGTGTCGACCGGTGCTTGTTGATTCTGGAGCTTGTCGGTCTCGGGCTTTTCAGCTGTAGCCAATGAAACATGTTGAGCATCATATTTCTTACAGCCACTGGCATCTAGATACGTGGGCCACATTCCAGGTAGTCTGGTGTTGTTCTGGGACTTCTCGAGCTCGTTAGTGATCCTTGCAACCGCGTCGTAGTACTTCGGTTCCTTTGTGATCTGAGCAAGGCGTGTAAATTCCATCGACAGTGAGCCGATCTCTGCTAAGACAGAGTTTGTGCTTGCACGATGAGCCTGGCTCGCGAACATGCTATGGAGATGTCAGCACTGTTTTTAGATTTGAATCTGATAGGGTGCTTACGGTCGCCAATGGTAGTATAGCACCGGCATACGGTTTGGGGTATCAAATATTCCCATCAAGACCTCGGCCAATTCTACAGCCTTGTCTAGAAGGATCTTATACTTCCCCTCGCTTACGTCGTATGCTGCGAGCAATCCGCCGAGGTAGCGGATAGTTGTCTCGAAAACTGGAATGTCATCCCGTGTCGTTGTTCTGAAATCAATCTTCTTGACGCCTTCTAAAGCATCCTCAAATTCTGTTGTCAAGCCCATGATCCAGAGGGTATCGAGAGAGTCTACAAGGGTGGCCCCCCAGCCAGCAAATGGATCCTTTGATTCGCCAGTCACAGGCTTCAACTCATCGTGAAGCCAAGCATGCTCTTTGTAACCTTTCCAGGCCCATAAGAATTCTTTTTTGACCACATCGAGTCGGGCCTCGCGGGTGGTTTTCTGGTCCGCTGATTCCTTCTTGAAAGCATATTGGATCTTCGGGACAGCTATGGGCTTCGCCGTTGGTAGTTGAACAATGGATTCGGTCTTGAGAGGGAAGTGTTCCTTCTGCTTGCTCCAGTACACCGGTGGGACTGTTTCAGGTTCAGCGTCTCCGGCGGCGACAGCGTGAGGGAGATTGCCTGGTATAGGGCCTTGATCCGGAACTTTTGGTTGTTCTACAGGCCTATCTTCGTCTGGTAGCAATGGCTTCTTGGCTGCAGAAGTTTGCGCAGGCTTCTCAACCGGCGCAACAGGTGGTGGTGTTACCAGGGGACCTTGGGGTGTCTCAGCGGCGGGCACATGCACATCCAACTTCTTGGTCTCTTTTACGACTTCATTTAGAACAGGCTTAGGCAATTGATCAACCTCAACTGTTTGTTCTTCGACGTCTTCGACGTGGGGCTTTGGCTTGTTTGGGAGAGGCGCCGGATCTAAAGACGACTGCTGCCACTGTGAGGAGCCGCTGAACTTGTAGAACGCAAAGATGGTGATTATGGCGAAGAAAAGGAAGACTCGGTAACGTCTTAGTCGTAGCATCGCTGCTGATCGAGGAGCGGATGCCGCGCCGGACAAGCGTTAAGGGTGGTGTGGTATGGTTCGAGGTTATGTGCTCGAAGGGAGTAGGATTCCAGGCGTATCAAGACATCGGGATGAAGGGAGAGGTGGAAGTGAGAAGGGCACCGTTTGGTGTATAGAGGTGGAAAAGAATCCCGCAGAAGCGTCGCGCTGATATAGGGCAATGTTGAAGGAATTGGAGACAAGTATAGGTATTCACTCGCGTGGTAGAAGATGGATGGATCGACGGGAAGAGTGCACGAGCTGTAATTAATTAGCTTGGCACTCGGGAACGCGTCCGGGCGACTTTCTGCTTGGCAGTTGAAGCCTGATCAGAGTGAATTGTTTGCTCAGGGATGCTGTGTTTAAGTATGAACATTGGTTGTACGTGCGGTATCATGACATTGAAGGAAGATATATACATCTATAGTCCATTCATCCATTCCTGGCCATTCTTATACTACTCCGCCCGCCGCTCCAGCAGCCTCCTGAGCAGAAATGCCTGCTACAACGAATATATAATTACCCTTATAAGACATAGAAAACATAGGACTCCCTCAAAGCCAGACATGTGCCCTCTTAATACTATCAAATAGTATAGAAGTTCGTCGGCGTTTTAAATAAAAGCGGGTGCATCTATTTGCTTCCAGGGTTTGTTTGGACCCTGATTTGCACCATTCATCTCGAGGGATCCGCCCATCATCTTTTGCTTTCTGCTTTGTCCGTTCATGTACATACTACCACCCTAACTCGCTATGCTAAAGCGATTCGTGAGACCATCATGGACCTGTTCTCGATGTCTCCGTCGCCAGTGTCAGCAACAGAGGCACAACAGCGCCGCCGCGACATCCGCCATCGCCACATCACCGCCTCCTACAGCCTTCTCACTCCCGAGCCATGTCCCCCACGAAACGAACAGCGACGACCGTAACCTTCGGCAGATCTTCGACTCGCATGCATTTTGGAGGGAGTTCTCCCAGAGCTCTAAGCGCGGGAAGTCGGCAGGCCTCCTCCAGAACAAGTACCTTACTCGGCCGGAAGGCTTTCAACAGTTCGTCGAGGTCACCTTGCAAAAGTGCGCCCCGATCATAGACAGAGTGGTGCGCGCAAACAGTATAGAAGAATTCAAACCAATAACAAGAGACCTCGATCGCCTATCCGATCTACTATGTCGTGTCATCGACCTGGCGGACTTCGTTCGCGCAACACATCCCGACCAGAAGACACAGATTGCGGCGACCAGAGCATACGGACTCATGTTCCAGTATATGAATGAGCTGAATACTACGACCGCCTTGAATGACCAACTGAAAAGAGCTGCAAGCATACCTGAAGTGTGGGATTCGTGGAATGAGGAGGAACAGGTCACGGCCAACATCCTGATCCGAGACTTCTCAAAGTCCGCAATCAATCTACCCCAGGCGACACGACAGCGTTTCGTTGACTTGTCCAACGAGATCGTAAATGTTGGCACGGACTTTGTGAACAACCTGGCGCCTGAGAAGGAGTTTCTTACCTTCCAGAGTAGCGAAATGAAAGGACTCGATCCGCAGGTCGCCCGCCGATTAACAAAATGGGGGACTCTGGTCATGAAGATGAACGGTATGGAGGCTTCGCTGGCCTTGCGGCAGGTCGAGGATCCAGACGTACGCAGGGAGATCTACATGGCAAGCAGGACGTCGTCCGCCGATAACATAGCACGTCTGGAACAGCTCCTGAAAGCCAGAGCTGAGCTCGCAAAGTTGTCTGGCTACGAGAGTTTTGCTCATCTATCACTTTCCGACAAGATGGCGAAAACGCCCGAAGCTGTCAATCAGTTTTTGCAGGCGCTGACGACCGACAATCATGCAAAGGTGTTGGATGAGCTTGACGAAATTCGAGAGTTCAAGAAATCGGACGCGCATAGCAACAACTTCCCCGGAAACCTCAATGCTTGGGACCGTGACTACTACACATCACGCCTCCTTTCATCCATGCATACCAAGATAAAGTCGCCAGACTTCTTGTCCGCATACTTTTCGCTTGGCACAGTCATGCAAGGTCTCTCACGTCTATTCAACCGCTTGTATGGAATTCGACTTGTGCCGCGCGAGACCAGACCCGGGGAGACCTGGAACGACGACGTTCGGAGACTCGATGTGATTGACGAGAAAGCCGGGCATATCGCCGTGGTCTACTGCGACCTGTTCTCACGTCCAGGCAAAAGCCCCAATCCAGCCCACTTCACCCTCCGCTGCTCACGAAAGATATCCGGGTCCGAAATCGAAGATGCCTCTCGCATCCCGCATCCCTTCTCCTCGCCCAAAGATGCCGCAACAGACGGCATGGCCTCCAACATTAACCCCGACGACGGAGACCTCTACCAACTCCCCACAATCGCCCTCATCTGCGACTTTGCCCGCTCCACCACCTACTCCTCCACCCGCGACCGCCCAACCCTGCTCACCTTCCGCGAAGTCCAAACCCTCTTCCACGAAATGGGCCACGCCGTCCACTCCATGCTCGGCCGCACCCAGCTCCAGAACGTCGCCGGCACACGCTGCGCCACAGACTTCGCCGAGCTGCCCTCCGTCCTCATGGAGCATTTCGCCGCCGATCCCGCCGTCCTCGGCCTCTTCGCCCGCCACTGGGACACCGACGCCCCGCTGCCCATGCCCGCCCTCGAGGAACGCATGCGTCTCGACACTCGCATGGGCGGCGCCGAAACAGAGGCCCAGATCCTGCTGTCCTGCCTCGACCAGGCTTATCACTCTAGCTTGCCCATGCTGCCGGGCTTCAACAGCACGCGCACCTACCATGACGTCTATGCCCAATGCAGCGTCTCTGAGCCCGCGGGCACCGCTTGGCAGGGCTTCTTCGGCCATCTTTTTGGTTACGGCGCGACGTACTATTCGTATCTGTTTGATCGTGCTATTGCGGGGCGCGTCTGGAAGGTTGTGTTTAATGCGGGCCAGGATGGCGGCGCGATCGATCGTGCGGCGGGCGAGAAACTGAAGCAGGATGTGCTGCGCTGGGGCGGGGGACGAGATGGATGGAAGCTCATCAGCAAGGCACTGGAGGATCCAATGCTGGCCGAGGGAGGCGAAGATGCGATGAGGGAGGTGGGTAGATGGGGAGTCAGGGCGGAGGGTGGTGGGATCGTTGACTGAGTGGACCTAATGTCTTGATCTTGTATATTCATGACACACTTTGCCGTTGTTCTCGGAGATATCCCATCGTTACAGTCATTCAGTCTGTGTGTATATCGCTCAGCAGTACATGTTACTGGTATTTAGATATGGTAGCTATTGACACATGTGTAGTATATGTATAGCACCTCTACCATTTTCAATGTCAGTCATGTCGAAATATAGATATCTCCCTACATACACATCGGTATCTCGATACAATCACATAAATGCCGCATACTGGGATAGATTCACTTTTCACCCGATCCACGCGTATTTACTGCTCACAGAGCTATTCGTTTCGTGACTTTAACTGCACAATTGAGATGCCTGAATGTATTATTCTCCTGGGATTGAGGAACGGAGCCACGAGGGAAAGCCCGGCAATGCTTTAATCCACAGCTTAGATATCTATCCATGGCACATCAGGTGAAGATACGATCCGTGAAATTATCTCAGCCCTGCATCATTTCCTCACACAACTCCTCGCAATGCAATTCTACCCACGCCAAAGCGAGCCAGAAAAAGAGGTACACCACCCAAATGCAACCCAAAAACCCGCATCTCATCCCAACGACAACCCACCCAAGACCTTCTCCAGTTCATCATCCTTCTCCCTCCCCACCCCTCGCCGACCATCCTCTTCCCCCTCCTTCTTCTTCTGCTCCCTATACATCCTCCCTAGCCTCTCCATAACCACCCCATGGCTCAGCCCCTTACACTCACCCTGCACCGTCTTAAAGTGATCCTTGACGAACCGCTGATACTCGCTGATGCCGCGCTCACCACCGGGGCCCTTCCCTGCTCTCGGCACGGGCTGGATCTGCACTAGACGGCCCTTACACACGCTGCAGGCATGTCGCTCCGGATCCACGCTCTTGCTGTGCCGCTTGTACTCTGTTGCGCAGCCGACGCAGGCCCAGATGTACTTGTACGCGATCTCGTATGTGTGTTTTGTTGTGACGACGACATCGAGGTGTGAGAATGCTGACGAGACTTTGGAGGCCCAGGCCTTGAATTCTGCGCCATGCGGCCGGGCGGTGACCTGGGAGATCATGAAGTTTGCAAGGTGGCAGAATTCGTGGGCGAGGACGTTGTACAGGCGTGTGTTGCAGTCGATGACTTTGGTGGAGAGCTCGATAGAGGCGTGGTGTAGGGTTTTGGTGGTTAGGGTTGAGCAAGTAGTTGTTCCGTTTGTGGAAGTGGTTGAGGGCCCGCGGATGCGGAAGACTTCGCGGCGCCAGTTTGCGCGGCCGGCGGTGGTGGCTAGTTTGGTGGACCATATTATCTTGATGCCACCAGCAGAGGCGGTAAGCTCTCGTAGTCGGTCTTGGGTGATCTTGTGGTCGAGTTCTTCTACGAATGATTTTGCTAATTCGGTTTTGCGGGACTCGAATTCTTTGCGAGAGTCAGCTAGGGTTTTCTTCTGGGGGCTTCTTTTGCGTGGGGATGAAGTTGGAGACGGTGGTTCAATGAGATCCGGAGACGAGGAAGTTGCGTTCGTGCCAAATCGATGCTTGAGGCTCTTGTGAGGAGACACTAGAGGCTTCTGCGGAGAGTACTTGTCATGCCATTCATTGACTAATTGAGGGTCCCAGAAACCTTCCACGCTGGGACTACCGTGAGGAGGTGTCGGTATCCGTGGTCGCTGTTTCTTGGGCGATACAAGCCTCCGGACAGGAGAGTGAGAGGGTGGAGTCGTAGGTGGTTCTTGTGGTGGTGCTTTACGTGGAGATCGAGTCCTGGGTGGAGAACTATATGCCAATTAGCGATGACATAGAGACGTTCATCTACTTGGGCCTACAATGTAAGAATGGCACCCGCATTATTGTCTGACGAGCTTCCTGGTCGAACAGTGGATCTTATCGAAGCAGGCGGTTGATATAATGACCTGGCTGGCAGCTCATCCTTGATTGAAATATCTTTCAAGGACTTTTTGTTCGACTTTGCCGGCCTGAAAAGCGGTCGTTCCACGACTTTTCGGTCCTCACATTCATCCTCTGAAGAGTCTGTGTGTACAATGAAACTGTCTTCATCCATATCAGACCCACACATAATAGTTTCCTCCACCTCTACTTCAGTTTGCTCAAACTCAAAATCGTCCGGGGTATCGTCATGCTCCTTGGGCGGCTCTCTTGTTCCGACTTTGACAGGACTATTCCTTGCTCGTCTTCTGACTGGAGCATCCGAGTCCGAGTCTGAACCTACATCCTTCACAGGTTCTTCGACAACAGAGATTTCTTTGGGATCGCTTTTACAAGCTCTGCTTTCTGGTTTCTTTGCTGAGCTCTGTAAAATGGCTTCCTTTCTGATTTTCCTAACCTGGCTTCCTCTGGATGTTGATACCTCCTTTTCCTTCTTCGAGGCCAGCTCGACGGGAGACAATCGATTGAGCAGTGTATGATCATGATTCAATGGCTTCAACGCACGCTGTTTCCTCGGACTATGAACAGTTGAAACTTGTCCATCCTTAGGACTGACCTTCCGTTGCTCCAGTTTTGACGGTACCTTGACTTTTAATGCTGAAAAATCTTCGGAAAGTGACGAAGTAGAGGAAATGCAAAGCTTCTGAGGCGATTTCTGTTGCTGATGTGTGTTTGAAGTTGAGCTCGTCTGACTCGGCGAGTTCTTAGCCTGGGGTTTTATCCGCGTGACTGCTAACAAGGTGTGCAAGTCTGGGAGCGAATCGTCGCTATCGCTCGAGCATTCAATAACCTTCCGTAGACGTGCCATTCTGTACGTATAGCAATAAACCGATTCTCTTCACTCGTTGGCAATAGTCTATCCAAGTTTGAGATGTTGTGGTTGTACCCAATGCGGACGTTGGCACAGTAACGGAATTGTGACACGTTTGAGTGGGGCGACGACACCACACAAAAGGGCTGTAAGAGAGTGCACTTTACGCTTGTAGGTATAACAAGCGCAATTCTAAATTCGCTGAATGCTGGCATCTATTGAGCACAAGCCCGATATGCTGAAAGGTTTAGTCCCAACTGTGCCATTCCGCCAGCTTGATATCAGCATATGCATGCAACACGAGGAATGCCTAGTTCGCTTCGGAGCGTGAGGTGTTTGACCCACAACAGGGTGATAAATCAAGAATAACGAACGCCTAATAATCCCGATAAGAGAAAGTCGACCATAAGTTATCCAACGCTCCGTTCTGGAACGCCAAGTGCGCCATAGCCAACTCAGTCGTAGAATTCATCAAAGACATAACCGGTGCCACTCTAGGCAAACCGTACCACCCTCCGTTGCCCGCCAGTCTCGGATTTGGCCCTTGTTATTTCCCCTCGCCTCCTTTCGCTTCGTCGCTGCCGAGCCTCTCGTGCCTCACGGGCTTTCCAGTCATTGACTTGCTGTCGTCTCTTTATTGTCCTTGCTTGTGCGATCTGTGGGGTTGGCCTGAAGCCCACGCCGTTGATCCCCACGCCATCATCTTCCGGGTCCTCACCAAGATGGCCGGTGATCTCAGAGTCCCGCCAGAAGAAATTCAGGACAGGGACGGGTGAGGGTGAGCGTTGCTTCGGAGGTGGGGTGTTGGATGGTGGTATAGGAATTGGATTCAATCTGTCATCTTGAGGATGACTCGGCGGCGGTGAGCCTTTGTGGTGCCCCATAGCCTCGTAGAGCTCCGTAGTCACGGATATCTGAGGCGTTTCTGGTATTGCAGCATTGCGGGACACCGTGCTGCCAAACGACGTCTGCGGTGTCTCGGGTATCTCAAGCATCTGCGTATCTCCATTCTCGGATCGACCACAACCGCCGGGGTGGGCCACGTTCTCATCAATCTTTATTCTTTTGCTTGCCGGGTCCATGATGTTTCCCGATCCAGCGTGTCCAACTCCAAAGTCTATGATCCTGACACCCTCGTCCATCTCCTTCAGTCGTAAGCCCGACAATTCCTGTGCCACACGGTCCCTTGGGCTGTCAGGAGGCGTTCTTGCATCTTCGGACACTGCCGGTATATTGAGCCGGGGGATGAAGTGAGTGGAGGGCTTTGTATCGGAATCATTCGTGCTGTCAGCGCGTTTGCGTTTTGGTGAATGAAGGGCATACTGCGGGGAGAGCAAAGCGGCGCGCATGGTGTTTGAACCAGCGAGGCGAGGCCTCTAGAGCGCGCACGTTTGGGAGAGCATAGTGGGTGTATCGTATATATGTTTCTTTGCTTGATGGGATATAACGCTCGAATAATTGTGAGGAAGAGGAAGACTGTGGGTAGGCAACGAAACCCACTCTACCTGCATGATTTAGATCGGAGTGGGGCAAGCATACTGTAAGCATTCTTAGGGCTGAAGTTTGAACGCCACACAACTCACGGGAGGGGTAAGTCAATGCACGCCTCTAGTGTAGTGAATGGATATTTGTACACAGGGATAACAAGATACGTTTCGTTCGCATTCCAGTATTGAAATATTGCCTATGACCGTGCTTTTTAGTGTCCTTTTCCTATCGTACACTCATCTGGAACAACCAAATCGCTGTATGCAGAAGCCAAACAACGGGCAACAGGTTACAGGATGGGAATAAATAAGACAAAATGGCCCTTAAACAAATGGGATGTGCCTGTCCAGACTCGCTCAAGCGCCTAGCAAAAGGAAAGTTGCCTAGCTATATGTATACAAATGACAAAATAGGATTCCAAACCAAAGGTACTCTGCGCTCTTGAGGCCCAAGTGTGACATACGCTCTATAACTTTTTTTTCTCGCACTCGCGTTGATCCGTACGCCAATGTGCCGTCACCAGCACTTCACACGTCTCCAAAGACTCGGTCTGGCTTCTCTATGCACCTGCTCGATATCTGGTAGATGCTTCTTCTCCGAGGTTGGCGCTATAGGCTGTGTCTTTGCAAATGCTGCGGCGCCTCCCATCGCATGGATTTTCCGAGACTCAACCACCCGCCGTACAAGAACTACATTCTGAAGTCAGCATTCCTTCAGGATATCACGTTGGTCGCCTGGCGTGAGCCACGTACGAGCGAAGGTTTCCTCAATATTGACCATCTCCCTCGCGCTGGTCTCCATGAACCCACATTTCCGAGCTCTGGCCCACTCAAGACCCTGTTGACTTCGAATCTGTCTCGCCGTCTGCAAATCACATTTGTTTCCGGTAACGATCTTCACAGGCGGTACTCCGTCGGTATCTAGACGATGCTCGGTTTCTATCTCAAGCATGTCTGTGAAGTATTGTAGGCCGTCTAGGGACATGGGACTGGTGATGTCGTAGACGAGAAGGAATGCATCGCTCTTGAGATTCGACGTGGCCCACAAACCACGGTATTCTTCTTGGCCAGCAGTATCGGTGATATTGAGGTGATATGTCTTTCCATCAATAACTCGAGTTACCGAGTATGAGTCCTCTAGATAGTGTCAGCTTCGGTAGGTGTCCCTTGGAGCTTTGTGCGTTGCTGGAAAACAATGCCGTGACTGGTTGTACATGGATGCAAAAGGTCGAAGAGCATACCGATCGTAGGGTCATATCTGCGCGATTAATCATGTCAGCTTGGCATACTGGATCTTGGTGAGTGGATGCACTTACTCATGTGTCCATTCACTCCTCACCAGCCGCAGTGTGATTGAAGATTTGCCTGCGCAAGTCAGTCTTCAAGCCCCATAGATTGTTGGTCCATGCCTGCTTCACGCACCGCATCCTCCGTCGCCACATATCGTTATGGAAATCCTGCTGTCCTCGTCCATTCTCCAGCTGTGCTCGCTCTTCTTGTGCTCGGACTTGTAAGGAAAGCGTGTCGCGCGACAAGAGACGACACGTCCAGCAGTCAGTGTGTTTTGCTACTCGCAAGCGATTGTTTCGTATTGGGGCCGCGTGTCGACCCGGAAAGGCTCAGAAGGATTTAGGCAATGCTATAAAAAGCAGGGGTGGAAAGTGGCAGGGAAGAATTGGTGTTTCATGCGCAAGCAACAGGACAGTCCCATTCATTCTCTCATGAGCAGCGAGGCCGAAGTAAAAGTACTGAACGAGCCCATGAAGGCATCAAAAAACCTGATAGAACCCCAACTGACAATTGGCCAATGAATCTCTACCCAAGCCGCGGCTGGGGACCCAGGGCTCAGAATAGTGCCCGAGCGAGCTTCACTCTCTCTCCTGGCGCTCGATAGCAGTAGGTTTCTGCCCCCTGGCGCCACACCGTTGGATTCCCGCAATGGGGGTCCGTGCTCGCTAGCTGAGCTACGATATCTCGAGTCTCTAAAATTACCTATGCAGAAACCCACGACGCCTCCACCATGTCGACTGTTTCTTCTTTGCATTTGTGCACTTTGTGTACTCTGTATGTTTTGTGTCAAGCAGATGTGTGCCTTTCGCATGTACTCGCGTACCTACAACAAAACAATATATGCGTCGCTCATCTCATCAATCCTTCGCCGCTCAGCGGAACCTGAGGTCGTCCGATGCTATCATCACACCACCATACGTACAAATCTAACCAGACACGTCCCAGAAATTGCGCTAGACGATCCCACAGAAACGCCAAATGCAACGCCAAATCGCCCAATACTGAATTTACATTAACGGGAATACACCAGAGTGGTCAGTACTCAATAAAGCTTCTGCACACCAGACCTACTCCTCTATCCAGAATACGATGGGTATCGTTGCGACCAAGCCGGAGCCCTAACAAATTACAGAAGATGTTGAATAAATAGCCATAGATGGTTGTCATTCCGTCTATCATCACTCTGGCTCGACACCCTCGTCAATCTTCGGAGGCACGCCGCCAGATAGGCCTTGGGAGGCTGCCACCTCCATCCTAGCAACCTTAGCATTGTGATTGTCAGCACTCACTTGCTTTGGCGACGTCTGCGAATCTGGCTTGCCAATGATATGGCCACGCGGAGATGCGCTGGTCTTGCTGCCTTTGCTGCCTTTGTCGCTTTGGGCTGATGCAGAGTGTTGAGATGAAGTTCGAGGTGAAACCCGACCGTTCTGTAAGGTGGCATCGTTAGCTGCAATCTTTGACAATCTGCTTCCATCAAAACTCACTTGTTTTGCCCACCGCAAACCGCAGCTATTGCACAAATCACGATTGCCACTGGGTCCGCGCCGCCATTCCGGCGTCACTCTCGTATGGCAGTTTGCGCAATCTTTCTTCAGTTGCCCTGCGCCCTTTCTCCTCTTACGCTTCTTCTTAGCTGCCAGTAAGCTCTGTACTTCTTCAGCCAGTAGTCTGTTACGCTTCTCCATCTGCCTGAGCTCGTACTGCCAACTTGTACTTCGCGTCGTCTTCAGCTCATCAAAGACATTCTCGTCGGATGCTAATTTGGCGTCTTGATGTCCTAGTTTGAGGCCGTCCTTACCAGCATGTGTCGCGGCTGACTCGTTCGTGGCAATAAATTGGCTCGCAGATACACCCGATGCAGGTGTATCATTACCTGTGCCTTGGCTTGTACCAAGAGCATAGGATCCAGAATGGTGGGATGTCGCATCCACTTTAGCTAATAGTAATTGACGTTGCGTGCTTCCCCGGGAAAACTTGAGCATACGAGTCTGGGCTACTAGAAACGTCGGTTTCTGTCCTTCAATAGCGTCACCCGGGTATACAGTCGTGAATGCCTGGAGAATCTGTCCCCGCTTATTCATCATTTCGTGCTTGACCGATGCCTTTTTTCCCGTCCGGACGATGGAAAGAATACGGCCAAACTCTTTCTTCGAATCCCCGCGCATCAGAAGCTGAATACTCGTTCCAACAAGCTCTTCTGGCTGGCGGTCAAGGAGTTGTCTAACATTTGAAGACACAAACAAGAACATTCCAGAAGTTGACATCTTCGTCCACAACTCGTTATCGCCGATCCCTCCGGATTCCATTATATCGCTCTTGCTCAGAGTATAGACTGGCCGCTCACGTCCAACGAGAATGATGCATTTCCGACCTTTACCTTGTTCGGTATGAAGCGATCCGTGGCCTTCGAACCACATGTAGCCGCTATGTTTTCGTCGTATCCGGAATACAACATTGACCGAGACCCCACTCGAGGTGTCTTTCAACTCTCTGGTAACGGGTACGATGTCACTCGGATGACAGACAGAAGATAGTGCTGTCCCAACCAGCTCATTCGCTTCGTACTCTAGAATCTTTCGACTGGACGGAGACAGGTAGAGAAATAGGCCTTTCAGAGACAGCACGTGTACCACGTCATCAGTATTTTCGAGAAGAATCTTATCCCAAATCCGTTTAGCAAACTCGGAATCGCCTTGCGTTCCAAAGGTACTCAGAACATTCGAGACTTCGTCGCGTGTGATCGTTTGGCCTAAGTCCAACTGTGATCTTTGGTCAGGGGCGATGTATCTCGGCATGGTCAGCCCCCGCTGATAGTTGATTTTGTATGTGCCATCTAAGCAGGTCAGCTATCTTCATAGAGGAATCAAAATTCGAAGCTCGCATACCCGGATTCTTATTCGTCACTGAACTAGGCTGCTCTACAAGGTCGACCTGAAAACCTACGAAGAATTTCGTACTATTTCCGTCCCATGTGATGGGGATCATAGTCAGCAAGTTCATAAAGGGCTGTCCACCTCGACGATAGTTTATGAGACTGATTTGGGCTTCCTTCCTTGTCGTGATCATGTTCTTCAAGTACAGGACAGAGTCGTCATCAACATACTTTCGCTTGATCCCAGGCTCGACTCGGCCGTCAGGTGACTGCAGGAAGCGACAATTTCGTCCGAGGATTTCGTGCTTATTGTAGCCCGTTAAGCGCTCAAAGTTATCGGAGCAGTACACGATTGGGTTGTCATCTTGTTCAGCATCGCAGACCACAAAGGCACAGGAAAGATCGACGGAGCCGATGTTGATTTCGGGATTCGGTCGTGTTGCAACTCGCATCTGCAGACGGCGGTCAATACATATTGTGCCAACGAATCGAAAGACGTCAACAACATACCAAGACACCTAACATGTCAAATCCCGTTGAGGAATATGCGTTCTTATATTGTGACTCCATGTGGGGTCGCGCATTGCCCATTGTGGAAGGATAGCCCCCTAATCTGATATGAGCATGAATGCAATCCAAATCTCACGATGTATCATACCTTCAGGCGCAGTCCAGGGAACCTTGATGATCTGACTGGTTGCGGTATTGTTCTGATGGGTCGAAGAGGTATCGTTCCGGAATTGCGCGACCTGTGGTACATTGCTGGAAGAGCCTTGGTTTGACGCCGAGAGACTACCTTGGGTTGAATTGTGACGCGTACTCTGTTCCTGGCTGCCGAGTCGTGATGCACGGAAATCTGGCGTTGCGCTGCTCTGGGCTTCCGACTTTGGATATGGTGACTTTCCGTCTTGACTTGGTTGGCTTCGCAAGGTTGGAACACTCGGTGGTGGGCGTTGTTGGGGATTTGCTTGGAGAGACGAAAAGTCTGGAGCCATGGGTGAATTTAGTACAGGAGATCCAAACTGATCTGTACCAAACATCATGGAATTAGCGTCTCCATTCATGAGATTGTTCAGTGAAGGATCCGTCATATCCATGGCCATCGACAGACTTGTGGGTCCAAAAGTGTTTGCGATTTCCATATCCAGGTTTGTGTTTGCATGTATGGGCGATGCGTACGTGGATCCACCCATGGCCATCGATGTGTAAGGGGAGCCCTGGCCCGAAAACGTAGGCCCATTTACCAAGGCGTTTGTTGAAGTCTGCCTTCGGAGTTGAGGATTTGTCGATGTCTCAGGGAATGAAGTGTTGCGCATCATTTCATCTAGAGGTAACTGCGGATCGAATTGAAAGCCTTCCAGGGAGGTAGGCGAAGAAGTATTATAGTCCATCATGGATATCCTCCTCATTGCTGGGTCGTTCATGCGTGCTTGATTACTGGCGTAGTGAACCGGCATACTCCTTCTCCTGATATTATTCGAATTATTCTCCACAATATCGTTCAGATTCTGCGGCACGCCCATGCCTTGCTGGCTAGACCCATCCGACTCCATCATCTCCATCATGTTGGCCCTTGCGTCGGTCGAGTACTGACGTTGGAAATAGTCATTCATGTTGGCCATGGTCCACCGAATCTCCGCGACGATTGAACGTGTACGGAGATCAGGTTACCGTGGGCACAGGGGGCCGTACATTCGCACAGTAATGGTATCGGCGGCGTTGTGGGCAGACGAGCTCGTTCTAGCTGTCCTCGAGGAGTCGACCGGTCGATTTGCGTCATGCAACGATGACATTAGGACACGTCGGGAGGGCGAGAGGGGGAGGAGAATGTAGGCGCAGTATTGTCCAGAACTCGATGTTGAGCATACGCAGTGAATGCTGCTGGTTGTTTAGAGCTATGGAGGTGATCTGAGGCCCCGGTTTGCAGTGGGGAAGGGGATTCGCTGTAATCCCATGTCTTCGGGTTGCTGCCGATCTTGGGCTTAGGCTTGGACCGTGACATTTTTTACAATTACTAACCACCGAAAATAACATCGATTCTTAGATATCGTCTTGACCGGCCTAAAAACGCACCACAACGCACACAGCGCAATGATACTGCGGCGATGTTTGTTACGAGCGGGTATGCTTGCGAATCCCATTCATTTAAGAGTATTGGTCTAATCAGTCGAGATGCAGGTCGGAGGGCGCTGCCAGACGCGAGGTCTACTCGAACAAACTGGAGAGCTCAAAGTACAATCGTAGCAGAGACTACTGAGCCTGTCCAACATACCACGGAAGAGCTGCAGAGCCTTCTCACCGAGTCCCACACTCGTGTCAAGGCATTGGAGCTGGAAGCAAATAGCCACCTGGATCGCCCGTTACCTCCATCGACTGCCGACGCGGCCCTTTTCAACGACGCTCAACACGCTCTAGTACGACAACAGTTTGATAATTATTTAAGAACAAGTCAGTCCTTCATGGCCATCATGCCTAGAACTTCTACCATGCTAAGACGTTGTAGAACAGGAATTCTCGAAAATCGGCGCGACCCAAGCTCCTCACTACCAACCCCATACGCTCATCTCGAATCCGCCACGACTTTCTGATGTCACGCTCGAGCTTCTACTCGCCTCGGAGGCCCATATCGGTCACTCAACGTCCAATTGGAATCCCATGAATTCGCGCTACATATTCGGAATCCGACAAGGTGTACATATAATATCGTTAGATGTCATTGTCGCACATCTTAGGCGAGCAGCCAGGGTTGTAGAAGAGACCGCTCGCCGTGGTGGTCTGATTCTATTCGTTGGGACAAGAGGTGGACAAGAGCGATGCGTGGTCAAAGCTGCCGAACTCGCGGGGGGCTGCCATATTTTCGAGCGATGGATACCTGGAAGTATCACCAATGGACAACAGCTTCTAGGCCATTGTGAAATAAAAGTTGTGGATGAGCACGATCAAGAAGTACCAGGTTTCGACGACCTCACGTCGGAGCGGGCTGTCTTGAAGCCTGATCTCGTTGTGTGCCTCAACCCAATAGAGAATGCAGTGCTCCTCCACGAGTGCGCTATGGAGCCCATCCCAACTATCGGAATCATCGACACAAATGCAGATCCTACAAAGGTCACCTATCCGATCCCTGCAAACGATGACAGGTCAGTAGACATTCATGAGCTTGATTCATACCTTGCTAATCCATTTCCAGTTTACGTTGTGTTCAAGTCATTGCGGGTGTGTTGGGCCGAGCAGCTGAATCTGGACGGCAGGCACGACTCGAGGCTGCTAAGAGAAATGAGTATACCTTTGCACCAGCGGCCGGCCTGCAACTGCCCCTGACGGGGAAATCCGTGGAGCAAACGGGATAAAGGATGCCAAATGTGGACCCTTAGTGATAACATGATGGATGATGATCCTGTTCCGAGGCAGAGCAGGAGACAGCAAAATTAGGTATACTCACCTGAGTTACGACAGTCTTATCCCCAAACTATTGTACTTCTATAGGTCAATTATACATATGTACTAGTAGCAGCACGTTGTGTATACAGCGCTTTTGGTACTTCTTCAGTACCTGTATAATACACACTAGAACTGTAAACTAAGACTCCGCAGGGTTGTTTGGGTACACTGCGTAGAAACGCCACAAGACTTTAGTGAGAATGCTATGATATACAGTAAGTGGTAAACATTCATAGATAAACAATGTAGAGCCTTCATTGAGGGAATGAATTAAGACTACAATCCTATATAGCTACACCAAATAACCAGAAGTTCGAGAAAAGACGCTGACTGGAATGTTAAAAAACAACTTTTACCGTAACATATGTTTCATTAGTATGCTAGAAGTACTCGAAAGGAATAAGACTGTTGGAGAAATCTGGGTTTCATAGCTGAACGTAGTACGTGCGGACTTATGGGGGCAGAGTTGCATGCTAAAAGCAGAAATACATGATCAAACTCGTAATGTTCTCACTCTTGTGTACCGATCACTGTGTTCAACTCTCAATCCCGCGATAACCGATAAACAGATATAGCTCATATGATGCTCATATTCAACAACGGGCTAAGTATTTGTCGCACACCGCGTGTGTCAGTAGCATTCATTCGCATTCGCAGTCTTCAGTCTTGTCAACGCCCCTGATGGGTCTCTCGTCCACAGGATCTGCCGAGCTAAATGGATACATGTCTACACATCGCTTCATTTTCCCCTATTTGCCGGGGGGGGGGAGGCACTCTTCTCGCGGCATCCAAATATATCTCGGAGCGCAATTTGGCCCAAACCACAGAAAAGGTGATCTCAAGACAGATCTCGCTCTTCTTATTTTCTTTGTGTTCTCATTCTTCAGCCCTTCGAGTCTCCTCCTTCTTTGCCGCCCGTGGCGCCCTCGGCCTCACTGCTGCGTTCCTTTCGCCGTTGCGCGACGTCCCAGTTGTACACTCGTGCTGTCGCGACTTCAAGGGTCTGTAGTACCAGAGTATATCCACATCAGCATTCATTCACCCAGTCCCGTCCCAGGCACACACACACGAATCTCCCCATGCGTACTCACCGTAATCTGCTCCCTGAGAAAATCCTGATCCTCATCACAATTCGCCAAGCTCTCCTTTGCAACCCGCAGCTTATCCGCCAGCAGCTCCTCCGCCTCGCGGATGGGATACGCGAGCATGACGTTTGCGCCCAGCCAGAGATATACCTCGTCCGTGGGCGGCACGATGGCCTTTGCGAAGAGGGTGTCGTTGAGCTCAAAGGTTGTTTCTAGTGGGGCGGTGATGTTCTTGGTGGCGCGCGAGGAGAGGAAGCGCACGACGTCGAGTGTCTTTTGGATGTCGGGTATTTTGACCTTGAGGCCTGAGGCGCGCCGTTGTTGGTTTACTTCCATGAATTGGTATTTGCTGGCTTTGGGGTTAACTGGGGGGTGGGCCGATTAGGGTCTGACGATGTGATGTGATGAGACAGCAATCGAGTGTCATCAGGTAGGAGAGCGGGAGGGAAGGATGAAGGTATTGATTGGCGCGACATACGATATCATCTCCTGGAAGCTCTTCAGCGTGCCTTCGACCTCGGCGCGCGACGTCACGTAGTCTTCGACCTTGTCGACGAACGGTGCGTACGGAATGCCGCGTGCGTTAGTTGGGGCTTCCTTGCCCCTTCTGCCGTGCGAATTAGCATTCTCAAGTAACACAGATGATGCAGCAGCCCTACATCGTAGCTGGAGAAGCCATGTTTCTAAAGGGCGGCGGAGGTCGTGTGTCGTTGTAACAGAAAGAATATATTTGCGTCCCGGTACCTTGGGAAAGGTTTTAGAGCTTCAGATGACCCTTGGCGGGGCAGACAAGCACGACGTTCACTTCAAGGTTGTAAGTATATTATCAAACAGAAAATAATATATTGATGAGCGATCTGAATATATTTAGTAGGTGAAAATATACGTATAGCGTGTATAGTAAAAATATAATTAAAGATGAGCCTCTGATGCTCGTAAGATGTATGTAGAAGCACTGGATAGAAAATACAAAATGTAGTGGTCGAGGATCGAACCTGGGGTGTTCCAAAGATTGAGGGAGTGGAGTTTGGTGCCCGACTCAAGGTCACTTCTGGTAAAAGGCAAGAAATGAGTTCTGTAAATCGTGGCACTCCACATGAAAAATGCATGTAACCAAAATATATTTCACAACATACTGCACCTCCTGACTGAAACCGGGAAGAAATCTCACTAACTGTATTTTATTCTTACACACAGTATGTTACACAGTGCACGAGACCGATAGACCCGCCTTTTTTAAAATTAAGGCATCCGATGTCTCAGTCTCTCCATCCTGCTGGATTCGATGCACATGGGATTTTTATTTCACCGATATGGAAAATGCCATGTGTCTTTCTTTACTATATTTGGCTTCGCGTGCTCAATGATTTTGTGTGCAGTGCCACTGCAAGGGAAACGCGCCCGTGAAGTTCTCTCATGTTATTTGCTTGCTCTATCATTTATCTAGTCTATCTATCTGTCCTCCAAGCATAGTACCATCGTTGCGCGCGGCCTGTTGTAGGGCGGCAGGCGGAGTCGCGAGTTTTTTGGAACTGCGTCCTGCATTGGAAATGATAGGATACTTCTTAATGTCTGCAGATCATGATATACTATCGTAATGCTACAAGCAAGCTGCAAATGCATTTAATCAATTTTACCACCATGCTTACTGCGCCTAGCTGTTGATCAACCTCGTAGTAAACTCCGCTCTGATGAAATTGTTAGATGGCAGGAATCCGAGATGAATGAGCGCACTTACACTGCAAACGTGCCAGCGCTCACGGGCATCGCTCTCAGCAACGTCGGGCCTATGCCTTTCCAGAACCCGCCCAGGCCTTCCGTCTTCATGATCTGGGAGAAACAGTCTCTCATGCTGCGGTACCTCATCTTCTCGCCAAAGCCATCGCTCTGCATCTTGCTCTTCACCACATCGAATGGATAGCTAGATAACCAGAGCATTTCCCCAGCTAGACCGCCATACAAGGCGATCTTTGGCGTGCTGATTTCTTCCCGTTTGATGTCGTTCCGCTTTGCGTCCGCATTCATGAGATACTCGTACGTGAGAAACCAGGTTCCGTATGCCTGCGCTTCACGCAGGATCGTCACCGCCTCGCCGCGATAGACGCCTGCGAAGATGCCGCGATGGGCGGAGAGCTTCCGGACACAGTCGATCGGACCGGTATACAGTCTGCCAGCTCCATGGGGTTGGGTCTGTAAACGAATGCGCACGTGCTCAATAGGTCCAGATAATGGCGAATTGGCAATGCCTGCAAAGGCACCTGCGAGGTAGTACTGGCCGTATGATAGCTGGGCGTCCTTACCGCTCGCAACGTTCCGTTGCTCGAATGCACGGCGTGCCCAATGGAAACCTCCGAATTGCACGGATACCTGGTGTCTTGTTTAGATGATGCGAATCCATTCGTGAGGTCTCCTCCGGTACCGAGAACACTTACACAAGCACCTATGCCTATCAACGGTGTGAGCGTGCCTTTATAGAAGGCCAATGGACCCTCGTTCGACCATATCTTTGTCGCACAATCGAGTGCGCCGCTATACGTTGTCGTTGTCTGCAGGCGTACTTTCACGATATCTATAGATGTGAATATACGTGCTTCCACAAACTTGATGCGAGATCATACCGAACGGCTGGCCTGATCATGTCAGCTCGAATTCATAGCAAGACCAATAGATAGCACGTGAATCGGGGAAGATGTTCATGAACAGGCGAATGATGGAGGAGAGAAGCGGATACACACCCAGAAGAACCTGCGCAATCCCACCAGTTGCTCCAGCAAACAAGTCTTTCAGAGTCTGATTAACGCCTTGGTCGTCCGCGTCTATATCTCTTTCGGCGCCCATTATAAACAGTGTCTTTCACCCACAAGCGGATTGATAGAGCCCAATGACAAGATGCGGCCCCAATGAGGACAAAGCACTGTCGGTCGTATTATGAGCCGTTCTCGGTAATCGTGCCAGTGGTTTGGTCGTCAATGCTTTGCTGCAAGGTATTATTAATTAGCGACACCAATGAAGATGACGTGCCAGGTTAGTGGGAACGTGCTTTGCCAAGGGATTAAACAGTGCTAGTCAGAACGAGTTAGTCACGATATCAAGAAAGTGAATGTCAACCAGGTCATTCTCATGGTGAAATTATTATCTATGTATACCCTATGCATATAGTAGTCCAGAGGTCTATAGAGGGGACTCGGGATCATGCAACCATCAGCTCATGCCGCTGAGCATGTCGTCTAGATTTACAGTCTTACTCGCTCTGACCTTCCGTCTCTTTCCCTGCCCGTGCTGCGAGACGAGCTCTCCATCTTGCAGTCTTTTCGAAACATCAACCGCATTGGACGGTGAAGTCAGTCGACGATCATCCCGAATGAACCAGTTCATTTTTGAGGCCGGCGGTGGCATACGAGCATCGTTGACTCCTATGCTACTATACAACAGACTGAGTATTGGTGCCCGCTCATTCATGACTATAGAACCCTCCGTATCTTTAAGCTTGAGCGGCCTCGACTCGAGGCATGTGCTCAGCATGGTTGCGATATTCCGATGCAGGCTCTCCGTTCCTTTAAATGCTCTTGCTAAGGATGAGTGCGTTGGGTGAGAGCCATTGGTAAGTCTGAAGGACGAACCGACTTCCTGGCCATAGACTTGGTCGCTAGAATAAGCATACTCGCAGATAGGCTCCAAAGCTACGACTTGGAGCGCGACGATTGACTCCAGACGGCGCAGAGCATCAGCTGGGATCCCATTGTATCCTTGCATAATAAGAAGCCGTAAGGTAGAGAATCCGTTCTCCGTCAATGCTTTTTCCTCTAGTGCTCGTATGGTTCGTAGATCCAAGTCTCGCTCTTTGAATTCCACGTTACTGAGAACGAGAGCGGCAAGGTTGGGCATGAAGGCAAGACTGACGAGCTCTGCCAATGTCACCTGCGCGTTTCGAAGCGTGACGGTGACAACATATCGAGACGGAGTAGAAGATCCGTGTAGTCGTAGATCTTCGAATGTAACATATGCGCAGTGATCCTTGCTTGGGTGCTTTGCACGTAGAGTGAGGGGATAAATTCTCAGCGGCCGTTGCCCAGAACCTTCAGGCCAGTCCGGATCATCGTCCAACGCGTCCGCGTATGCATTCGCCATCGTTCTCCAAACCGTCATCTCTCTGCGATATGCACGTGCAAGCAGCCATATTTGTTTTCCTAGACGCCAAGGGACACGATCCCGAAGGACGTGGGAATCTATGTGTTCCACAAGGTGCGCGCACGCTCTAAGGCAAGTGTCTGTCAACGAACCAGTTCCGGCGCCAGTGTCTTCCATCTCAGGTGATCATCGACCAGGTCGAGCCGGTGTTATCTGAAAGGCCTGTGAAATGTTTTCTGTTCGTCTCCGTCCCGGGCCAAGTTCTGCGCGTTGGAGAATACTTGTTTCGTCGCGAATGGGAATCCCATTAGAGTACTGGGATTTGGGACGTAAAGCAGATGTGTCGTGTGGATCATGTACGACGCCGCGTCGAGGTGGTAGTGCGACAGGATATGTAGATTTATCGTCAGGCGTTTTAATCATGAATGCCTAAGTAGACAACACATATGTTAAGAAATTGATGTTGGTTGTTTTAAGGTAGAGTAAAGGCTACGGGCGTATTCAGGCATTTATCAAACCCGACCCGTCACCCAACTAGGAATTCATTTCTAAGTAACGTGATACAATGTTTTTGATTTGGTAAAAACTACTTCTAGAACTTCGTCATGTAATTCAGAAGCGGTGCCCGTTTACGCCAAATGACAATCAAGTCCAGGCAGGTATAATGACCTCCATGCAGAGAAAATGAGACAGCCTCACTGCTGCAATTTCCGACGATAGCAACTAAGCCGTGATTATATCATAGTTCACCATTCCTTATATTTCTTTTATGTGCAGAAAATATTTTACAGCTCGTCGTGGACACCCTCGTCGTCACTGATGACGGACGCAGCGGCTTCGGCGGCATCCTTGACGGCACTCTTGATCTTGTCAGCCACACCCTCCTCATCCTCGGTGGCGGCTGGAGCTTGCGAGGGCATATCCTCATCGACCTCCTCCTCAGGTGGTGCAACATAAGCGTCGACCTTGTGAGAACCATTCTCCTTGATGAAGGTGGCAAGGTCTTCGATAGTACGGGAGCCAGAGTAGTCAATAGGGGAGTCCTTCTTGCCAGCAGGGAAAAGCTTGATGGTGGGAAAGCCTTGAATCTCATCAGGGACATCGTTGGCGGTAGCGTCAACCTTAGCGACGACAACCTGGTCAGCGTGATCGTTCCAGTACAGAGCAGCAAGCTCCTCGTACTTGGGAGCAAGAGCTTTGCAGTGACCGCACCATGGGGCGTAGAATTCAACGAGGACATCCTTCTTGTCATCGAGAACGATGTCATTGTAGTTGTGGGCAACGATGACGGTAACTGGACCGTCCTGGGATTCAGGAATTGGCTCCGACTTAATGCTGGCCTCGACCTTACCAGCAACAAACTGATCGACGAACTCGCCAATCTCCTTCTTGGTGATCTTCTTGTCTTGGTCAAAGGGGAACTTCTCGTTCTTGTCTGTCTTCTGGATGGCGAAGGCGGGCCACTTGCCAACCTCCAAGTTCAGGTTACCAGCGTGTTGGCCGAAGGCCTTGGCGTCGATGGTAGCGAAGTTGACAACACCCTTGTGCTTCTCGGCAACCTCCTTGAGCTCCTTGGAAAGTTCTTCACGCTCCTCTGGGGTCTCAGCGAAGACGTACGCGAGGGGTAGACCAGCGGCCATGTATCCTGCGTAAGTCTCGGGGCCGACCTCACCAATCAGAGGGGTCGCTGATGTCTTAGTGAAAGCCTCGATGGCCTCCTTCTCGAAAGCTTCAGTGAATGTGTTCTTGCCCTCGTCGAAGGTCTTGTAAAGAACAATGGCGGGCTGTGTGACACCCTCGGCCTCAGCCAAGGCAGCGTCGCTAGATGCGCCGAAAAGATAGTCATCACGGAGACTATCGGCGACGGATGTGAATGTCTCGTTTGAGGCCTTGTCGTCGGCGGCGAAGAACCCGACTAGGACAACCTTGTCGGCAATCTTGAAGTCTTCGATTGTTTCCTTGGTGATATCTGAGACGGCAGGTAGAGCTTGCTTGGTCATGTAGGAGACGATGCTGGTCAATGAGTTAGCGAGCAATTTCTTAGTTTGAGTGGTAGCAAAATAACTCACGCGTCCGCCTTCCGTGCGCCCTGGTAGGCGGTAATGCTCTCTGGTCCACGGAAGACCTTGAGAGTTGGGTATCCCTCGACGCCGTATGACTTGCAGAGGTCTACCTCTTCTGTGCAGTCAACCTTGACTAGTGGAATATCCTTCTCCTTGAGTTGTGTGGCGGCATCTTCATATTCAGGGGCAAGCGCCTTGCAATGCCCACACCAGGGAGCGAAGACTATTCCAATTAGCTGAATTCGGAATTACCAGAACTACCAGGCACATACACTCTGCAAGAACAAGATCATTCTCCTCGACAAAGGTCTTGAAGGTATCCTGCTTCAAGTCGTGAACATCTGAAGCTGCGGCAACGGCGGCAGCAGCCAGGCCGAAGGCGACGTTTGACAAGCCACGCATGGTGGTGTGTACGCGTGAAGTGAAGTAGAGGAGGATAAAGGAAGTGATCGCAGCGGACTGACAAAGTCACAGGGCGATCAGGAGATGAGGCTATATGGGAGAGAGGATTGAGGAGGGAGGGAGTATGAATGGGGAGGAAATGGTGAAGCTTCACAGAACAGTAGAGCTTTTGTAGAGGCGAGCTGATCAATGTGTCCACGGTGTCTTCAGAGCAGGACTTTGACCTGATTGGGCCGTTTCCTTACAAAGCCCCGCTTACTTGTACCGCCACCCAAGGGTCAAAGGGTTTAAAACCACGGGCATCCTGGTCGCTGCAGGAATGGAACCGTCTGACCTAATTGACTAGCCGATACTATATTTATTCATTTATCAGAGCCATAGCCTCAAGTACTATATCCCGCTAGAGCTTCTGACTTTTAACGAGGGTACAATCGAGAAAAGCCACGGTGTTCTTGTCTCCGACGGTGCATATGTATTCCAAAGCATCAGACCGCATGTCATCTCACGTGGGGTAACAGCTTGATACGCCTATCAACAGTCTTCATATATTCAAGCATAGGTGGTCATATCTCCCGCGGCATTGATCAAGCACGGTACGCTGCGCGCAGAGCGCAAGATACGATAGGCACTATAGGCTTATCACCCATCGTTTACTACAGAGTTCGACGGAAACAATCAAGTTAAGAGTATTTCCTGTTCGGCGCATGTTCCTCGTATCAGACATTGCCAGCAAGTAGATCTGACCTCTATTGATGCTTGCTTGGAACTGATTTGCGGCGTGCGCACGGTCGCAGGCACCTTGTCATGGCAGCGACAAGAGATGTTCAACGTTTAATATTGCTTACGACTCGTCGTTCGAAAGTGTGCCATAATCAACATAGGGCTGACTTTGCGAGTCAGTCTCGTTCCTATCACTATTGCCAACATATGTAGACCATCGCTCGTCCTCCCCTTTATTCAGTAGTTCGTTTGCCATAGCAGATCCGTCTCTTCGACCGCGTTGCACGTCAACCAGCAATATGAAAGGGAAGGTTGATGCTATCATGGCTGCAAGGAAGAAGAATGCCTTCATGTGTTAGTATATAGCGATATCATGAAGAGTATCCATCACTTACTGGCCGTATCTCACCAGTGGCGTCAGTGATCGCTCCTACTACAGCCGGTCCAAAGATACTACTTCCTTTATCTGTGATTGCGTATAGCGCATAGAAGGCGGCTTCATATCCTGGCGGAATAAGTTCACCAAACAGACTTCTACAGTACGATGAGAAGCCTCCAAGCGCGAAGCCGTACACAGCGCCAACCGGATACATCTCCCAGTCCTGCTGAAGGCCAAGGACACCAAGTCTCTGTATGACAGGTATATATGAAAGAAGTCCATAAAGCGGAATGAGCAGAAATATACAGAGGCACAAGATTATAGTCTGTGTTGGTCGCAAACTCAACAACGAAGAGAGTTTCGTCCACGTGAAAGCACCTATGACGCCGGACAAGGTCCCGATAACGCTAATCAAGGCAAGTGCTGTCGATGTCATTTCCAGCGACGTCTTTGCGAAAAGTACAGCCGTGCCACCTACTGTTGCAATGCTGTCGCTTAGCAGAAACCATGCGGTGAGAAAGAGCACGACGTCCTTCAATTTACGCGCTTTCCTTGCCGTCTTGCCGAGTGATGACCAGGAATAGGTGAAGTAGGCGACGAAAGCTTCCCTGCTTGTTGCGAAGTCCCGACCAAGGGGTGGACCGGGTCGAGGTCGTAGCCAGAATGCGGTTGGAAAGGTAAACAGGAACCACCAGGCGCCTATTAGAAATAAGGCGAGCTGCAGCGAGATTGTTGATTTAGGCCCAACAATCTGCACGATGAATACGGCTAGAACCTGTACAATTACAGCGGCAATATAACCAATCCCTATGCCATAAGATGAAATCTTGGTCGACAAACGGAGCTCTACAGAGTCGGTTGACCGTGTGATCGGATTAGGTACCGTAAGATCGACAGCAGAGGTAGCACCGCCAACTAGGAGTGAGGTCGAATCAGCAAGCCCTTCGAAGAAGGATTCGTCGTCACACATGCTGTTCGAGACCTGGGCGTCCACAATGATGGACCCCTCTCGAGTCAGCAGCCCATCTTCGTCAATCAGGGGTTCATCGACGTGCGCTCCAGCATACTGCACAGTAGGGTGGTTTCGCACTAGGACTGGTAGGAAGGAGTTCAGCAGAACGAATGATGCCCCAAAACACGTATTAGCTACTATAGCAAGAACGGCAGCCAGGAGGTATAGACGTGGAATTATAGTGATGAAGAGCATCGTAGCAATCGAGCCTATAAAAGCAAAAACCAAGAGGAAGGTCTTGCGGTAATGGCCGTGGTCAGCAGCGCCAGACATGGATATGATCAACAAGGCTTGTACGAGGACGCTGAGGGAAAATGTGTACATGGCGAAGCTGGCTGTATTGATTTCGGTGCCCATAATGTTGATTATGCATTGTGCTGATTCGTGTCTTGGAGATTGCGAGAATGTTGCAGGAGGTAATGTCGATTTGGCAGCACCACATGGTGTCTTCCGATCCGACAAGAGGACGCCGTTTTCGCGAGCCAGTTGTTCCAATGTGATTGGAATGAAGGAGCCAACGCCGCACACTACGAAGACCTATTGAGGAGTAAGTGAGTATATCGAAGTGTCAAAGGGAAGTTGAATAGACTCGTGGATGTTAGGTAGGTAGTAGAGCGCGTACCTCAGCAGCCCAGCCATACATGTAGAAGCCAGCTAGCTCTTTCCTGCTGGTGAGACGGGTGTCTTCACCTTCATACCGGGCCACAGCAGGCATGGTGTGATCTTCGAGGCTCGAATGCTCATCGTCAGCAGAATAGCTGGATGAGATGAAGGATGAGGGCGAGCGAGAGAGGCGCTTTGAGTTTGGAGAGGTGGGGAGTTGTAGGTAAGCTGAGGTGGGCTCGGGCGAGGGAGCATTTGGCGGCATAACTGCTAACCTGAGGTACCAAAGCTGGTACTATTACCGTATTACCCTCCCTCCCTAGGTACGCGTAGGTAGGTAGCTTGGACCCTGAGGGATCAGAGTCTCAAGCAGTCAGCAGAGTAGCAAAAACGTCGTAACATGACGGCAAGGCTGCATATGATTCCAACAAAAGGGAGTCCCAAGTCAGCCCAGCTGCCTGTAAGAAAGAGAGCCTTGCGACGACAACGACGAGAAGAAAAAGAGATGAGGAGGTGCAGGTGGGAGATAAGTTGGAGATTGTTCCCATGAGCACTTGACCGGGGGAGGTGGGTCTCTCTGGTCTGCTGGATACGGATAACGTTAGAGCAGGAGAGCTTAACCATGATGATCTATCTAGCTACTTATCGTCTATTTGACGTTGGACTCTGCAGTGTTGCAGGTGGGTTTGATGGCATCATGGCAATCCATGGATCTGCTGCCGTGCGTAGCGTCTTCCTCGTCCTCTTCACAGCCATTGTCACCATTGTCACCATTGTCACCATCGTCACGCTCTTCTTCCTTACTCCATCCACCCGACAAACATCCATCGTTTGACTTGGCTTCTCAATCTGCCCTGTCTGACATCGTAGTCGAGCACAAAGCTGGTAGCTACGAGGTTGGAGAGAGATGAGGTATGCCTGCATCGCCGTGGAAGCGCCGTCAAGCTACCAGCTCTGTCTTCCTCTTGGTCATTGAATGACTGAGAGATCATCCTGCCATCTCTCACCAAGACCAAGTCGGTGGTGGTGTACAGTGCGGGCGTAGCTGCATTGTAACCAGCACAGAACCCATATTAAAACCTCCTTCTTGTCATGCAATGGATAGACTTGCTTGTTGCATCGAAATCTGCGCGGCATGATATTAGGAATTCTTCTTCTTGCTTACATACCGTATCGCCGCAATGTGCCACTACGACGAACACACTATCGTCTTATCGGATCAGTACCTGGTTCAGAAGAAACGTTCAATCCTTGTCGTGAAACAATGGGAAGTGCTTGACTCGTGTTTGTTTCGCTTGGAGGTGGGTGTGTGGTCGTGTTCGTTTTAGATGTATACTGAATGCCTTATTAATTAGGTACTATTCAAAATTATTACCTAAACGCTCCAAGTGCCTTGCCAAGACTTCTGGATGAGCGAGGTGTGTTCCATTCATCGCCCTCTACCTGTAACAATCACCTACATCATCAACACACTCACCCTCTCACCCTCTCTCACTCTCTCTTCCGAGACTCTTCACCACCCTCCTCTCCACTTCCTCCCCACCGTTCCTCTTCTCAGACTCCTTGCGCCGCAACTTCCACTATCTACTCGTTCCGCGCATATCTGGGCAGCAATCCTTTCCACCTACCTTCTTCGCGCGCGACCGTCACTAGCCTTGTCCTGCCACCACTACGCATCGACTTCATCCGCAAAAAATACCGCGTCACCTACTTCTCACACCACTCTTCACTGTTTTTCTATGACTGCTTAGCCAGAACATCGGCAAGATACAGTCTGCTGATTCGAACGGGGCGGAAGGGCCGGGGTGGGCGAGAGGTGATGCCAGCGGAGGAAACAAGGACATGCCACTGATGATGGACGGAGACGATGGCCCTGAAGATGTTGCGCCAGCGGAAAAGAAGGGTAAAGAGGTCATGACCACTACAAATGGTGTGCAGGTGCAAGCTTCAGCGCCGTCGGCGCCTTCAACGTCCAGCTTGAAGCAACCCTCCATACTTGACCTACCTCCCGAATTACGTCACATCACCGAAGGCCTCTACTCTGTCGGCAAGCTTCTAGGAAGAGAGACTGAAAAATGCTGGAAAGATATGCAAGATCTAACCGAAGACCTGGCGCGCATGACGCCTGGCGCCAGCACGACGAATGGTGTCCACGGCCATATGAATAATGGCGCTTCATCATCTACGAGTGTGGATCAAAGCAAGAAACTAAAAATATTGGAGTTTGCACAATCACATCGGGACATGTTTACTAAGTTGCTTGTCATCTGGAAATGGACGCCAAAGAATGATGCACTCCGAAGGTTGATTGACCTGTGGGCTTGGATTCTTGAGTCTGACGAACATCCCAATCAAGCTGCGTGGTGGATTGGGCAACAAAGGTATAACAGCGACCGATGGAAGGAACCAAATCCAGATATTCGCACCGCTCTCGAGGTCCTCTCCACAGGAAAGGCCTCATGGCTACCAGATGTAAGACGAAGCGTTGCCTTTCACACTTCTTGAACGCTAACAGAATACAGTTTGGTTTCATTCCGCCAGAACCCATGACCCCGGAGGACATTCTCAAATTATTGAGACGCACTAACACAGACCTCTCTATTCGCATCAATCTACACGAAGATCTACCTAGGACTTTGCGCACATATAGTATCAAAAATGGGCGTGTTACATTCAATATACCGGGCGAATTCGAACTTGATGTTTCAGTTCAGGACGACAACCATGAATCACCATTCTACTTTATCGATCTTCGTTTCACTTTCACGCCGCAAATCGAGATCCCTGACGGACGATTTCTTGCTGGACTTGAGCCGGAAATGAACAGCCTCCTAGCATCTTCCGGCCTTGTGGGATGCTACGAATATCTGCACAACTTTTGCTTGACCCTCAAAATCCAAACCTTGAAACGGCAGGCTGTTCAATTGGCCATGGATACTTATGCGAACGCTTTACGGGTAGAGATGGTGCGACGAATGCTTATCGTGCAGTACTGGATTGAATCACCTGGGAGTAAAAACTGGTTCGAAATTGGCGTGTCGAGTAGTCAGCCTTCCAAGAAACGATGGTTCAAAAGAGATCCCGAACCACCCGCGTTGACCATAAGATGGATGAGGAACTCGAAAGAGGTCCAGACGGTGCAGGATCTTCATATAGATTGGTCCTCTCTGTCGATGGAAAGAATCCTGCAGCGAATTATTTCCAGCCATATCTGTCACATCTTTGAGAGAATTCTCAGCCACCTTGAGAGCGAAATCCCAGTTGGTTCCACACTGGCAAGCAAGCTATGCTTGGATGATGCTGATGCATCCAACTCCTACTTACGAGTCACCCTCGCGAAACAAAGCAATGCTGTCGAACTCGTAATTGAGCCGATAACAGGTCGCTTTGCTTTCAAACCCCCAAGCATCGAATCAACAAGGATTGAGGCTGAGCTGAACAACGATCCCAACCCCTGTGAGCATGCTGCAGAGAAAATCAAACGACTTCTTGCACTCAGCCTCAGAAGCCATGACGAGAAACAAGCTGTCCAATTCGGATGGGAAATAGCCCTTCACCTGCGCATCAGATCGGAGGACCTGCATAAAGCCTTCAACGCAAAGAAGATACTTCAGTCGACATTCTTCCGCGTACCTTCATGGACCTCAAAGTGGATGGTTGCACTTGTCATCGACCTTGCTGGAGAAAGCTGGTGGGCTGTCGAAATCGACGAATGGATAACTGGCGGGTCAATTCGAAAGGTGATGAAGATGCTTTCACGACGACCTGGAAGCACTTCAGCGCCTGTAGACCAGAGCTTTCTCCGACAGTTGGAGTCCGAGATCGTGGCGGCCATAGGCACAGCTGTATGCGAACGTCATCTCAGAGATAGGGATGTTCCCCATGAATGGTCTAACCAGGAAGCGGTCACCAATAATGGTAGATATATGGCAGACATGCTGTGTATTCGAGCCTCCAGGCTGCTCGCCAAGATTGTTCCCACAGTCCAGCTTCCAGCCGATCTACGACATGCTGTTTTGAGATTATCGCATGTCGGTTTTGTTACTCGGCAGGGCAAGCTATACCATGTTTTCCAAGCTTGCCTTCGGACCAATGCTGGCGCTCACCTAGGGCGTATACGTGCAGCTCCGGACCGTCGCGTTCATTTCGACCAGAACGGTGGATTCAAGACTTGGGTACGCTGTCCGTTTGCTGAATCATGTGTGGACGCACTTTTGGAGCGCTTGGCCAGTATCTACCGCCTCCGAGTGTTGGTTGATGCACTTCGTGATCGCGGAATCTGTCGACCTTCTGAAATTAGTCTCTCATCTGTCGCATTTACCTACAACAAGGTCAGGTCGCTCAAGGCGACCATTAGGCTTCCAGACCACAAGTCAGGTAAGATCGCTCTGGAACTGGATCCAAAAAATCCACAATATCGCCTTCGTCCACTTTTGACGGAAAGCCTCAACAATCCTGCGATACCGCCGACCCGGTCATTGCCTCTATTTACCCAAAATCTTCTCAGCACCTCGCCTCTCACTCGTGCTTTCGGTTTGATCGAATCCATCGTCTCTGAACCCCCATTCACTATGTTCCCCCCTCCTACCTTCGAATCGCGATCGGAAACCTGGCATCGGATCGTCTACTCACCGCCTAATCCAACGTGCTCTTTCGATGTCTGTCTTCGCGTTCACGACAACAGAACTGTTTGGCATATTGCCGACAATATCACGAAGAAGAGTGACGACCGACCCCCATACGAAAGAGATACCCCTCCGCTTGGTACGAATCCCGCACGTCAGTTCATACGGGATGAGTGCCTTGCCACGGCTCTAAGGCTACTCTGGCGTGCGCGAGCTGATGGCTGGGAGGGCATAAATTCCGGTATTATCGCTCCAGTGTCCAGCATCGAAGCTGCACTCATCCGTCTAGATGAGGTGGTCAGAGGCTGTCGACAAGAGATCGGCTCGACTACAACGACCGAGTCCAATACTGTTCAACAGGCCAGTAGATCAAGGCCCACGTCGTCATCCCAGCAGCCGCAGCTGCACCAACAGCAACATCTGCGTCCACCTCAACTAGCGAATCAGCAAGTACCGCGACCAGGCCAGAACATGAACAGGTCCAATATGCAGCAGCGTCCAAATATTCAGAATAGGCTTGGTTTCGCTCCAAACCAAGGTATGCAACAAGGTCGAGCGCCGCAGGCCCAAATGCAAGGCTCGAGACACAATCAAAAACCGCCACCTGAGGTCATCACCTTGGACTGAAAACAAAATCCTCCTTGCCGCGGCACCTCTTACAACATTCGTACTATTTCTAATCCATACATTCTCTTCTTGTCTTCTTATGGATGGGCGGCTCCTTGCCATGACTTTGCTGCGTCTCTCGCGTGCGGATATCCAATGGGTGTGGCCTCGTTCTACCCTCTTTGGTTTGTTCAAAGGGGGGGGTTGCGTGTCAGACACGGCGTTGGTTCGGTCGCTAAACAAGACTAATTTCTTGTACTTGTGGTGATACTGGGGTTCTTTGACGATAGGTGCCTTCCTTCCTATATACAGAGAGAAGACGGAGGGTTAGCTTAGCATACGCGGACATGGTGGCAGGCTTCTGTCTGTCGGAGGGTAGTAGCTACTGTGAAAGGAATGAAATAAGATACTGGAATGAGGGTCGACGTGCTTGTGTTTGAGAGCTACGTTTTCGTGTCGTGATATAAAACGTGGATTGCGCTCCCACTCCGGTCCGTGCCGGCTTAGATTCGCCTAGACAGACGGCAAGGTGTGCTTGCTGTCAGATTGTAAACTGTTTCTCTTTATCTCTTCCTCGCCATCTCTCCTTTCACCGTGGTGTGCATGCAACATGTATACACTCTCAACATCCCGCCCTCAACCCCATCATACTGTTTCTACCCCCTGATCCCGTCATCCATCATCCTGTTTCCCGACTGTGTTCCGCTGTTGATTCTGGCGCTTGCTCATCCTCATCCTTGTAGTCCTTTCCCCCCTCCCCCGGCCGTAAAAGAAAAGGGAACGCCCTTCCAGCGGCAAAATATCAGGCATGGCATTTTACGCGTCGTCTACAAAGCGTGTACGTGGAAGACGTGAGGATTATATGCGTATGGGAATGAGATATGTTTTTTTAAGTGTGGGGATCTGGATAGTTGCGGTGCTGGTGGTGTGTTGGTGGGTTTTCTGGTGGGTGGATAGATAGATACAGTTTATACAGGTACGTATCCACCATTCTCGCATACGAAACTCCCACGACTCAGCCAAGTGCATAATTCGATTCCATTCTATGTATTCCTTGAATGGTCCCCCGTCCCAACGCCCGGTACAAGGCTATACATGTAGACGAAGAATACAAGAAAATTGGAAGAATAGGAAATTGAGATATCTAGAAGGGACATGGGTGGTATCGTGATTGTGATTGGATTATGCCGGAAGCGTTGGTATATTGACTTGCGTATCTTTCGAATGCAAGGGCCCCTAGATTTGGACTGGTTATGGCCCCGTCATACATTTGTTCGAGGGTGTGGATGTGTAGAGCCTTTTATTCTTCGCGTATATGGGTGTTGGTTTTGAAAGAAAACGTGTGGGTTGTGGCATATGTATAGTAAGATACGTGGAGTGAAATTATGCAAGTCGTGATAGTTTAAATGGAGCTAGGAGGTGGTGATATCTCTTCTAGCTCTACTCTTCTACTTTAATGTAAATGTCCAGTAGTATATATCTCTAACCCGTAAGCCGTGCAAGTAGGTGTAGGTAGTTATATCTAGATTACTCCGGATCCAGCTTATATTCTCTCCACCCTCTATCCTACTTGGAAGGATATACCGTCTTTCCCTCCGCTTAGCACTTCATAGCTTGCGTTTTCTTGATCCTTGGCCCTCATAGTAGGAAAATACTATATTTCTGTTCTGCCTGCCTCTCTTCCCTTAACTCTGGTTGCTTTAAGTCATAGCCTCTCATCTCCTCTGTTTATACTTCTATAAGTATAGCTCTTTTCCCCAAGTAAACCCCTGTCTATATAAAGGCTACGAATTAGACTTCACTATAATATATATTATGTACTCGATTGCTGATTTAAACGTAAACATAGTGTAATATCCCGCTTATTGTAGGAACTAAATAGAGAAGCTATTCTAATAACACGTGTCTTGCTACTATTTTAGATTGCGGCTAGATGGAATATATAGGTGTCATGTATGTAGTACTCTACTGACTCCCCTTGAGCCGTCATATATTCTCAGGTATTAATGAACGGCTATGGAAACAGGGTTGGGTTCAAGTGCAAGGTACTGTATTGTAGTAGGACCGTACCTTACCCTCTTCAGCACCAGTCTAACCATAGCAGGAAAGTGGAGCATCGCATCAAGTGCCGCACTAAGGCCCGATTTGGAACACTTTGGTAGGAAATTCAAAACAACGCGGTGGACCGTGAGTGGTATCTCACGACCACACAGTGATATCGCATTAGAAATCAATTTTCCAGTCTTTATGACGAGGCGATTGAGATTATGAGATAATTAGGAATAAAAGTAGTGGCAAAACAAAACAAAACAGCACAGCGTTTTGAAATAATGAAGCATTCATTACTGCCTCAGATATATGCACAGTACTGCTCAAGGCTCACGCAGTCATACATCACACATGGCGACCACGGCATCCACGAGCCTAAGCCATCAGCCTCGTCTCCACTGCGCCCATAACGCCTTTGCCCGCCCATCATAACCAAACCGGGACGCGTCGTTAAACAAAATCCAGCGTTGCTGTAATGCCAACAATAAGAAACCATGACGACGCGTCTTTGGCCCAGAGACACGAGTCGTAAATAAGCACATCTCTCCTCCAAACCGTTCCAGCCCAGCCCGCCCAGCCCAGCCCAGGAGTCATCAAAGAGGATATCACACAGTACGCCTACGCTTCGAGGGAAACGTTGGCGTTAGATCGTAGAAGAGGATACATCAAGAGGGAACAAAAGGTTGAGGGCTTGCTCATGCGGAAGCTTCAGCCTTCTTTGGGGTAGCCTTCTTCGGTGTCGTTTTCTTCGTAGCGGCTTTCTTAGGGGCAGCCTTCTTGGCCGCCTTCTTTGGGGCAGCATCGGGTGCCTTGGTCTTAGTCACACGCCCAGACTTGGTCTTTCCAAGAGTGACAGAAGGCTTCTCAACCACTGCAGGGGCGGCCTTGGGGGCAGCAGGCTTCCGGGCTTTGCTGGCATTGGCCTTTGGCTTGGCGACAGCCGCCTTCTTAGGAGCAGCCGCCTTCTTAGTGGTGGTGGTCGTGGTAGTAGCGGTGGGTGCCTTCTTGGTGACAGTCTTCTTAGGAGCCGCCTTAGCGGTGGCAGTTTTCTGTGTAAGAGCTGAGTAATGATTTTCATGTGCATGAGAACACGGGGCTTACCTTGGCGACAGCAGGCTTGGTGACAGGCTTAGCAACAGCAGGCTTTGTCTCCTTCTTTGCCAGCTTTACAGTACCAGAGGGACCTATTGCGAATTAGTTGAGGTTTGAGCAATGAAGATTCAAAGAATGGCGTGATTGGCTGGGGAGAAAGTTGAGGTCGTAGCGTGGCGTGGTAGAACACGAGTGCGCCAGGGGAAAGCGGAGTGGCATCAAAACATGGAACACGTACCCTTTGGTCGGAGGAAATCACCGCTCTTCTCACCGCCAGCAAGTGCGCGGTTGATGTGAGAAGTGAAGGCAGCATCAGAAACACCGCCAAGCTGGTTGTTGGCTTGGATGTACTTCTTGATGGCTTGACGGCTGGTGCAGGAGTCAGCAAGTGGCTATGTGATAAACGCAGAGACGCGAGGGAAATAAGTTGTACTGACCTGCTACCATTTCGTTCCTTGAGCTGAATTTCGAAGAAAACGTTAGCAATGCTCTTGGAGAAAGAAGCTAAGGCGTGAGATGCTCGATTGAGGAAAATCGCTCAACAAACGCCGGGCGAGTTGCGAGCAGAAGCGGGGCAAACACGATGCGCCTGAAGGAGTAAACGTACGTTGATGATAGCCTCCTTAATCATATCTGGTAAAGATGGTCAGCAGAAGCTCGCGAACACCACAGAGGCAATGCGCCGAACGCGCGACACCGGGTTGGGATGTGGGAGGGAATGATGTGCATACCCTGATAACTGGCATGACCGGCAGCTCCGGCGGCCTTCTTTGGGGCGGCGGTGGTGGACTTCTTGGGAGGCATTGTGGAAATAATGTTTTGGTGGGATTGTAGCGGCGAAGATGCGCTTTCAGACGAGAGGCTGGACGGGCAGGTTAAGACGGCGGACTTGAGGGCGACGACGAGATAACACGAGAGCAAACGAGGAGGGCGATGCGCGCGGCGAGGGGACAGGCGTGTTTATGTATTAGAGCTCGGGCCAACTGGAGCAGTTCGAAATCGAAACTGCTCATCAGTTGGGCAGGTGGTGTAGTCGGGTCACGCTTGCCCTATTTCGGCCACAGCCACGCCCCCCTCCCCCTCCCACTCCCGTCCGCTAAGCTGGAAACGAGTTAGCGTCCGTTCTAATCGATGTTCGATTTTCTGTTCAGGCGGGAATATACACCTCAGACCTCAGGTCCACAGCTGTTCAGGGTCCGCTAGTCCTCTTTCGGCTCTCTGCCATGTGATCTCTCTCATGACTACCTGGTCAGTCACCTGTCCCCTTTCCACACTGCTGTTTGTTCTCTCACTCAACAATACACACACTATCACATCCATCACGGTCACTACTCCATGAATGAGACGTCTATCTCGTGCTCATCACGTTCCTTGCAGCTGACTACCGGCCTCTCCTTCAAGAACTTTGGTAATGCCATCTTTCCTTCCACGTGCGCCTACGCAATCATCCCCTTCAAGAACGGCGTCATTGAGTCACATACTGCATTTGTCCTGCAGACCGTCGTGAGGCTTGTGGACATGTTCCTGTTGCGCGTTCACGTACCGTACCCATACCTGCGCTCTTATCTGCACTACCGTGCGACAGAGTGTGTTCAGTCATATACATAAGATAATACATATATCCGTAGTGCACTATGGCATCTAGCTAGGTAGTACATGATCATCCGTCGGTATATGCCTATTGTGACGACACGCCTGTCTTAGGTAACATCATGAGCTGCCAGTTCTGACAGTCAAGTCAAAGTGAAAGCGGAAAGAGAGGCGAAAGGAAAAGGAAAATAAAACACCTGGTCTGTCGCGAGGTCAGTCTCGACCAGTCGAGCGCCGCTCGCTAGAAAGGGTAATAGGTAGAGTGCAGTGCAGAAGAGACGAGCAGATCAACTGTCCAAGACTCTCAGCCTGCAGCGGACAAAATATATCTATCAACTGGATCAGGAGAACTCAAGTCCAGTACATAGCAACAGTGCAAGCACGATGTGCTCACTGGTCCAGAATCCCGTAGTGCTTCTCTGCGTTGAACGTTGCGGCCGTGTCGGTTTTCCACTCGTCGTTGAACGCAGAGAAGAGAACCATGTTACCGTCCTTGAACTTCTCTTTCAGCGAAGCAATAGCCATCCTCTGTTGCGTCCGGCCCGGAACTGCTGCGCCATTTGGATCACCTGAACTCGGCCAGCCAGACTCTGTGACCACAACTAGCTTGTCTTTGCCGCACACATTCCGGACATCATTCACTCTGTCCCGCACATACTGTCCAGCCTGGTCGGCCGTGACTGTATTCGTGAAGAATGCTTGAGCATTGACCGTCGTGATGTCCGAGTTGTCACACAGTTCTTTGTGTGCAATCGTGTCTCCGAATGTGTCCACTGAGCTGATCAGACCCTTGTATCCGATAGCTGCGAGTTTTGTTCGCGCCTCTTTGACCGCCGCAACGATCTCTGACGCCTGATGACCATTGAGGATTCCCTCATTTCCGACCGTGATGAGCTTGATCGTGGAAAAATCCCCTCCTTCATTCTTGATCACCTTGACTGCTGCATCGACCTGCTTGATATCGTATATCCCGACGATGAGTTTTTTGTTCGTTGCTTTAGCTGCTGCCACCCCGGATGCGATCTGGTTGCATTCCGTACCATACAGGCGTACAATACCAAATTCGCCCATTCTAAGGAAATCTGCCGCTACCTGCTCTTTTGTTTTGCATCCTCCAACAAGGAAAGGCGAATAGGCAATGCCCAAGGGGAAGTTATTTGACGATGAGGGCAGAGGTAAAGGTACAGCGGGAATAGAGCTCGGGATATATGCAACACTGATGGGCAGACCGATCGGTTTGGGGGTCACAGCTGGCGGTGCTAGAGACTTCTCTACTAATGGAACATGAGTCTTAGAACTTGTAGCTATTTCAGGTTGAATGACGCTTGAAATTTCGGCGGTTTGAATGGAGGGTTCGGATGTGGTCTCTGAAATAGCCTCAAACGTGACGGTCGGTGTCTCTATGTTCGATGACAGCGTTTCGCCTGCTTCGTCCACATACACCGTCACATCCGAAGCCGTCACCGTTTTGATTTCAACTGTAGTGACAAGGCTGCGTTTGTGGGCGTGGCGGTGTGCATCTGTTCATAATGCGTTACTAAAGCTCAGCGAGAGGTACACTTTGGTACCTACGGTGATGAGGTTGCGCTAGAGCCAGCTCTATAGCGGAAAATGCTACTGCATAAAAGAAAGTGGTCTTCATGGTTTTTGGAAGTGATTGAATACTGTTACGGCCCACCAGCGGCTGTTAGTGACTTTTTCCGAGGTTGGGAGAAAATGTGTCTGAGACGGTGTAGTGTAGTCTGAAAATCGATCCTGAGCTGGACACAATACAAGCTTGTACTCGACAAGAGAAGCTTGAAACCGTTCTCCCTTTTTTGGACTGTGAAAGGACGGGGTACGTGACTTCTCAGCAGTACTGCATATCACCATAACAAGCAGTTAGGGGTGTCTTGACATACAATATGGTTTTTAACGAAGCTGCCTCCTTGAAGCTATCAGACAGTAACAGTGAGTGAGGAAGGTTCCCCGAAACCAGGTAAAGAATGTGGTCAAGTTGAAGGTGACGTTTTCTTAGTAGACGGACTCGAACTAGCAGAAGCGAGTGTGAATTGGTTGACTCTGAGAAGAATGGTTCAGGTCGTGAAAGCAAAGAGCGAAAGCAAAGAGTGAACTGCTGCAAACGACTGAAGGACGATAGAAAATAGAATACGAGATGGAAGGCTCGTGTCGAAAAAAACAGACCAACTTGGGGAATGAGGATAGTCGAAAACAAATGTCCGTAGGCTTAGAGCTTGCTCTAGCGCTGCATCTACTCTAAATACCAAATAGAAGCCTATATTCATTCACTTGAAAGCTAGTTGCTCAGGTAGCGTGGTGTTCCGTGCCGCCATATTCGGAAATACTGAAGTCTTGATAATATAACTTCGGATGAGTGGCCCCATGTTAGCCAAGTTGTTGACATCCTGGTATAGACTGGTCTGTATACAGTGGCTGTGTCATGTGACATGCGGATCTTGGACAGAGACCACCTTTCAGGGTCGCAATTGTACGCGTAAACAATCAGATGCTACAAAGGCAACGGCCTGCAGTGTTCACCAGTTGCGTCCGGGACATTGTGCAGCTGCTCGGTGGTTTGGTCGACCGCATATCCCAATGTCCGATTCGTACCATTGATGGCTGACACGGAGACTAGTAGCACCAGACATGATGCTAAGCACGTCGTGGCAGCCAGACTGCGATGCTCTCAAATACAAAACTGTGAGATCACTTGTCGAATGTGGGAATTCGCGTCAAAAGCGGTCATGGTTGGCTTGCATGAACGATCGATTTAAATGAGGTTTGTAAAATGTTTGATGCATGTGTGGCGGATATGTATTAACTAATTTCGGACTAGGCCTCTATCTCCGTACACACAGAGTGCACGTAAACATACTCACCTCCAGATCTGCTTACAGATTCACTGAAGCAACGCGCCACGCCGAGCATGGCTTTGGAATTCTCCAATGATGGATTTAACGCCCTGTTCGGGGAGTTTGCAGACTTCACATATCCTCCAGCTTTGCAAGCTGAGATTGCGAGCCGGCGCAGAACTCTGGGACAATTGTTCTTCGACCGAATGCTGCTCTCGAGCAAAGTGAAGCGTGAGTGAGTAAATTAATTCTAGATGCAGATATTGATTATAGTTAGACGCGAATTCATATCCTCCTCGCACAAACAAAGATCTTCGGGCACTGTACAATCGTGTTGGATCGGCACCAGTCAACGAAACCCTCAAACAGTCGCTCATATACTACATCTTGAAAGACGTTCATTCAAAAAATGATCCCAGTGCTCTGGAGCAATTTGTAGACACCTTCCACCTGCCAGCGAAGTACTGGCGCTGCGTGGAAGGTTTCTGGCTTCTGGACCACCTCGAATGGAGTGTAATCAAAACTATGTGTGCTTGAAGAACACCTGCTGACAACCGGCTAGAATGCAGTGGATAGTCTTGTGCACCCAGCTGTTATACCCCCGACCTTTCCGGATGAAATATTACTGGCCCTCCTGTATCATGCTAAGGACGAACACCCTGACCTGCCCATTGTATACCACAATACTATTCACGCGCCGCTTGTCGCAACTGAGGTCCTTGACCTTTACTTCTCTCATCTGGCTCATATAAGCGTGACAGAGGCATTCGGCTTTCTTCGCAATAGACCCGAAGACGAGCAGGAACACCTGTTGCACATATTGATTCGACAAGGTCTCGCAGACTCCAGGGACAGTCCGCGAGCCAACAGAGGCGTAGAGCTAATCGAACTCCCATTCAGTGAAGAGGAAAATACGATATTTGAGAACTACCTACTCGAAGGCAATGGAAAGACCTATCATGGTGCACGCGACGCAGTAATGGTGCGGAAGATGGCCACTGGCAAGTTCCAGGAAGCTCTCACGATAGCGAAGCAATTGAAAGGTAGACGAATCGATGACATGACATGGGACCCGATCAAGAGTGCCATTTCACAAGGACTTGGACCGAGACAACGCGTCGATGGAGCAATGTTTCATTAGTCCTTTACTTCTTCGATCATTCCGTAGGCACTTTCATCCTCAAGCATAGCGCGGCGTCCAGATGATGGGAATATATTCGTATTTGTTGTTATCATACCTTCTGTAAAAGACAACATTCAAAAGAGCTGAGCGGATGTATAATAGTTCATGAGTAGATATCCCTGTCTGTTGTTACAACGTGCGTCAGAAGACGCTTCTAAACTCCGTGCAATGCGTTCTTTATGCTTGTCAACTGCCTTTCATGTGCTCTGCATCATTTTCTCGGTTGTCCTCTCTTGCCTCCTGGATCATGGTATCTATTCCTCGCTCCTTGAGAGCTTTCTGCGCCACGTCAGTCGTGATAACTAATCGCGATGGTGCTCCCATACATCCAGGCAGCTCTTATATTGTTTGAAAAGAGGTGCGCATTCATCTTCCTTGGCGTTTCCACGCAGGAATTCTGGGACAGGCACAGAATCAGCGAAGCAGAAGCAGGGTGAGAGCAAAGGTTCATACTGTCGCTGTACCATTTCAGAAAGCAGGAGTCGTAACGCCTAAAACAGTTATCAGCTTCCAACTCTGATTTAAAGACTGTCACATCTCTCACTCTTTTACGTCATTACATTCTGGCGCCAGCGATGCTGACATGACTTCGACCTATTCCACAGGTTGGTGTTTCTCACCGTAAGAGCGCAAATGGGATGTATGCATGCTGTGGCTGAAGCTCGAGGAATAAATTACGCGCGCTATCGATAATAAATATATTACCCGTATCAAAAAGTTGAAACCACAACGTCAATCTTCACCTCGTCCTACGCGGCGCTACTACAGAGCATAACAAGCGCAGCAGCCTACAGCTGTCGCTCCTAAACCCATCAATTATATGAACGTTGGGATAGCCACTGGCACGGTCTAATGGATTCTTCAGCATCCTTCGGCGATCTCCAGACCTCCATCTCTCAGGCCCTTGTATCCACCACGCGCGCGGCGAATCGTCTGAACTCCGAGGACCTTGCATTCCACCGATCGCTCGACCGGAGCCTGTCCGAAAGACTCGACACCCAGAATGCACGGCTTCTTGAAATTGCGCAACGTCTACTTGGGAGCGCGATCTCGGGTGAGGCTGTAGGTCCTACATTTCCCGATGGCAAAGAAGACCTCGAGCACAAATGGAAAAGCGTGGTTGATGTTATCGACAGTTTGCTGGAGAGGGCGGATACGAGCTTAGACGAGTATACTGGCGTGGTGAAGAGAGTGGACGACACGGGCCCAAACAATGTACGTGTGCGCAAGAGATGGCGTCTATATGAAGCGAAACTGATCAACAGCAGGTTGCAGACAGTGCGGCATCTAAACGGCGTGGAGCGAAGCTGTTCCGCTTGCAAGAACTAGCGAAACCGCAGCTCGCCTTCAAACACTTGCCTCAGAATAATCCATCAGGCCCCTGGAAACCTTTGCTAACAAAGAAGCCGCATGCAAAGCAACTTCTACAGCAAAGTCTGAGCATAGCAGAATCTCAATGGGGTATAGAACAGTACGTGATTGTCCAACTATTACATACAAGACCATAGCTAATCATACTCCAGGTACCAGCATCCCTACCGCACCGAGATAGATCAATATACGTTCCCGGAATCAGTCTACACCAAAGCTGAGCCTGTTCCTTACTTGCCTTACGAAGAAACCACTGCCACATGGGTCGACACTACGGAAGGCCTCGCGTCCATGCTAGAAGAGCTGAAGGGTGCAAAAGAGATAGCCATTGATATTGAGCACCATGAACATCGTACATTTTCTGGGTTACTATCTCTCATGCAGATCTCTACGCGCGACAAAGATTGGATAGTGGATACCTTGAAGCCGTGGAGGAGGGACTTGGAATGCTTGAATGAAGTTTTTACAGACCCTTCGATTGTCAAAGTTCTACATGGAGCATACATGGATGTCATTTGGTTGCAGAGAGATCTCGGACTCTATTTAGTAGGACTTTTCGACACTCACTGGGCTGCGAAGGCGCTAGGATATGATGGTGGCAGTCTAGCTTTCTTACTACAGAAATTTGTTGGCTTTGAGGCTCAGAAGCAGTATGCAACAGCTGATTGGCGAATACGGTAAGTAAACTCCCCCGACACTTGGTTGCGTAAGTACTGACCCATAGAGGCCGCTACCAAAGGAGTTATTCGACTATGCTCGCTCGGACACCCATTTCCTTTTGTACATTTACGACCACATGAGGAATGAGCTCATAGATCGCTCGAATTTCGATCATCCAGACAAGAACAAGGTTCAGCAGGTCCTCGAGAAGTCAAAAGAGACTGCTCTCCAGACGTATTCTCAGCATGTCTACGACCCGAATGGAAGAGGTCAAGGTGGATGGCTCGGCTTGCTTATGAGGACGCCAGCGGAGTTTTCTAAAGAGCAATTTGCAGTGTTCAAGGCTGTTCATCAATGGCGTGATCACGTAGCTCGCCAAGAAGACGAAGGTCTAAATTATCTCATGTCTAACCATGCGCTATTCAGTATTGCGCGCGAGATGCCGAAGGAACCTTCCGAGCTTCTATCGCTGGCGACACCTGTGACAGCCGTCCTACGCTCTCGAGTTGATGAACTACTCGCTGTCATTACGAAGGCTAGAATAGAGGGCGAAAATGGACCAGAGATGATTGAAGCCCTCAATAATCATCGTGCTAAACGTCAAGCAGCTTTGTCTGCCACAGTTCCCATCATCCAGTCAGCACCTCAATTTGCCGAGTTCAGTAGCGCTCCTCCAACATTGAGAGATAGCGGTAGTATGCGCAGCACAAAGTCTAGCTTCTGGGGCAACTTCCTTAGTAGCCTATGGCCACAGCGCAGAATGAGCAGTACACTAGCGCCCTCACAGGACCTCACTCTTGCCGTCCCTCTTCCACCTCTTACGGCTGAGATATTCGCAGATGGTACAAGCGCAGCCGAGACTACCAAGCAAAAGCCAGAGCTTAAGTTCATTCGGAAGGAGGATCGTCCAAACGTCGACGATGATGATGAAATATTCGTGATCAGAGAATTAGGCCAACGCAAGCGCAAAGCCGACGAAGACCCGTCTACAGGTCTTCATGACATACCCGGAGACGATGCTATAGCGCTAGAAGAAGGAATGGAGAAACGAAATCTCCGCAGGGAACAAAAAGCAGAGGCGAAGAGGCAGAAAAAAATGGCCAAGCGTGCCTTGAATGCCGACGGAAAGCCGTTGAATAAAGGGGTGCCCGAAGATATGGACGCCGCCCCAGAGCCTCAGTCCTACGACTACGAGAATTCACCGAGCGTTCTGAAGTCACAGCAGGAATCGCGTACGATAAGTGGGGCGAAGAGCAAGCCCACTAAGGGCTTCGACCCATTCAAGAAAGCAATGGACGCACCAAAGGGATTGGCTCGAGCGAGGAAGCCCGAAGAGGGACGGAGCAAGACGTTTAGGAATTAGATACCCTGGCATACACATAAGGCATTGCATTTGCATTGGGCTGGCGTAGCTGTAGGATTACTTGATATCACGATTGATTAAGTGGGCGACCTCGATTGCCCACGGAGACTTTAGTATCATACACAATTGTCAGCGATTCGAACAAGGGGCTCCTGTGACAGCCTGCCTACGTTAGAACTGTAAAACGTGTATAATGGAGCTCCATGAGCTTACGCCAGGCCTATTACGTACCTACGTAATGCACAACCTTTGTGGAATCATAAACGAAGACAGGAGCTTTTTGGTGTACCATCAAGCGACGGAAGGCGAAGAAAGGGGACGTCGGCTCAAGAGACCACTGTTGTACGATATGCATAGTTAGTCTACCTCGCTTTACATTTTGTATATACAATTACTCTTTCACCACTGGCGTCCCACTCCTCGGCGGCCCCTTCGGCGGCCCTCCGGGTGGTGGCGGGACACTGCCCGGCTTCCCACTCGGCGCAAAGTCCTGCTCCTTACTCTTAGCCTCTCCTTCTGCCAATAAGTCATCTAAGCCTGCGCCCGGACTCGCGTGATGCGCTCTGCCGCGTGATTTCTTCGCCCTTCCAGGAGCCACCTCGCTACCCGGGGACGTTTGCGGGGGTGATTTGCTCTGGAATTGCATGTTGGCAGGGACCAGGAAATCTGTTGATGCTGCAGGAGCGACGGGCTGGAAGTCGCTCGGCGCATTATTCGGAGAACGCGAAGTTGGCACCGCGTCGGGATTGACCGGGGGAAGAGCCGGTGCTGAGGTTGAAGCAGCGTCGAAGAGGGCTTCGCCGGGTGCTTGGGGAGGCTCGTCGAGTGGTGCAGGGACGCGGTGCAGGGCGCCAAAACCAAGGACGCAGCCGAGGGCCCCTGTGCCTCCCCACCCGCGAGAGGGGGTGATCGTGACGGGACGTGTTACATCGTATTCATGGTTGTAGACTTGGAGCCGGAGCGGGCGATTGAGATACTGTTCGGTGTCAAGATTGGTTGCTGTGGTTCTTTGTAAAGCACGTGATACATACATCTTCCACGATCTCGCCGAGTCCAGACTCCCCGCGTAGGAGACCCTCTGGGGAGCCGATTACATAGTCGCCGTATGGGAGGAGGCCAGCTACATCGGCTGGGGAGTCGGGGGCTACGTCCAGGATATGCCAGACATCTTCGATGGCTGAGAGAGGGGTCCATTGAAGAGATAAACCCAAGGAGCCAGACGGGGGAATTTGAATATATATCTCACGTATACGTTGACCCTGATAAGTACTATTAGTGATGTTCGGGATGGAGTACCTACTCGTGGCCGTATGACTTACCTTGCCACTGAATACGCCCATGCTTATTGACGTGCCAGCGCAGTTGTGTATTTCTTGTGCGAACAGGTTGGGGTCTGCGCTGTCCTAGGACTTGGAGTCAGTCAAACTCACTGGATCTACATATTCCTCTTTGCACGACTGACCAGTGTCCGTCCGTTTATGCCGATAATGAAGTCGAACCATGGCTCCAGGAGCAATTCTTCATTCGTGTTCTTAAGAACCTGAAAGCCTGCCGCGCCTTGTAGTCCATTTTTCTCCTCTTCTGGCTGACCTCCGTCTAGCCGGCCTATAAATCTGTTCAATGCGCCAAACATACTGTGGTGATGGGATGAAATTGATGTACATCACACGATAGGTTGGTCTGTTGTTGAAGTGGCTTCGACGTTCGTTGGAGCTGGGTAGAGACTAGTGGCTGGCTCGACTTTGTGGCGCTAGCTTTGATGCATGCGCCACAGATCGCGTCTCGCGTGTTTATTTTCGCTCGTCAATGTTTCACTGGAGTCTGTGGTGCAATCTGGAAGCTACTCAATCACATTCCCAGACCCTGGAATTGAGTGTACAGCAAACATGGAAAACGACGATGAAGGTATCTTCCATTACGAGCACGTTTCTCAGGTGCCAAAATCCATCGAGAAGTAGTGGCTCATAAAACAATTGCATAGAATCCAAGGCTGATTTCAGGTAGGTACTGGTGGCAGCGCCATGACATCTTCTCGAAGTATGACGAGGGAGTCTGGATGACTGATGATGCATGGTTTGGCGTTACACCCGAGCCAGTAGCTATGTAATGCCATCCGCAAGGTTCGGAACGGTCCATATTTGCTAAAGATCATAGGAAGGTCGCCGAACACATCGCCGCAGCCGCGCCGCCGTCTAAAAAATACATCATTGATGCATTTGCTGGCGCTGGCGGAAATGCCATGGCCTTCGCACGGACAGGTCGATGGGATCGTGTTTTCGCTGTAGAGTTGGATCCGCATGTATTGAAATGCGCTAAGAATAACGCTGCAGTGTATGGAGTGGATGACAAGATTACGTGGAGACATGGAGACTGCTTTGACGTTATTGAGAAGTGCTTTCAGAAAATCCTTCCTGAAGCTGTTATCTTTGCAAGCCCGCCTTGGGGAGGTGAGTACTTTCATCAGCCACTATCATGGAACAGTCTAACGGAGTCAGGTCCATCATACATGGCTGATGATATCTTCGATCTTAGTACCATGGAACCTTATTCTCTGTCGGATATATACAACCCCTTTGCGAAAGTGGCCAGAGACATTGCACTGTACCTACCACGGACATCTAACCTCAATCAACTGGCCACGCACGTGACCAAGGATACGAAAGTTCAGGTCACGCATTACTGTATGAAGGGAGCTAGCAAGGTGAGTGCCAAAGCTGCTGTACAGATTGTACGGTTCGCTGACGTTAGCTGTAGGCACTTGTTGTCTACTATGGCGACTTCACTTTCGACGCAGCAGGACCTACCTGAAGTAACTTTGAAGGTCCTGTTCGAGGGGGCATTGTCTCAGTGGTTTGGAAGACTTCGTAACTTTGGCAACTCTATTCACCGGGATTATAGTCTACCGATGACACGCATCGTAGTGTATGGTCGTGCTGCCTGTATGTCGATTGTGACAACTGGAGACGTCGCAACGGAAGGAATGTACCGATAGCCTGCAGATTGGTTTGATAGTGAGGACAAATGAGCTAGACTTGAAGCAGCATCGACGTGGACCAACATAAAATGTTGGATTCCAAAGACGAAGCTATAGCAACCGCAGTGTTGTAACTTCTCCTTGTTTCGTTCGAGAGTAGTACATTGACCTTGATCTGTAGGATGCTAATCTTCGCGTTATCGACAAGCTATTGCCTGCTACAGCATGTATAGCTTGTCATTTGAAATAACATGAAATTACAGAGACGGTTCACGAACCAAGTAACTTATCAGGTAGCTTGTCGCGTCACACCCGAGCATGCCATAAATACGATTTACTGGCACAGGCTGAAGATCACCATTCGATCGAGGCGTTTCACTTACTAGAGCTACACGATCTTCCTTCGTAAACGAGCCGACTATCGTCAAAATTCAGACCATTTTCTGGCGCCATGGTGGTGTTGTGAGGCACCTTTTATGATTTGCTGGATCGGATACACGTTCCGAGTAGAACATGCCGCGTAAGAGGAAAGTTAGTAGAAATGATACGAGCGGTAGGGTACGCAAAATACATAAATACATATCCGGCTGATGATCATTCGTTGACCCCGGGGAAAGCATTGACACCAGTGCATGTAGACACGTGGGTATGCAGGTGCGGAAGGAGCCTTACCGTTATAGTCAATAAGGTATTGGTGGCTGACTCCAGTCCACAATAACAGAGTGCTGAAGCAGTGCCCACTTGTTGACTGGGCCGTCGGTGAAAGAATTTGACAAGTAATTAGTGTCAGAGCTGGACTGCTCTTTGTGAAATTATGGATCCAGAGTCAGAAGCCTGGGCTGACGCATGAACGATATGTCTGTCGATGTCGGGAAGCATACAAGCATTGCTAAGAGATGGCTAGCCGGCAACGTATACAAGGGAGTGAGCTAAGCCTTTACTTGGCGATCTGCCTTGTGACAAGGTGTACATAGTAGTGGTGAGGGTCGTCAACTACCTACCATACCGACCACCAACATAGCGAGATGCACAATGCACCAGTAATACCAAGGAACGTTCTTGTGGTCTCATTCAGTTATAGGATATCTATCTAGTCGTAACTGGCTGGCGGCGAATATTACCGTGGGACTCAGGTCGTGGGATAGCTCGTGTAAGTGTTTTTGCTGGAGCATCTAAGATGATATTATTAGTCGTTTGAGTGGTCGTAGTACATAATACTCCCGAACTCATCACTCATAGTACATAATAGTCGTGTTGGGGGTTTCGGGAGGGGGGGCCCATTGCGACTGGAGAGAGGTCTGTTTCGGGTTAGTCTCTCCGCGTTCCGACCTCGGGAGTATCCAACGGCTAGCGGGAACGCGCGCACGTTGCCGCACTCTTGACTGTGATTGGTGCGCATTGCATGTCAACACCGTCGTCACTCACTCTTCTTTTTTCTTAGTCTGTGCGCACCTCGTCTAGGTCTTGTAGGCTTCTCGAACGTTTGAGTCGATGGAAAAGAAAATTGATTGAAAATTGGCTACGGTTATGATGGGCTCCAAGCAATGAGACTATAGTGTCCGTTTATAGAACACTCGTCTGATTTGTCCGACTAGATGTATATCTTATAGTCTGTGTCGACAACTGTTGATGTTTTAAAGATACCATGCACCAGACACCAGGCACATCATACAAGATATACAAGATCTGCTGGCTGGAAAGGTGGGCCATGTCACCATCTCCACGGCTTTCTCGATCATGTCATCGTTATCGAAGCTGGCAACGGGTCGGATGGGAGGACATTTGCGCTTAGGAATAGGATTTCATGATAAAGGACCGCCCAACGTGCCTGTGGTTTGACGACTGACTGGCTGTACTGAGCGCCACGAGGGAGCCGCGGTAGCATCGTTTGATATGAGATCTACCTGACGAGGAAAATGGCTATCCAGGTCCAGATGTTGCCGTCTACGGCTGCTAATTACTGTTGCAACTCCACGCCGTCGCGCAGGTCAGTTGCCATTTGCCATCTGCCATCTGCCATTTGCCGATTGCCCACGCTCAGAGGCCAGACGCCAATTCAACAAGCTTAGTGGCGTTCTGGGCATCCCGTGTAAGCCCGAGCACGATGGATCATGGCATGTCGCGTAGGCCCATGCTTCCCGCTAGGTTCCATCCATGTAAGCTATCAAAGTGATTTCACTACTTCTCACAACCACCCAACTGCTCAATATAAACCCTCTCCATCCACCCTCGCACTCTGCTTCTTTGGGCTTCATATTGATCCTCGTCATCAGCATCCATTTCTCTTCACACCAATTAGGCTGGGCTACGTCGTTCTTCATAGAAGCAACCTAGCTCCCTTGTTTGCAATGGCAAACCCGCCCGCTGTCTTCAAGACTGCCGGAGGCAATGCAGCCTTCCACAACTTCCACAACGACTATGCTCACATTGCCGACCCCAATGAGCGTCGTCGTCTCGCTCTCGCCGAGGTGGACAAGGCCCCATTCGGCTGGTATCACGTTCGTGCCATTGTCGTAGCTGGTATCGGTTTCTTCACGGACGCTTACGATATCTTCGCCATCAACTTGGTCACGCAGATGTTGGGTGAGTCCAGTTACTCCAGCCACTGATCCGATATTCACTAACCTCCATCAGGTGTTGTTTACTGGCACAACGCAACGAGCGGTCCTGGTACCATCCCTACCAATGCGGACACCGCCATTAAAGTTGCTACCTCTGCCGGAACCGTCGTCGGTCAGGTTGGATTCGGTATTCTTGCTGATATCGTTGGTCGCAAGAAGATGTACGGCCTCGAGCTGATCCTAATCATCTTTGCAACTGTTGCCCAAGCCCTGTCCTCTGCCTCTCGCGCTATCTCTGTAGTCGGGATTATTATTTTCTGGCGTGTTCTTATGGGTATTGGTATCGGTGGTGACTATCCTTTGTCTTCAGTCATCACCTCCGAATTCGCTACCACGAAATGGAGAGGCGCCATGATGGGCTCCGTTTTTGCCATGCAGGGTATTGGCCAATTCACCGCCGCCATCATTTCTCTCATTGTCACCGTCGGCTTCAAGCAATCGCTTCTGTCTGCCACATCTGTGGCTACTTGCGACGGCGTCTGTGGCTTGGCTGTTGACAAAATGTGGCGGGTTGTTATCGGGTTTGGTGCTGTTCCCGGTTGCATTGCCCTCTACTACCGTCTCACCATCCCAGAGACTCCTCGCTACACCTTTGATGTACAGCGCGATGTTGTCCAGGCTGGCTCTGACGTTAAGGCTTACTTCGCCGGTGTTGCTCATGGCAACCCCGACGAGATCACCCGCATTCAGGCCAAGACTGACGACGCTGCTCACCTTGAGGTGCCCAAGGCCGGCTTCAAAGACTTCATCCACCACTACTCCAAGTGGAAATACGCCAAGATCCTCATCGGTACCGCTGGTTCTTGGTTCCTGCTCGATGTGGCCTTCTATGGCCTCGGTCTCAATAACACTGTTATCTTGCAGCAGATCGGCTATGCCAGTAGCACACAACCGTATACCCGCTTTTACAACGCCTCCGTGGGTAACTTGATCCTCGTCTGCGCTGGTGCTATCCCTGGATACTGGGTTACCGTAGCTACGGTTGACACTGTCGGCCGCAAGCCAATCCAACTCATGGGCTTCATTATTCTGACCATCCTCTTCTGCATCATTGGATTTGCTTACCACAAGCTCTCTGGTGGCGCACTCCTCGCCCTATACGTCCTCTCCCAGTTCTTTTTCAATTTTGGTGAGCACTTTTTCCTCATATGCCCTTGTTGGCCATTTACTAACCCTTGCAAGGCCCCAACGCAACAACTTTCATCGTTCCCGGCGAGTGCTTTCCTACTCGCTACCGTTCCACCTCCCATGGTATTTCGGCTGCCTCAGGTAAGGTCGGTGCCATCATCGCCCAAGTCCTCATCGGCCCTCTGCGCACTCGTGGCTCACCACCACCCCACACGGCATCGCCATGGCTCAATCACGTCATGGAGATATACGCCCTCTTTATGTTCCTCGGTATCTTCACCACATTTCTCATTCCCGAAACGAAGCGGAAGACGCTCGAGCAACTTGCTGGAGAGGTGCCAGGCACCCCAGAGTTTGACCCAGACAACCTTCGTAGCGTAGAGCCAAAGCGAACAAGTTCTGATGGCGAGCCGAACAACGGCTTGGGCGAGAAGAACGTATAAGGAGGATGTGGCGGGCAGTAAGTTTTTTCGTTGTAATGACTGAATGGGTTGTGGTGTTAAAAGATACCCTCTGTCGTTAAAGCTGTGTTGATGCGCATTGCTTGTGATATTGCGGCGTAGATTAGATCGTAATGTCAAGATTGTGATTGCATGTGACGGGTCCTCGTGATTCATCTACATTTCTGGTTCGTGACAATAAGGCATGTCGATGGCATCTCAGGCAGTGAATTGATGTAACTCTGGAACAACGTGTTAACCGTTCCATCTGTCTGATTCCAACTAAACAGCCACCTCAAAACTCCGCGCCTCATGCTATAAAATACGCATGAAGGGTCGGCTACACCTGCAGGTTGCTCAGAAAGCAGGTACTTATGCCGTATGCTATTATGTAAGCGGCGTAAGATACTCCCAGTGTCTGATAAGTGGAAGGCGCACATCGACTCGACATTAGAGAGAACTCAACCTGCTTCACAGCCAAGATGATCTTGTATCTGTCGCATTCTCGTTGTCATCAAATAGCCTGAGCTCATCTACACTCTCATCACTGCGTTCACATCTCCTTCCTTGCCAAACTCAGAAAGTACTAGTATCAATGGCACTCCGCTGTCGCTCTTGTAACTTCCCATATTTGAGGACACAACGACCGTCGCATGTCTCCCGGAAGGACTCATTAACAGATAGCATGCAGACTAGAGGATAACCCATGCATTTAGTCAGATGGTGACTCTGATATGAAACATGTTTTTCAGTCGTTCCTGGCTGCCTGGGCTGTTGGAGCTGTTGTGGTTTGACACCCCGATAGCGTGTTTATACACTGCGATGCATCGTCTAAGCCATGGAGGTTATTATACTTGTAATCACGAAGTCGGAACGACGTTAGACAGCCGTTGTTTGTTACTCAGCTGGACTTTGAGAATCCTTCTGAAGTTCTGGCTGACGGAGCCTACCTACAAATCCCTGTGTTTCCTCGAATGTTTACATAACCATTTTACGTCCCTTACCTGCCACTATGCTTATTTCTATTCGACGGCCTGAGGAAAGTATAGTGCACGATACTCTCTCCGAATCAAAAGACCGGCGTATACATAATCAGCGTACCATAGCAGCAACATAGTGACCGCCGATAGAGCCTATACTAGCCCAGACATGCAGTGGTTTCGATCGAGAGAGCTTAATTTGGCATTCAAAACAACACAGGAGTTAGAGCATGGTGAACTTGTAGGTAAATAATGGTATATAGTTGTGTAGTTGGGAAATGACTTTCTCTTGTTGCCTGGCCAACGAAGCTGTTTTGCGAGCGCCAAGGATAAACCCAAATCGTACAACCTCGGGACATGTGTTCAACATAGCCTTCGTTTTTCCAACAAACAGGAACACGGAATTTTCATTGTCATCTACCGATAAGTATGTATTAATACGGCACGGACTTTGTCGAGAGTGTCGAGTACCAAACAATCCCAAACGGAACGGAGGTGAATTTAACTCAATGCGCCGATACTCAGCAGCTGGCACGCCCTGCCCAGGCAATTCCAGCTTCGGGGGCATCTATCCAGGCCCGATAAATACCAATAACCCCCCGGCATATCTCAATTCAACAGACCAGTACTATCATACTGAGGACACAACCGCGAATCTTGACTACACCACCGAACTCAAGGCCAGCATCCGCAACGCAAGACCGAGGAGACCAAAAACGCTGGCGCGCAAGAACAGATTTGATCCAGCAACAGAGATTTACATAGACCATCAGGTACAGGCTGCGCCTGATCCATGGCTGGAACAGGCTGAAAGAAGTGTGTCCAAAAACTCGATTCGCAGAACTTCAACACTTCTTGCTCGACCAGCCCAAAGACTGTCTATCGCACCGCAAGCTTCTATACAGGGAGAAGATACTTGCACTATTCGCTTAACAGACGCTACGGAGCGCCCAAATCGCCGCCGCATTTCTGCAATTCTGGAAGAGCGACAGACATGCATCGAGGGCAGTCGTTCAGAATCTGCTGAGGCCAGAAAGGCATCCGCTACGCAAGCTGCCGTCCGGAGAGCTGAACCTCAACGGCTGTGTGGCCCATCAGCGAGATCCACCGGATCAAACCAGCTGGTCAAGGACCCTCGCAGGAGAACGATCTATGTGCCTTCTGAGTATACGACCATTATGACCTTACATCCCGGAGCACCCTCCCATCATCCTAAGACGAGACGGGCCAAATCTCCCGATCTTGGTCTAGAGCTTGTCACGCTTTCGGAAGAGGAGACAACGCATCTCGTTCCAGCCATTAAGCAGGTCAAAGCCAGCCGGAAATCTCTTGCTGTACCACCAAAAAAGGGAGTACTACTACCGTCGCGTCGTACTTCACAGTCTGTATCTTTCGCGCCCAACTTACCTGGCTCCGAGACTGGCAAGGAGAACATCCCTCCAGGAAAAACGAGTAAGTCTTTCATCAACATGGCCGGTCAAGCGAAGATCGAGAGGGCTACAACATCTGAGGCCCCTCGGAAACCGCGAGTTTCTTTCTTGCGTCCTCGTTTATCTACCGTCAATGACAATGTCGCACCATCTGGGCGCAAGAGAGTGAGGATAGAACAAGCAGGATCAGAAGAATCTCCAGCGAAAATGATCAAATCACGGGATTTCTCTATGGCAGCCACTGAGCGTTTTGTGAGCGGGCGGAGCTCTGCTACAGCTCCTACAGATCATGCCTCGCCGTTCCGAACAAAAAGATCACCACCTTCAGCTCTACGTAGGAGGCCTGGCATCACGACATCGGTTGCAAAGGACTCCCCTCCCTTGCAAAGATTCCCCGTGCTCAGAGACGATCTTCCAAGACCTGAACTATACGAAGACAATTGGCTTGATAACCAAGAAGTCGCTCTCTCTCAGCTAATCAATAATTCCTTCCGACAACATGACCAGACGAAGAAGAGAGTCGATCCAGCGGAACTTCGACAGGCTATCCTGGGACTTTACCATGATCCCACCATCTCACAGCTACACAAACGGTTGCAAGCTTCACTATCTTATGGCGCTCTCAATATCCCTGACGATGTTCTATCAAGCTCGCTCCGGCTCAAAGATGACATTGGACTGCGACAACGCTTTCTAGAACTCTGGGTCGAGTCGTATAATCTCCAGGTCTTGAAAGCTGCAGTTGAGGTCGTTGTCGGCCGAGAAGTAATCGTACCGACTCGAAACTCTACGGGCACTACTCTATCTGAGCAGGGTGTCCGAAGAAGACTGAAGAAAGCCCTCGAAGACTTCATCAATGCCTTCGTAATTCGCAACGAGGACGCCATAAAACAAAAATCCGGTATTGGAAGCATCGCAAGTATAGCTAGAGCCCACGAGCCACAGGCAGACAGCTTTGGCTCGCAACGTTGGTCATGGAGACGAACGGTACTACGCAGTCTCATGATCATTCTGCTCTTGGACAAGGCGAAGAACGCAAATGTGGTGACTGATTGCCTCTTTCAGACCATGTCAGCACACAAGACATCAGCCTCGGTACTGCAACAATTGGCGAGGATGCTACTTCCTTCGTTGGGTGATATCACGAGGCCGCTCGGACATGTTCAATATCAGGTCTCACATACCCAGCACTTACTCCAGGAGTATAGATATCGCATCAGGAATATTGCCACAGACCTTCGAGACGGTGTGCTTCTTGCACGGCTTGTTGAACTGGTATTATATGACCCGGTGCATCTGCTTGAGTCCCGAGATGATACCATCACTATCAGTCTACCCACAGGAGACGTCCTGCAGAGTGATGTGCACAACGAAAAGAGCTCATGGCTATTGTCACAGCATCTGAAACTCCCTGCAGCCAGTCATGCACAGAAACACTACAATGTACAGATAGCACTAAGTGCTCTTAAAGGGATGGGAGGCACCGCATTTAGTGCCCTCGATGCTGTCACCGCTGACGATATCGTTGATGGACACCGTGAAAAGACTCTTGGTCTACTCTGGACGATTGTCGGCCGATGGGGCTTGAAAGGGCTTGTAGACTGGAAGGAAGTCGAGAAAGAGACAGATCGCTTCCGTAGGAGGTCTAACGGGAATCATCTCAACGCGGACGATGATATATCAGACGACCAATTGCCGGACCATGGCGGCCATAGCCGGTACGAATTTCTTCTCCGAGAGTGGACATCTTCAATCGCACGTCTCCACCATCTTCACCTCCGCAACCTCACGACGAGCTTCGCAGACGGCCGCATTTTTGAAGCCATTGTAGACGAATATCTCCCTTTCTGTAAGACACCCAGTCAGCCTACTGGACAGCCCTATCAACACCAGTTCTGTACTCATCCGCCGATGACGCTAGCTGAGAAACTTGGACAAGTGGGATGCTCCCGGGCCTTTATTACACTGTTCTCTACGCCGACGAAACATTACCAAATACCCAGCAAGGACTTCATACTCATAAGCCTTGCCTTCCTTGCTTCACGCTTGATTCCGCTGTCCATCTCACATCGGGCCGCTTCTGTCATACAGCGTGTCTATAGGAAGAGAATTTCTCGTGAGGAAGCCAGAAGGCGAATAGCGCTTATGCGGCTGGCAAGCCATTGTGCCGTAGTGGTCCGCACGCGGGAGCGGGTTGTAGGTGCAGCTATAGTCCTACAGAGGGCCTGGAGAGACTGGCAAACTCGGAGGTTGGAGTCTCTGGGGAAGGACGTAATGCTATTTCAGAGTGTGGCTAGGGGTTGGCAGGTTAGGACTAGACATGGGGCCGGGAGAGGCGGGACTACACTCGGACATGTACTGGGCAAGTCTACTACGAGGCCGCTGTATCGTGCTGGGTGGTAGGTTTCCATTAACGTTATGGTTGTGTAGGTGCGTTTTGTGGCGTGGCGTTTGTCCGGAGAGATACCAATTAGTGCTTGGATACACGAGCCGATGTATAGTTTTTCCACGTTTCGATGAGGCTATGGAGCTTTTTGTTTTTCAATTCCAAGACATGACAGTACACCGTTAACTGGTTGACAGCACTGCTCTATGCTTCTTTCCAGCCAGAATACATACCCGCAGGTGTCTCCTGTCATTCGATCACTAACCAAGTCTCGGTAAGCTTGCGTGCAGCGCCAAAATCTTCATTGATCGCTAGCATGACCTGCATTGAATACGCAGCCTCTGTCGCGAAGTCTTCATATCCAGCGTTCTCCTCATCGAAGTCCTCATCAGCCACACTCTCCATAGAGGCATTCTGTTCCCTGATAACATCCTCGCTCATCTGCAACACCCGTTCATAGCAAGGTACAGCCAGATGCGCCAGTCCAAGCATATGCCATGTGCGTCCAACGTTGAACTCCGCTTCCTGTTTATGTATCGCCCGATCGCTCTTGCGCCTCAGATCGTAGTAGCGATACATGAACGCCAGCCCCTGCTGCAACTGGAACTGTCGGTTATCTACCTTGGACTTGAGGGCATTCTGGACGTAGCACAGCCCGATGGCAAAGCTAATCATCGGGTCCTCGGGCCGGATGGAGTACGCGCGGAAGTAGTAGTTGAGTGCCGTGTAGTATGACCCGCCAATAATTAACATATGCCCGTAGCACATGAACAGCACAACATCATGCGCCGCAAGCTTGTGCGGATTTCCGTCAGTTGCCCCTGCGGAAAAGCTGAGGTGGTCCTGGGCTTCAAAGTTGTATTTCCGCCGCTTGTCGACCGGGAGGAGCGCATAATCCATGCCGCGGACTTGCCGTAGGAGGTACTTGAGCCAGGGCCCGCTGTTATACTGGATGCGTTCTCCAACGTAGGCGCGGTTTGCAATGCCGAAAAGACGGTATGCATCGCTGGCGTAAGGAAACATTTTCATGTAGAGCCTGGAGGCTTGGGAAATAAGATCTTCGTTGTTGAGGGCGAGGCCGCAGGCGAGCCAGCAGGCATATAGCTGTTGCATGCCTTGTTTGTCGCGGAGGAAGACGTTTGCATTGTTGGCTATGTTCAGGGCACTCCAGCAGTTATCGAGATATCCATCTTTGGCAGCCACGAAACTATAGCGGCAGAATAGCTCGAGCCAGTCTTGAAACTTGATGCCGTGGAAACTGTCAGGGATGCTTAAGGGGTCTCGGACTTCAGTACTACCCTCTTCATCAGCCAGCTGGTTTGCCAACTCAGCGAGCTCCAGCGCCGCATCATCCACGTCACCGCGTCTCGAAACATGGTAACCCGTAAATGCCATTCGTTTTTCACGAATAGGGAAGAAGGCCTTGCAGCTACTGAATTCATCGATCATGATTTTTGCAATCGCGAGATATTCCTCAGACGCGTTGATGTCGCCGTTATCGAGCATTGTGGTGAGGACGTCGAGATGCTGTACAAGCTCCCTGATCACTTGGTCTCGGGCTTTAGCGGCTTGCAATTTCTCATGCTGGTCAGGCCCAAATCGCTGCATGAATGATCCGAGCCTTCGGTATTTCTCAACGTCCCACTCCACATCCTGCCCTGGTTCAATTCCCATGGCTGCTACTAACTCCTCGGGCATAGCTTCAATGGCAATTTTATTGGGTACAGCATTCTTTCGGCGGAAGCGGTATGGCCCACGTCTACCATATCGTAGAGATCTAGGTAGTTTCGGAATGCTCACACCTTCTTCCCTCAGAATGATTTCAGCACCGCTTCTCTGCATTAGTTCTTGAATCAAACTTTTGGCCTCATCCTCCCTTCCAGTATCTTGAAGATGTCTAGCAATAATTGCCTGAGACCTTAGATCTTTGTTACCTGAATCTCTGAGGGAGCGGACGCAACTTCCAGCGTCTGTGATACGATTCAATGCTTTGTAGCATGTGATCAATCCCCGATAGACTTCTGGTTTGACCACAGCAGTGTAGTCGCGCAAGGCTTCGAGATATTTCAAGGCCAGAGGGTATAGCGTGTGCTGGGTGAGAACCTTTGTCACTTCAAGAATTGTGTCATAGTACGCAGACAGTGTCTCTTTTGAGACAGACCCATCTGCCTCTTCTATATGCCTTAAATGTTTCTAGAGTGACATTAGCCCATTCTCACGCGTAGAAGGAACTTTGACTCACACAGCCTTCTTCGTAATGCTTAGCTCCCATAGACAGACGTAGAGTCCCCATTCTCATACGGATCTCCAAGGGCAGACCGGCACCGTAGGCGTCCATGGAATGAAGGTCGGCTTGGAATTCTGGTACCTGCCGTCTCCGCTCATTTGATATATCCCACTCCCTATCGTCTAGCTGCGTGCCCCAGAAGCTCTCTTCTTTACGGCCAAGGAGCCATCTACCAACTGTGCTAAGCCTGGAGAGAACGATTCTGGGGTCCATTGTAGCGTTGTGGAGCAGCTCAAGATACACGTTCAGTAAAGACCAATCCAGATCACTAGATATGGGGCTATCATGCTTGAAATAGTATTCAAAAGACTTGTCAAAACACTGAACCGCATTCTGTAGCTTTCTATTCTGCTTGAGGATCTGTCGATAGGAACATAGTTCCGCTAGCTGATAGAGAACTTCAACTTCGTTGGGCCGCAGTGCGAGCAATTTCTTGCAAGTGTTGAAGGCCTTCGTGATGTTACCAGTCTCGAGCTCTATTTTCATCTTCTCCTCGCGCGCTTCGTAGTTTGCCGTATCGAGAGCGATTATTTTGGAGAGGCATAATTCGCGCCACCTTCGTCTTTCCCCTGGAGGCATACTCTTGAGCCCATCGTATCGCTCAGCGATGTGTTCCCAAAGTTCTACATCTCGTTTTGTCAGGGCTCCATTGAAGAGAACGTGGACAGAGTCAACTTCACGACCCATTGCCAGAAGAATTTCAGACAATAGACTATGGCCTGCGAGCAACGATGGATCTGCATGAACCGCTTCCTGGGCATACTGTAGCGCCTCTTCATAATTGTTCTTGAAGTATGCTGTGGTTGCTTTGGTTTCTTTGGCCTTGAATTCAGGACCCGGCTCCGGCCCAGGCTGTGGGCCTTTTCGTCGGCGAATAGCATTCTCCTCAACAGCCACTTTTGGGCGGCCGCGGCCGCGACCATGTCCTCCTCTTGTCTTGCCTCTACCTCCTCGACCACGGCCACGGCTTCGACTAATACCTCGCGCAACTCGCACTTGGCCTCGTCCACGTTTAGCATCACTTGCTTCGTCTTCATCCGTAATTTCGTAATCAGAAGGTTCATCTTCGTTACCGGGAGTAGCCTCGCCCGTGTGTTCGTAATCAGGATCAGCGCGCGGGTCATTCGCTATAAGCTCAATCTTGCGTAGCTCTTCTTCATTCAAGGTAGATGCTTGATCCTCATCAGACCCTTCCATGTCTTCGTCTTCATCGTCCGACTGCGCGAAATCCGGAAAATCGAATTGATTGTAGTCAATAACCTGGTCATGCTGACCATATACACTGGGTATGAAGCCTTCGTGAACGTTGGGAAGCGCTCCTGTGACATTGGGAAAGAAGTGGTATTCAGGTGTATCGTACTGCTCGGACGGACCAGGGTATTGATACCCATAGCTCTGCTCCCTGGAATCACCGTGCTGTGTATAGAAACTCGAAGGTCCTATGTCCGAGCCTTGATGACCATCCATGGTAGGATTTGGCCTTTAGCAGGTGACAGTCAACCAAAGCTTCCTACGTTCGATATGTACTGTCTTGCGCCGAGATCCATGAATGAAGCGACAAAGAAATATATTAGTCCTTGGACGAGACTGTCAGGTAATATGCAGCTACACTTATTGCGAAGAGCGTGTTGACGCGAGCGTTAACTTCTGGCTGCACGAGTTAACCTGCCTCAGAAAGAAATGAGTCCAAAACTCGAGATACATATAGCGGCGGAAGCGCACCAGTACGGTCACGTGATAATTGTTTCATTCGCGATCACGTCGATCATAGCAAGCCATATTCGAGCATTTGCAATACTTCGTGGTTAGCACTAAAACCGCATAGTACGACTTCCGTATTGTCTACAAATATTGAGTTGATTTTAGAATATGTGCATCCGAATAAATCTATTCTGTAAAAAAAACCACTTGTTATATATGCATGACCACTTGTGTCTTCGACCACTGCCCTCACCATCACAGTCATCTTTGCACGGCATGTCTAACATAACGGTCTACGCCTGAGAGCTGACTTCTGGTGTGTCTATCATCTCATATTCCTCAACGCCATCTCTATCCTTGCCACGGCCTCTGCCGCGGCTATGGCCAACGCCGTCGTCTTCTGTTGCAGCTGCCATAGCAGCTGTTGGGCTTATTCGAGAACTTTTCCCAAATTGGATCGGTCGCAGCTCCCGATACTGGCAGATCCACATGCCCAAAAAGACCATTAAGCTGGCACTCGCGATCTGAAGTGCCCACCAAAACCAGTATGTTGGGATGGCACTGGTGTATAGGGATGTAGCTATAAGGTGGATAAAATGTATAGTAAGAGCGAAGTCGGGGACGAGTTTGGAACGAGCGATGAGCAGTAGAAGGTAGATGACGCTGGCGCATGTGAGTACATGACTTGGAGAAAAGCATATGAATTTGACCTACCATATCAAGCTATTTAGCATCCATACAAGTCCAAGCATCCACCCTACAGTTATATCGCTTCGTAGACTTCGCCAGCTAAAAAGGAGATCGAGGTTTATCGGGGTCGCCATGACGAGGGCAGTAAACAGGATAAGTGTCGCTGCGGATACATAGTAGCCGATTTGAAGGATGGCAATCTGTGTGATTATGCGCAGTGGAGCAAGGTCTGCAAGGGCGCCTGGTCGAGGTGGTTTACGAGGACGACGAGGCATGAGCCTAGAGACGTAGGAAGTTGAGCATTGGCCGAGGTGTCTTCAAGCCTTTGACGCTGGATTCGTTGGGCAGGCCTGTTGACTTTGGCGTAGCGATACGTTCGCGAATAGAATAGACAAATGTTGTAAAGAGAGCGTGTATGAAGCGAGAATGCTGAAGTTGCAGTTGTTAAACGCGTCTGATTAATAGCTAAGTAATTCGTGCACCTATGGTAAGTGCCCTGAGGACGGAGGTCGGCGTTCTTAGTCATCCATCCCATATCATCATGGGTACTAGTAGGTGTTATTTAGGCCCATGATTGGCTCGCTCCCTAGCTACAACTTCATGCGCAGGATGGTGTATCAATAGATATTCTACAGAGACGACTATCTCTTATCAACACTTCTAACACAACCACGATCTTCTTTCTCGCTGTGATCCGTGCCTAACCGCGCTCTTCTACAGCTCATCTTGTACGCATCAGGCCTTCCACTCTACGACGATCGAGACAATGAAATGGTGGCCATTTTCTAGCAGTGGTGGTGACGCCCAACCAAAGTCCTCAGATGGCGGAATAATCGCCCCGACGAGGACCGATCGGCAAGCGTGTTATAACTCCCGAGACATCTTCTTCAAATGTCTAGATCGCAATGATATACTTGACAGCGAAGACAATCCGGCTCAAACAGTAAAAGCTTGCGCAGAGGAACACAAAATCTTCGAGAAGGACTGCGCGTCGGCGTGGGTGAGTAGCACTCCCCTCGCGACATTCTCTCCATATACTGCTCCTGATTCTGAGCTGAACCATTTTCATAGGTAAAATACTTCAAGCAGAAACGAGTAGTGGACTGGAAGAAAGAGGAGGCTCTACGCAAGTACCAAATGGAATCTTCCCGAATGCCACCAGACATACAGCAGACATCATCATAAAGACTACCCGACTCCGAGCACATCTAATCTACGGGTGTCTAAACCTCAATGTCAAAGCTCGCGCTATCAAGTGCCCGGAATGCACATTGGCTCCCTGTAGTCATACTGTAAAATATTGTATATATAACGCAAGGTGACCTACTACATTCGGCATATTGACGCGTTCACATTGCTGCATTGTCTACAGCTCTGATGATGGTTGCAAGCACGCTCAATGGTACATATCCTGGTGACGAGTAAAACAATCTTGTCCGAGGGGAATTGAGGGCGAATCATGGAATGCTTTGGTCTGTCGGCGACTCTAGCGATCACAGCACACAATACAGGCTTTAACCCATCTAGCCTTGACATCCCACTACTAAGGTTTGGCATACCTCTCCTGCCACATGATTCCGGCATTATTGTCTATAGACAGCCAAAGTTATTACCTCGTCCCTATATGCACTTACAGAGCTGTGATTTTCAACCTGACTAGGTCTCCTGGACCCCATTTGGCTGGTTACGAAGAATTGCCTACTACATCAAGGAGGTGATGGAATGGAAGTGATGCCAGCACTCGAGCACAGCTAAGCATCGCAGAATCCGATACAATTCAAGCTTCGTCATCAACCACGATGCTTCAACAGAACAGATCTCAATTGCAGGCTGCAAGCAGATGTGAGCTCCAATCGAGAGGTCCTAATATATTGATCATCTGCAAGTTACATCCGGAACCCTGCCGGTCGTTCATATTACGTGGATCGTCTGTTGAGCCCCGTTGGCCTTCCACCGCTGCGTCAAGGCTCCAACTTACCAGAGCGTTCATCCGGACCGCGTTTAAGGGTTTTCTGGCCGTTGCTACAGCAGTCCTCTGTACGAGGAATCCAGGTACCCACATGATATACGAAGTAAGCGTTACTTCGGTACAAATTCGGACGTCTTCAGAAGTGTTACCGACCATCTGTTGAACGTACTAACACAGCCCATCGTGAATGCCCAGATGCCGGCCGTGCCAGTCATCTCCTCTACACCGGACTGCTCCGCTGTACAGGCCAGGTCTGTCAAAAATGAAAACAATGAGAAAGAGATGCAAATCTGCGCGACACGTGTATCGTAAGTGGTAAACATATTTAGCCACTTTCTTATCGATAGATCGTGTGGAAAATACTGGAGGGATTGAACACCTGCTTGAACACTTCTAGTTCCTCTATGCCTCCCTCTGGAATTCCTGGCTGGTCGCTTGGTATCGCAAAGACGATGTTCTCAAAGGTGCCTTGGAACTCGGCTTCTTCGAACAGGAGAGTCTTCCACATTTTGGCTACTTCTCGTACAGGATTTCGGAATTCTGGGCCGCACCCAAATGCGCCTAAACAGAGGTCGACATGTCTGTACATAGCTGCAAGCCGTAACACTGTGCGCATCTTCTCCATCATGAGATCCCGCTCTTGCTCGAAGGAGTAGTTGGACCCTGACTCGTCCAGCTTAGGTCGACGCACTGGTGCAACTGATATCACAGGGAGTGATCTAAACTCTTGCCAAATCTGGTAGAATTCAGGACCGTCTCGGTATACAACTGTTGACATTATAAGTGTCTCATTATCACGATGGCATCCATGATCCACGTACCCACAGAAGGTGAGTAGATTCCTCCGCGGTGGGGTATCGGATAATGTGGCGTAGAAGGACTTGGATACTCAAATGGTGTGACCAGTGCTTGCACGAGATTGCTTCTCCTCGAAAAGCATTCTTCAGGGGCCATGTGACCCGATTCCCAGTCACCGCCAGCTCTTTTCTCATTTGCCATGTTCACGACAGGTATCTTAGGCGGCTCTAGTCTTGCAGAATCTCTAGATGCATGTAGATACCAGTCCAACGCGACATCAATTGGGTCCCCGTCAATTACGGCCACGCGGAGACGTTGACACGCTCGACGATCGTCTGCTACAGGTATCTGCGACGAATCTGGAATCATGACTGAGCGGGCAGGACACTCTGGCATTTCTCGGTCAATGTATGGATGGTAAACTCGTTTGGCCTCAACTGCGACCTCTGAGGGCCTCGAGCGTGCTGGAGGCATGAAGGATGGGCAGAGTATAATACACAGGGGAAATATCGATGCTTATTCCTTCTTCCATGAATCAAACAGAAATTCAAAGAGATCAAAAGTTCCAGTCCAGAATGGCGGCCATGAGATATATGCGTCTCCTGGGGCATATATCTAGGCTAGAAGATTAAATGCGCCAGGCGCACGTTAGACCAAGATGCAAACCTGCGTTACAGCGGCTCTAATTACATGTACTTGTCCAAGGCCACGCAATAATAGTGGGGATGGCAAAGGACTCACGATATGGCACATCGATGGAACGAACCCGCTGCCCGGTTTGTCGCCCGTAAAATTCTTGCAAACAGACTGGCATAAACACTAATTTCAAAAGGTGCCAACGCAAACCTACCAGACTCTTGAATGACAGGTTGTAAGTCACTGGTCACCAGTGGTCTGCAGGCGGAGCGACGGCCGCGCGGAAAGATTGATCAAGCGGTCAGCCATAACACAAGGTATGCGATGTGTCTGGAAGCAAGGTGGGATAATTTAGAGACTACAGATGCAGATGCCCACTACCGGCAGATCGGGTGAGCGAGATGATATGGCGCGGGTGGAATCCAAATCCTTGCTGGACATGCCCGGCTGCCGATCTGTACACCATCATGCAAGATCTTGGACTAGGAGCCGGCGATCAGATCTGGCATGCAGAATGCAAGTCAGATCCCCCAGTAAGGAAAAAGGAGAAGCTGGATCTCTATGTTGCTAGAGCGGACTAGGTCGGGGTAAGGGTTGGTGAAAAGGTCGCCACGGAAATATCCGCCAATCGTGAACGATTAAGCGACCCTCGGCAATACTCAGATCCTTCGCACTGCTAATCCATGAATGAGTTCGTATAATTATGTCAAGAATCCTAGTCCAGGGTGCCCAGACCCCTCGTCGATGACTTATCTGTCGCACCGGCGGCTGGCTGCTGAACTAATTGTTTGTCTAACGTCAGATGCCTGCAACGCAATCTATTCAATCTACTCCATGTCCCCTTCACCGACTTAGCACAACCTGACTCTTTCTTGAATAAAGCTGGCAAGCAATCCGACTGCTAAAATCATCATCAGACTTTTGGTGGTACAAGGAAGCATCAATCAAGGCATTCTTGCGTCCGGCGGCCGCAAATAACCTGCCTGATCATGGCTTGTGTCGCCCGCCTAGTGTGGATCCATAATCAATACGGTGTCCGCGGGTACTTACTTAAAGGTATCCGTTCATTTGTCGATTATTATTGCATTGCTTCAGGTGAGGTAATTCTGTCACTCTTGGCACTAGTATACACGTGAGCCCTTCATCCCGCTTCTATCATTTCTATTTACCAGCTAGAGTTACATATATAAGTATAGTAAAGTAAGGTATGATGAGATAGTTCGCTATTTAATGTGATACATGACCGTTCATGTTAAGCTTTGAAATTTCAATGAACATGATATAAACATATATGTACTACGAGTGATGCCGTTTTAAGGCCGACGGATGCCTAAGGTTTCGACGGGAATTATTCCATCGAACTTCTTCGGCCCTGTCGAATGGTCGTATCCGCAAACTCTTTCAGCATATTACGTTTCTTCACCTACAGTCTATGCTCCTCTTCCGGCCCCTCTTTCCTGCCCTCGGCTCCTCATGAAAAGATTCACAATAGCATTCCGTACGCCCATCGCCAGACGGTCGATCCTACTACACTCGTCGCTACCACGCCGGTTGCGAACAGCTCACAACCCTTCGCGTCAGTCCTCATTCTTCCACCGGCCACAGATAGCATCTCTCCTTGCCAACGGCTCTCGCATAGATACACAGTCCGCGGGTGTGCCTCCGAACGGTGCCATCACCATCAACGGCTTCGTTCGCTCAATTCGTAAGCAGAAGCGCGTAGCTTTCGCAGCCATTGGCGATGGCTCCTCCCTCAGATCACTACAAGCTGTCTTGACACCGGAGCAGGCAGAAGGGTCAGTCCAACAGTATGCACGGCTGTGAACGCTGGAGCTGTGCTGACTTCCTTCTTATGCAAGACTCTCCACGGGCACTGCAGTCACCATTACCGGTCGATGGCAACCTTCCCCTTCAGGCAAAGAACAATCATATGAGTTGTATGCTCAAGATGTGCGCATTGCCGGTGACAATGATTCTGCCGTGAGTCTCTACCCGGCTGGACCGGGGTCTTTATTGACGCCAGGGTCATGCAGAATCCACTTCAAAAGAAGTACCACTCGCCGGAGTTCCTAAGGACAATTCCCCATCTCAGATCACGTCTACCATTCCACTCACTGCTCTTACGACTTCGCTCTCAATTGATTGGGCACATCACCACTTTCTTCGCTGAACGAGGCTTTACACAAACACATCCTCCATTAATCACATCTAGTGACTGCGAAGGCGCTGGTGAGGTCTTCTCTGTATCACCTTCCATGCAGGAGAGTAGTAGTGGATCCAGCAAAGGTGGTTTGAGCCACTATTTTGGCACGCCGAAGTACCTCACTGTCTCATCACAGTTACACTTAGAGTCATTGGCACAGGCTGTAGGCAGCGTTTGGGCGCTTTCGCCAACGTTTCGTGCTGAGAAGAGTGATACCCCTCGCCATCTCAGTGAATTCTACATGCTCGAAGCTGAGGTCGCCTTCACTGAAGACATCAATGAGATTATGGACATTGTCGAACACCTCATGCGATCTTTGACTAAACAGTTGAAGCATTCCTGGGTTGGCGAAGACTTACTCCTTGCCTGGTCAGATAAAAGAAGTAAGGACAGTAGCGACCAGGGTGTCTCGGGCGAGGTGCTGGGCTTAAGATGGGAAGCTCTGTTGAAAGAGCATTGGCCTCGGATTACCTACCATCGAGCTATCGATATGCTACAGAAAGCGGAAACAAATGGTACCGTCAACTTCGAATTCAAGCCTAGTTTTGGCTCTGGCTTACAAGCCGAGCACGAAAAGTGGCTGACCGGCGACCAAATTGGCGCTGGGGCTTTTGATGGACCAGTTTTTGTCACAGACTATCCGAGAAACATAAAGCCATTCTACATGCTACCCTCGAATGAAAGTACATCAAGCAGGGCTCCTACAGTCGCCTGCTTTGATCTTTTACTCCCGGGGGTCTGCGAAGTAGTCGGGGGTTCTTTGCGTGAGCATCGCCTCGATGAGCTAAAGGCTGCTATGCAGGATCATGGCATGCAAGCGTTCTCAAGCGAAGCCAGCAACATCGACTCTGAAGAAGCCAATCGCTCACAGCCCGCACACGTAAATTCGCTCCAGTGGTACATTGATCTTCGAAGGTATGGTAGTGTGCCACACGGTGGTTTTGGACTCGGCTTCGACCGATTTATATGCTATCTTGCCGGGGTTACGAATATTAGGGACACGGTTCAGTTCCCGCGATGGTACAAGCATTGTGACTGTTAAATATGAGCCATTACGAAACCTCAAGGCTACTCAAATTTCAGAGGCACTTCCACGCTCACATCGAGCGTCTTGAATCACCGACGTATATTTATCGACGGCAATGCCCAAGGGATGTGTTCGTCAATCCTTTGTTTGGACACGAAACAGTCTGAACTGTAGCGTACTAAATTATAGACTGTGCGTCTATATGAACTGTTAATAGCTAATGCACGATGAGAATGAGGTTGTGTTGTTGCCTGCTTCATCTGCTCATTATAATTTACTTGATCTAGCCGATCTGTCGCTGTTCTATAATCCAAACCAAAATTCCGTGGAGATGAGTGAACTTCCATGGTGATACGTATCTACATCCGCTCGGTACCTCTGCGAGCAATCCGGGACGCCAAGCAAGCGCATTAGCTGACGCTAGGTATCGCCAGCAAACAAAAAGCACCCCCAAAATCTCAGGTCAACCTTCACGCATTCCTAATTGAGTCCACATACCACATCCCAATAACATCATCCAGCTGTATTCGTTTCCCAATCTCCGAGGTCAGCCTGAACAGCTCCCAATCTTTAACAGCTCGCCAGCTTGAAATACTCAATTGCTCGCGCGCGCGACTCCAGGAACCACTATTACCTCGGCCTTGAATTTTATGGCCACTCATGAAGGCCTTCCTCTGTCTGAGGAATATGAGTGCGCGACCTGATCAAACTTTCTCACGATTTTGTATGTACTGACTACACACCAGCTATGAGTCTCTACCGTCAAATTTCTCACTGTCAGCGAATATGGTAGCAGGAGCTTTCGCAGGCATCGCCGTAGGTGCCACCATGAACGACATTCCCATTGCGCTAACAATACGTGTCTTTTAGGAACACTCCGTCATGTATCCCATAGATTTGCTCAAGGTACGCTTGGATATGAAATCATTCCGGACCGCTGCTCACCTACACAGACTCGGATGCAAGTCATCAACCCTTCTCCCTCCGCCGTATACTCCGGGATCTCAAATGCGATGGTCACGATATCAAGAGCGGAAGGATTTAGAGCCATGTGGAGGGGTGTGTCAAGTGTCGTTGTCGGTGCTGGTTAGTAACAGGGCACATCAAGAATAGGGCAGTGGTAGCTGATGAGAAGACATAGGTCCTGCGCACGCCGTATATTTCGCGTCATACGAGGCAGTGAAACACGCTCTAGGTGGAAATGAAGGCGGACAAGAAGAGCATCATCCGCTAGCAGCTGGTTCGTTCCTCGAACTCATTCACCAGGTACTCGTAATGACTATTGCAATAGCGGCAAGCGGAGCAGCGGCGACGATAGCAAGTGATGCCTTGATGAACCCTTTTGATGGTACGTAGCCGCCTCTACTTACATATGCTAGCTGACCAATCTCAGTTATCAAGCAGCGCATGCAACTTCATGGATCTGAATATCGATCTCTACCTCAATGCGCCAGGTCAGTCTTTCGCAAAGAAGGTCTAATGGCATTCTACGTTTCGTATCCAACGACTTTATGCATGACAGTCCCTTTCACCGCGCTTCAATTCATGGCATACGAATCCATGTCCAAATTCATGAACCCGACAGGTCGATATGATCCGTACACGCACTGCACCGCTGGTGGGCTGGCTGGCGGCCTTGCCGCCGGGCTAACCACACCTTTAGATGTCATCAAGACACTTCTACAAACAAGAGGTAGTGCAACAGATGTTGAGCTTCGTAATGTGTCAGGCTTATGGCAAGCTGCTGCTGTCATAAATAAACGAGACGGCTTCAAAGGTTTCTTTCGCGGATGGAAGCCGAGAATTATCAGCACCATGCCGAGCACTGCAATATGCTGGTAAGTGACAGTCTGACGATAGGATCTGGCGTTGGCTGATAATCACAGGTCTGCATACGAAATGGCCAAGGCTTTCTTCATTTCGCGCAACGAAGCATGATGGTTTATGCACGTCGATCCCAAATATTAGCCATGGATGTGGCAGCTCCACCAATTCCTAATACTTTTCAAATCTTCCTCGAGCAGTCGCATCTCACCGATTAATCACCACCAGATGCCGAACTAGGTGGCATATCAGGACGTGTTCATTTCAAGTGGACGAATTCGGTTTCAGCATACCTCATATCCATTAATAGGAACAGTTTGGTAGGAATTCTGTTTGATGTGGTATTCACAACATATAGCTTCATATACACAGGATCGGGTTACCAAAACAATAAAAGGGGCGATCTGGAGCAGACGGAGTGCTTCAAGCTGTACGATATATGTACCGGGAGTAGACCGAGCAGCGCAAGACGAATTGTACATAGCTATCTAATGAGCGCTGCCTATCACTGAAACTACCCGCGACCGGCGGTTCGTCACTCTGCTTATTGGATCTGAATCAACAATTATAAAGAGTCTACTGTAGGAACGATATATAAAAACCTAGGTGGTTAGGCTAAGAAACCCTCTGAAAATCACAGAAGTCGTGTTTCACGCATGATCAAACTCAAATAAGGATCCTCACCAGTCAGTCCATGATAACGGGTATCTAGATTTAGACTCAAACGCCGTCCTTCCTCATTTAGCATCCTTCAAGTTCCAGTACGCATCGGCCATGATGTCCGACATTGATGCCCTTTGCAAAGGATCGAGGTTCGTCATCCTCAAAATCAGTCTCTTTACCTCGCTATCGAGGTTGGGAAACGTGTCTGACGACCAGCTATCAAAGGATTCGTTAGTTTCGTCCTCTGATATCGCTTGCCATAGGGCCTTCAAGAGCTCCGCGGATTCAGTATCATTGACGTGTTTCATGAGCGCATCTGGTAAAGGTCCGAAGGCCGAAAGCAACTTGAATAGAATCACCGACTCCGGTTCAACCTCGAGCGTGGCGAAGTCGGCGTGGAGCCATTCAACGCCAGTCATGACATAGAAGCACTGGCACTTCAATCAGCATATCTGTTCTAGCATCGTTGAAGCTCAACTTACAAGGAGTCCGAATGAAAACACCTCGGAATGCTTGCCCACACCCTTTCCTAGTTGGCCTTCTGGACTGCGCCACATCACGTTCCCTATCCTATGGTTGAAGAGCTTCTCATTATCTAGCTTCAAAGCGACATCCAAATCACCTAATGCTACCTTTTGGAGATGAAATTGCCCTTGTTTGTCTATGTGCCAATTAACAAGGACATTATCTGGCTTCACATCTGGCATTATGGTTAGCAGCGCAATAGCAAACGAAGCTCGATGAACGGAATTATACCAAGGTGTATCCAATTCTTTGCATGCATGTCCCTTAGGGCACACCCGACCTCCTGAAGAATTGCCTTGCGTACCTTGAGCGGGAGAGGTGGATAATTCTTCACCAAGGAAAGCACATCGGTGGTGAAACCCTCGTATATAACAACATTTTCCTTATCGTTATAGTCTACGTGGGTTCTCAGGTGATGATTATCGCCAAATTCTTTGCTGAACTCGAGTAAGTGACCAAAGACGGACGACGAGACGGGTTTCAGGACGAAGAATTGGTTATCCGAGCTAGTAGCTTCTTCCCTCTCAGCCTTTGTTTCAATAATGACTGAGAACTGACGATTGGCAAACCCACGTTGCGAGGCGAATATCCAGTTCGGACTTATTAGGATGGGAATGTAGTACTGCGGCTCGTTTGTACTCACGACCAGAACGGCCAATAAGTGTTGATTGCATCCTCGTAGTTATGCGCCGATCAGCCTGACAGCCTACTCGGAGCCGCCGAATATTTGCACAGCGCATTATGGTCACAGTATCGGTCGCGTTGGAGAACGAGACCTGTGATGCGACGCGGGCGTAAACGAGGGTCGAACCACGTCTACACTGATTTAGATGGAATGCGAATAGAAGCTGACGGTCGAATAAGCCAAAAAACGTTCTAATATGTCGCATTCATCGGGTGATGGGAGAGCAACGCTCGAAATATTTGAACACTGCAGCCAGATGAACGACTGACGTTGAGCGCATCGTTTTAGCGGCAGGGGTCGAAAGCTTCAATTTAACTATGCATATTGAAACCTCCAAAGTCACGTGTAGAGAGCATTACGTCACTCGCAGCCTTGTGCCTAACCACCCAACTCTACCGAAACACACGTAACCCTCCCTGTTCGAGTATGTGCAATCCTCACTACACGCGACCGATTACCCAACGATCAAGCGAGGCATTGTGAAAGTGTGCTCTCACGATGCTAATGTCTGTCCTGCGACTTCGCCTCTTGTCTTACGAAGCCATACCCTGAGTGATTGCAAGCGTCCATCACGTCCGTTACAAACAGCTCTGAACACCCTGATCCGACTCCAATGATTCGCAACAAATCATCTTCTGCTATGCAGAAGACCTATGACGACTGCTACTTAATATGTTCAACAGCTGTATACTTCGAAAGCCAGGTGAGATACACGTAAAATATTGTTGTACTCTGCTTATCATGCTTTCTATGGTCATACAGAACAACGAAGCGGAGGCCTTACGTTCGTGGAGGAGCGCCCTTGATCAGATATACTACCACAATGCGTACAAAATACCCTCTAATTATCAGCCGCGATCCGAAACTGAAAAGGCCCTACGAGACTCCTTGCATCAGTTAGAGCTACAGTGCAAAGAAAGAGTTGACCTGTTGGAGGCTCTAAAACAAAGTCGAGAGGACAAAGGAGGCGGAACAGAATCACAGAATACCGTCGGCTGTTTCCCAGCGCCAGCTTTACCTGATAGTTCGCGTCGATCAGACCACTCTGATCAAGTTCAGAGAGGGTGGTTAGGAGGCGGAACTGTACCACCAATGACTTATCCTGATCTATCGAGGCCTCCACTTCCAAAAAGGCCTTCTGTCGCGCCCAGGCAAGTGTCAGGAGCATCGCTGAACGGTGGAGCGGGACCTTTCAGCAACTCCCACGCTGCTAACGCGCCCCCGTTGCTGACTGCCACGACCTCCAAATCAGGTACAGACCAGAGACCTTCTAGAACCCCCAGCCCTGAGAAGAGAGGAAAGATGCTCAGGACCCTCAGGCCTAGTAAAGATGGTTCACGTCCACCGCCGACCCTAGTAAGCACGCTGCGTAGCAAACCGCCTGCTGCCTCCTCGAAGGCCGCAACACAAGCCTGGGGACCCACACAACCACCACCCCCTCTACTCAGCCGTGCCTCGGAATCTGCAAATAGTTCAACAGCCCGTCTTGGCCCCACTCGATCGTCCCTATCTGATGTAGAAAGATCAAGGGCTAACGGCAATATGCCAAGTCAGGGTTCTCGACAGTCGAGTGGCTACTCCCTGCGTCCAAGTATGGGGCTGAAATTACCGGAAATCCCTCCCACGCGAGACAGATCGACTGATACCCATGATCGCCGCGATAGGACATTACAGGCTAGTCTACCTCCTGCTATCGTCAGCCACCCACGTGGCGTCTTGGGTTTACAGCGATCGTCGAATCCCGGCCTATCGAAGCCAGTCAGAAAAGAAGTCCAGCCTCTGTCTTATCGAAAGGAGTATCCGAAGCCAGTGCTTAGACCAGATGTCGAGCATGCCACCAAGTCTACGATGGATACTTCTCAACCTTCGGAGCCAAATGTCTCCTCGCCTATTGGCAAGGGGCGACGAAAAGCCGTACCCCCACTTGGATCATATCCTAGGAGAGGGCCACGCAATCCATCTGAAGACTCTGTCAGCAGTCTAGACATGTCCGGTAAACTGGAGACTATTGCCATAGGAAACCATTCGCAAAGTAGATGTTCAGTATCGTCATCAGACGACCGTGACATGTCTACAGAAGAAACAGCCGCTGAATCTGCAAAATGGCAGGCTGAGACTGAGCGAATACTGAAAACCTTACCTAGGGGTATTGACGAAGCTGCAGCTAAGCAGATCCTTAATGAGATCGTCATACAAGGTGATGAGGTGCATTGGGACGATGTTGCTGGGCTGGACATCGCTAAGGCAGCACTGAAGGAAACTGTAGTATATCCATTCTTGCGACCTGACTTGTTCATGGGTCTTCGGGAACCCGCCCGTGGCATGCTTCTGTTCGGTCCACCTGGGACTGGTAAGACGATGCTCGCGCGTGCGGTTGCGACCGAGTCCAGATCGACATTTTTTGCAATATCCGCTAGCAGTCTGACCAGCAAATTTTTAGGCGAGTCTGAGAAGCTCGTTCGAGCCCTCTTCGCATTAGCAAAAGCCATCGCCCCATCGATCATCTTCGTCGATGAGATTGATTCGCTCCTGTCCTCGAGATCGGGTTCAAGCGAGCACGAGGCAACCAGACGCATCAAGACCGAGTTTTTGATAGCGTGGTCAGATCTCGCCAAAGCCGCCGCAGGTAGGGAGCAGACAGAAAAGGAGAAAGAACGCGGAGACGCAAGCAGGGTACTTGTGTTAGCCGCCACTAATCTCCCATGGGATATCGACGAGGCAGCAAGAAGGCGCTTTGTTCGAAGGCAGTACATTCCTCTGCCTGAAGGACACGTACGAAGAACACAGCTGGAGACGCTACTCAGCCATCAGAAACATGGGTTGTCGCCTGATGACCTGGATGAGCTGATAGACCTAACAGAGGGTAGCCAAATGACTTTGTTGACTCATGCCCAAGACACTTGCTAACCCATAGCAGGGTTCTCCGGTTCTGACATAACTGCGCTCGCGAAAGACGCTGCGATGGGTCCGCTTCGAAGCTTAGGCGAGAAGCTCTTACATATGACGATGGATGAAATAAGGCCCATTCAAATACAGGATTTCAAGGCTAGTCTTGTTACGATACGACCTAGTGTTAGTAAGCAGGGTCTAAAGGAATTTGAGGACTGGGCAAAGGAATTTGGAGAGCGGGGCGGCTGAAGTATGATGAGTACACTATAATGATATTTGTTAGAGACAAGTATAGATAGGTCTACGAAGATATACTTCAGGCGCTTTCATTCGCTGTCCTCTGGCTACGAATCTTCCTATTGATCAATGACTTTGAGGCAACCTAGGAACGCTCTCTATATCTATATACTTATTGGAATTTAAGTCTAGGCTAGCCCTAATTTGATCTCAATTATATTTAAAACTTCTAGTAAAAGATATCCTTATCTAAAGCTAAACATAATGGGAAAGCAAACTAAGATAAGAGGAAGAGAAAGATAATAGTAAAGGAATAATAATACTTAAGATGATAAAGTTCTTTACTTAAGTTTAATTCTAGAAAAGATAACTCTACTATCAATGGAATAAAATCTCGAGCAACTGAGGACGGATATGAAGGAGCACTGTGAACTTGTCTTAGAGGTGTAACCGATTTCGCATCCTTGGAAACATCGAAGCCACATCTGACTCCTCAACAGGTACGACGTTGGAACAGTCACCAACGATAGCAAGTCCCGAAACACCGAATATTGAGCCAGTTACATCGAAGCCTGGAAGATTCGGAGGAAGAGCTGCCAACTCCCATTGGATGACAAGCAGCATCATGATAGAAAGTGCCAGGCAGGTGACACGGAAAGATTAGAACGCCTCTGAAGTTGATAAGCTTGTGACTGTGACCCGAACGGAGTGGATGCAGGATTTCCAGAGTCACAAACTGCTAGTACCAGCAGTATCAGTCCGTAATATAAGAATTACCAAACACGTGCCCCTTCTCTGCGATCAAGTCGTATTTCCATCTTATTTAATCTAAGTCCATAATAGACTATAAAATATCAAGGCACATGTAGAACATTATCTTCTATTATATGAATTATGAGAATATCCAATCAAGGACTTCAATTAAGTTATAATATCATACCTCTATGGTTCTCTCTATACCCTTTATACTTAGAAGAGTCGGTCTATAAGTAAAAAATTGGATTAATTATTGTGTAAACCAAGACTTTGATTTGGTATATTACAGGGACCTATAATCGACAAGATTATGACCAAGAAAGCTGGTTGTATGTCTAATTAGTTTCAACATGCCAAAGAGTCTATCTCAAACCAGCTCGACCAGCCTTGAAACGATGTGCGATAGGATCAGTCGATCCCTTGTTGTCATAAGCACCCAAGGCATCCCCCTTTGTCCACCCCATCTTCTCCAACATAGCTCGACCTCTATTGTCTTGTCCAATCTCGGGTGCTTTCGAGCCCACGATCTCCCCGGTCGAGTACGTAGCCCCATGTACGAGCTGGTCCTTGTGCTTCCCAACTGGGTCTTTAAAAGCTCGCATACCACGCTTCACACTACGACCCAAACCCTCTAGACGTGGTCTCATGTCCGAATGAAAAAATTTCCGTTGCACTTGACTAAGCTTCCGTGAGTACTCATCGTGATTGGCATCAATGGTCCAAGAGTTTTTGGTGACGGTCAACTGGCGATTCCCAGCCCGTTCACTGCCTCTCGACGTAGATTCCAATTCGAACATCTGGCTAGCGCTATGGACGAAGATACGCTCCGTCTTCGACAGCGTCGCTGGAAAGGTATAGCTGACAATATTAACTAATGAACAACAAAAGAATGGTGGCACACGTACAACGACTCAGAGGAACAGAGGAATTTTTCGATGGCGGTCTTCAGTTCACTCCACGAAGGGGGCTCTTCCGATCGACTCTGCTCTATCTTGAACTTGTTCTTCTTTTTTCCAATGAGACCTTCTTTATGCATCTGCTGTCGTTCGATCCTCTTCAGACTCTTCTTCTTCCTATCATCCTCCCAAGATGCCTGGATTTGAGCTGCCAGTTCCTCGTCTGATAAATCTAAGGCAGGGTCGCTACGGCGACCCTTTTTCTTCGGCTTCAGACTAGGTCTCTCGAAGTCCATGACGTCAAATGCGTTGTATGGATCCTCATCAAGCATGTCTGCCATCAGAGATGCATCTGGAAAGAAGCCAACTCTCTGCCGTCTTTTATTGCTTCTACCACTAGAAGCTTTGTTGGCAAGGATTACGTTGCTTTTGGATGTATGGTCAGAAATGGCCCTGCTACCGAAGACATCGTCGAAAAGCACGATTTCGTCGGTATCAAGTCCGAGCGATTGCTGCACCGATAGGATCCTGGCAAGACCTTCATCCGACAGGCTCTCAATGTGGCGCCCTGTAGATGTATCCTCATACTCTAGGTCATCCAAGTCCAAGTCGACCGAGCCATCGACGTCATCGTCAGAGCCTGCAGCCTCATATTCAGACTGTCTTCCCTGAGTATCGCTATCAGTACTTTCCGAGACGAGCTGCCGTGCGAGCGTTTCATCATGCTCCTGCTCATACGTTCTGACCAGAACAATTTCAGCGGGCCGGTTCAGATGCGAAGAGTGTAACCAACAGGCATCATCGACCCCAGATTCTTCATAGACCACGAGATACTGCACACCACTAGGCCGAATACGCTTGTTCAAAATCCGTACCACATCCCCACTAACATCTGAAGACGTACTTATATCATCCAGATCGCGTATTGTCGTCTCATTCCAACCATCCAGGGCTGTAGATTCATGATTACCTGCAGAAAAGTTGACAGTCTTTGTGTCACTGGGTTGAACGGACTTCGTCACCATCGGAGTGTCATCCGAATCATCATCATGGGCTTGTATATTCTCAATGTAATCTCGAACTGCGTCCTGCTGAGCCTTATATTCCGCTAGGACACGGGTCTGCTCGAGTCTTCGAATATCTTCCCTCCTAGCAGACCGCTTTGTCTTTCGCTGTTTCTCTGCAAAGATGTAGTCATTCGCCCAGCCAACACCAGGTGTGCTCCTATGTTCCCAGGGTGTTGACCCGACATCCCATGATTGGGTATCTCCCTCTCGGACATTGAAGGCTCTGTCAATAGACACGCACTTGTTCTCATCATATTTCGAATACTGTACCATGTCTCCAGACGTGGGCACGGTTTTTTGTCGTGGTGGAAGAGGTGCTGAGACTGATGTGTGACCCCGTCCCTTGAACACGACGATGTCTTCACTCGAGTCCGATGCTGCTGGCGTCGGACTACGCGAAAGGATAGTGTCCATGGTGTCATCTCGACTTTGTAAAGCTATATTATTGGCAATGCACCTCTCCTCGATGACTTCCTGGCGCGACGAGCCATGGGAAGCAGTCGATGCATCAGCAGCTGAAGCAGAAACCACAGGCGCGAGCGAAGACGCAGAGTGGCGGATGACTAATGGCGATGTTCGAGAATGCAAAGGGTGCCGTAGTCTTACTGGTTTCTCGGGAGGTGAGATACTCAGCTGAGACATTGATCCGCTTGGGCCAGACACATTGGCTGGATCAGTACACAAAGAAATATTGGGACCTTCATTCTCCTTCGTGTTGGCAGCCTTTTCGTCTTGCGTGTTTGCAGCTTCGTCCAACACACCGGCCATTACAAAGGGAACAGTCCGATGTCGTAATTTTGTGTCCTGAGACCAGTAGTGTTGTTGCCTTTCAGTGTTCGATACCTCATCGTGCAACGAGAACGAGTGAGGGTTTCCTGGGTCACGATGAATTCACAGTTACAAATATTTTCCATCGGTACTTACGTGGTGTAGCTCTACCACGACTGAACGACCTTCCGCCGCCACGGCCTCTTTGTCCGCCACGGCCTCTTTGTCCGCCACGGCCTCTTTGTCCGCCACGAACCATGCCCGCGAAATAGATGAACTGCAACAAAACCGAGCCAAAGTAGAAGACCAAGTGGCTGTTGTGAAGCGAGGAGACACGGTGTTTGAGAAAACAGCGAGGTCAGTTGGTTGTGGTCATTGAAGTGCAAGTGGCGTTCAAGCTTTTTAACCCTTGTAGCTCAGATGGCTGTTGACGTTTAAGTTAGGATTTGCCATTAATTAATTGACAGCGGCGAGTAAAGCTACCCAAACCACCCCACCAAAGTCTGCCTCAGGCACACAGCTCTCTGCTAGGCTCTAGCCAGGGTGTGACCAACGACGTCCTCCAGAGCAGGCTGCTTAATACCGCCTGTAATTAACACTCCCGCTGTAATAGCTCTAATGATACCTATACCATTTACCTTGTGACGACGGCGAGCGTGATCTCCATCCTACTCCTTCCACACCAAACATCTTTATACACTGGCAAACAACATCGAGAGCAGCTCCAAAGCTATCCTACAGACTACAGTTCTGCCTTACCTGTTCGATAGCTCGTACTGAACATGCGCCTTCTGCTTCAAACATACCACTAAGTTCACCTGTACACTCACTTGGGCCTCGGCGATTCCTTCCTGCTCAGCCACTAAGCTAAACCTTGTCGTTATTCACACATGGAGGATTTGGGTCGATACAGCAAACGCATCGTCCAGCGGCTCTGGAATCCTGCGCCAAAGTATGATGACCAGTCACCCATCTGGTGCCTGGGGCAGATTTACAGAACCGATGAGTTCAAATCCGAACTTCCTGAGCCTGTGCAGGCCTCGACACCAGGCTCTACGGTATCCTACACCTCTCAGACCTCGTCATTTGTCGCCGTCGATAACGAATCATACGAAGATGAAAGAGCAAACCCTCTTAAGGATAACACCCAAAATGATGATGATGGGGGTTGGCCGACAGCCTTTCTGGACGACTTCGAAGCTAAAATATGGCTAACGTATCGCTCGAACTTCCAACCTATCCCGAAGTCTCAAGACCCGAAAGCATTGGCTAGCATGAGCCTGGCTGTACGAATAAAGAACCTGAATCAAGATGGGTTTACGTCGGATACAGGCTGGGGATGTATGATCCGGTCAGGTCAAAGCATATTGGCTAATGCACTCCTGATACTGAACCTTGGAAGAAAATGGAGAAGAGGTGCCACGCCAAATGAAGAACGGAAGCTCCTCTCGTTGTTCGCAGATGATCCGAGTGCACCATTCTCCGTGCATCGATTTGTAGAGTACGGTGCAGCTGCTTGCGGCAAGCACCCCGGAGAATGGTTTGGTCCATCAGCTGCAGCACGATCTATACAGTAAGCTTTTGTCTGGAGGTGGAATTTACGACTGATCATAGTTCAGACATCTGGCCAACAGCTACACAGAGTGCCAGTTGCGCGTGTATATCACCTGCGATAGTGCCGATGTATACGAAGATAGCTTCTTCAACGTTGCTAAGTCTGCAGGTGCATTTCATCCTACGCTCGTTCTGGTCAGCATACGACTAGGAATAGACCGAGTAACACCAGTATATTGGGAGGCACTCAAGAACGCTCTACAGATGCCACAGTCCATCGGTATTGCAGGGTATGCGAAACAATCCATCGTGCTTGGCCGAATTTCCCCTTTCCTGACACATCACAGAGGTCGCCCTGCCGCATCCCACTACTTCGTCGGCATGCAAAGCCAGACATTGTTCTACCTTGATCCTCATCACACGCGGCCGCTCCTACCTTTCCATGTCGATCCTTCGCAATATACACGGGAAGATGTGGATTCCTGTCACACTCGGCGGATCCGGCGACTAAATGTCCCAGAAATGGATCCTTCCATGCTCATCGCCTTCCTTATCAAAGACGAAGACGACTGGAAACTATGGCGCCATGACATCGCCTGCGTCCAAGGGAAACCGATCGTACACGTAGCTGACACTGAGCCTCCGACGCTATGGACTGGTGATGAACGTGAACGTGCGATTGACGATGTTCAAACTTTTGACGATACCGATGAAGAGGGACTTTGATAGAAATCGACAAGAATAATCCGATTATCAAAACACGCACCAATGCAGCACAGCGGATAATTGTTTAATTTGTGATATCGCGCCACAGTGCGCATGTCGCTTACCAATAGTTTGTGCTCGACTGACAACACAAGTGTCAGTAAAATATACGCATATACTCACCTCAGCTCCACGAAAAAAAGAACAGCATGAGAATAATCTGTAAATCACACCCAACACACAACTCTCACCGAGCAGATACGCAGAAGATGACACGCAATGGAGTAGTAAAAGAGCTTTCATTCCTTACGAGTCCTGTCCCGTATAATATACAGCCTATGCGGCGATCCAGATATCAATGAGATATGCCAGGATCTCTGCGAAACAAGCAAACCAACCCATAAAGCATTATTGAAACCATTGACTCCTCATCCCAACCCCGAATGCTCTTCCTGAAACACATCAGGACTGTAAACCCAAAAGAAGTAAACCCAACATCAAACAATCTTCTATTTCGTGGATGACGAGTACTTGGTGACTGCTTTGGTACCCTCAGAGACAGCGTGTTTGGCTAATTCACCGGGCAGAATCAACCGTACACTGCAGATGTTAGAAAGTGATTCCTGAGTGGGTTGAGGGTAGCTTACGAGGTCTGGATTTCACGCGACGAGATCGTTGACTTCTTATTATATGCAGCGAGCTTAGAGGCTTCGGTAGCAACGCGCTCGAAGATATCGTTGACGAATGAGTTGAGAATGGACATCGCGCGGTTCGAAATACCAGTATCGGGGTGAACCTGTTTGAGAACTGCCGAACGAATGTTTAGTTAATAAAGCCAAAAGACGAATATACAGGGTAGAATCCGAGCTAGCCCTGAGTGAGATTTTTGCGTTGAGTAACTCACCTTTGTAGATGTAGGACGAATAAGTTTCCTTTCTGGTCTTGGTGCGCTTCTTCTTTTCGCCCGATGGAGCGGCCGTCTTTTTGCCAGCTTCCTTCTTCTCGGCGGGAGCTTTACCGGCAGGCGCTTTGCCACCTGTGGTGGGAGTCTTGGTAGCTTTGGGTGCCATTTCAAATTTTTGGAATTGTGAGGATGGACAAGTCCGGTACGTTCGAGATGGTTAATGGATGAGCTGCGTTGTAACGTGAGATGGGCTTGATGAAAGAGAGATGAAGGGAACAGGTCGTCAAAGGTGGGCGACGCGCCTACTTATGGAGCTTGGGCAGAAGGTGCATTGGGGGGAATCGAAACAGACAGAGGTGTCGTGGAGCTAACCTAATATGTACTACGGCGGCGATAAGTCAACAAACCTGCGCGTCGGTCGCGACTGGCCTCTTATCCCCCGACGTGCCTGCTAACTTACGAGCTAATAGCTAGCCTGCGCAAAAGTAGTGTCCTCGATGGCACTTACCCACTTCAGGCAGGGTCTGTGCACCGCAACTACTTCGGTATGCCTTCTACCAAGCTTTGATGGGGACGAAGCGCGCCCTGGCAAGTGAGTGATGCGCCTAACCATAACAACCGAGCGCGATGTCCTTATAATCTGCTACCGCCCCTCACCGTAGTCAACCTTTCTCCTTCTCTCCATCTTCGATTATCCGTCAACGACCGCATCTCGTCAGCTCACCACATCTCTAACGTCCTCAACCCACCCAAAACCCGTTTTCGAACCCGAAACTTTCAACTCTCTCAAAATGACTGGCGGCAAATCCGGTGGTAAGGCCTCAGGCTCCAAGAGCTCCGCTCAATCGTATGTACTTCCTTCGTTCGCCTCAGCCTCATTGCTTTCAAATGGGGCTCATACGAGATTCGGTCTACAATCATAATTTACAGCTTGATCTAATCTCTAACTCTAGTCGCTCGTCTAAAGCCGGTCTGGCTTTCCCCGTCGGTCGTGTTCATCGTTTGTTGAGGAAAGGCAACTACGCTCAGCGTGTTGGTGCTGGTGCTCCTGTTTATCTCGCGGCTGTTCTCGAATACCTTGCTGCTGAAATTCTCGAGCTCGCTGGTAACGCCGCTCGTGATAACAAGAAGACGCGTATCATTCCTCGTCATCTTCAGTTAGCTATCCGCAATGACGAGGAGTTGAACAAGCTACTTGGGCATGTCACTATTGCACAGGGTGGTGTTCTGCCAAACATTCATCAAAGTACGTTATTCAATTCGTCAAATCAGTGTCGATGCTTATGTTTTTCCAGACCTTCTTCCCAAGAAGACTGCCAAGGCAGGCAAGGGCCCTTCGCAAGAATTGTAGACTTGTTTTGTTTGATGTTTTATGGGCGCGGCTTGGTGTTTCATGCAATGATAACGGGGTTCGGTTGGGTCTTGGGTTTACGGTCTTCATATCGTACTGCATAATAGCAGTAGGGCTGTATATTACTTCCATAATCATGGATGAAATCTGATGAGATTAACACATTCGTCCTTTGTGGACTTAACCGTGCCTGATTTGCGTTTTTCAACTAATCGCCACTAATGCGCCATGTATTCCAAGTAAGCATAAGGTTTTTACATAGCAAGACAGGTTGTCAAGATTATTATCATTGAATGCGATGCAAGAATCTCCAGGAAACCGTCGACAAATCTAGGAGCATTACCCTCAGTATACAAATTGGTAGATATGGAGAACCTGTCAGTCGGTAAGTCCAATTTGATAATTGCATCAATACATCGATCAGCTATATCTATGTTTGGACAGCCTGCGCAATTTATATGAATCGTCTGCGAGCGAGCTATTTTCCTAAGCCTTCTAGTTTGGCTCCACTAACAACATCAAAGTGACATTTTCGGGGGCGCTGTAGGGGTTAGCCTGCGTTGATAACATCAGTGATACTGACTTACGATCGAGTATTGGTGCTGGTATATTCCTCTCGTATTTAGAACCTAACATGATGAGCGATTGGCTTTGGTTCGAGGTTTTGCATCAAGGGTCTCATACCTCCTGGTGCTGTTGGGGGCCTGTATGGGTCAGGATGCTTCCATTTTTCAAGCAAACCTTCCGTCTCCTGAATCAAAGCCTGTGAATCATTGGTCAGCCTGTGCTTTTTACTCTTCCTTGCTATGGGCCACCTGCCTTCTGTTGTCTCGGCTCAGTAATGTGTTTGTTGTTTTCGAATAGCGAACGAATGTACAAGGCCTGACCCCGCCATAGATATCTGTGAACAGCCCAGTCAAGTGACAGCTTCAACGAGCGACGGTAGAGTGACCTGGTAGACGTGTCAAATCGATGTTACAGTGCAAGTATGAGGGCTTGGGTGAGAGAGATCGAGGTACTGACAGCACCGTCTGCTTTGTCGACATCCTTGGAACTAAGCCTTCACTGTCGTTGGTGTACAGTTATAGGTCTCGAAGAAGAAGATTTATGACTATCGGGTATTGACTGCGATTCGTCCAGAAGTGTAGCTGGGTGTTTGATGGTAGACATAGAGAGTAAGGTAGCCGTGGAGTTCCCGGTGAAGCTGCTCGGATCGCGCTAATATTTCAGGTCCGCTGCCGCGCCGCCACGCTAGGCTCCGCGTGGTTTTCGGCAGCGTCTCAAACAGCTACATCGCCATTGAAGCGCCGCGTTAGCTGTACTTTGTGTCCCTCTTCTTCTTCTTCTTCTTCTTCTTCTTCCTCTCTCTACCATATCGCTACAGCTGAAGAGCAGCTTCTCATAGCCTGTGATGTCAAGTCAACAGTGCTTTCGCCGCCTGCCAGGCATGCGAGGTCTTCGACCGTCGTCGCGTCCATTAACAGCTCGTGCTTGCTTACCACCCGCCTGCTCAAGACATTTTTCCGCAATCGGCCGTTCAATCTCGTCGGGTTTGATATCCATGACGCCAAAGTAGACGCTACCATCATCGGCTGGTGAATGTGGTCATGCTAATGTTAAGTAGAAGGCTACAACACTTCTCCCAAAGCGTTAGTTCCTACCAGTTTCGAACATATGGTATGCTGTCGCACTATGTATCCATGCATCATAGCTCATTATCCTTCGCAGCAGAGAAGATTGTGAAGGTACCTCAGATGGCAGAGTCAATCACGGAAGGCACATTGAAGCAGTTTTCGAAACGTACGTGCACGTTTACAAACAACTGTTCTCCATCATCTGACAGACGATGCAGAGGTTGGAGACTATGTTGAGCAGGATGAGGAAATTGCGACCATTGAAACAGATAAGGTTCGTCAGATGCTATTGGCTGATGAACTATTTGGGTTGACGCTGGGGATAGATCGATGTTTCTGTAAATGCCCCGGAATCCGGAACAATCAAGGAGTTCCTGGTCAACGAAGAAGACACCGTTACTGTTGGTCAAGATATCGTGAAGATGGAACCTGGAGGGGACCCTCCGAGTGGCGGTAGAGAAGAGGCCGGGCAGAGTCCAAAGGAGAGCGCATCAAGAGACCAAGAGACAGCTTCACAGCCAAAAGGCGAACAGGAGCAGCAAAAAACCGAGGATATCTCACCAAAATCTTCCGGAGAAAAGATGCCAGAGCCATCGAAACAAGAAAAGGTATCTCAATCCAGTCAGCTAAATAATCAAGAGCCACCCAAAAAACAGCAAGCATCGTCGTCTAAGGAATATGAGACAAGAAAATCCGATTCGGCATTTGGGAGTCGAGAGGAACGGCGTGTGAAGATGAACAGGATGCGTCTACGTATCTCGGAAAGATTGAAGCAGTCTCAGAACACCGCCGCCTCACTCACCACGTTTAACGAGGTTGATATGTCTTCTCTCATGGACCTAAGGAAGCTATATAAGGATGAGATTCTCAAGAAGACAGGCGTCAAACTTGGCTTCATGAGTGCCTTTTCGCGTGCTTGTATTTTGGCAATGAAGGATCTACCGGCTGTGAACGCCTCCATTGAGGGACCAAATGGCGGTGACACTATTGTGTATCGCGACTATGTCGATATTAGTGTCGCAGTGGCTACTGAAAAGGGTCTCGTCACCCCGGTCGTGCGCAACGCCGAGTCTTTAGATCTAGTTGGCATTGAGCAATCCATTGCAGACCTCGGAAAGAAGGTATGTGAAACCCGAACGATGAATTACACATCCTAACTTTGATAGGCTCGTGACAACAAGTTAACCATCGAAGACATGGCCGGAGGTACATTCACTATTAGCAACGTAAGTCCTACATGTCTGGATTTGTAAGTCTGGGCTGATCACATCAGGGTGGTGTCTTCGGTTCGCTCATGGGTACTCCTATCATCAATCTTCCACAGACCGGTAAGCCATGCTGTGTGTCACATGTCAGGTTTGACAACTGACTTGTCATAGCTGTTCTTGGTTTGCATGCTATCAAGGAGAAGCCGGTCGCAATCGACGGAAAGGTGGAGATTCGGCCAATGATGTACCTCGCGCTCACTTACGATCATCGCCTCCTTGATGGTCGTGAAGCAGTAACTTTCTTAGTCAAGGCATGGTAATTCCATCGGTTGAGAGCATATTAGACTAACTCGTGTATAGGTCAAAGAATATATTGAGGACCCAAGGCGTATGCTACTAGGATAAGGTGGACAAAGAATAAATCAGCCCTAATGTATTAGTTATTCTATATAAGACTTATATTCTATACTACTTAAAAGATATTCTAACTAGTAGAGTTATTAAAGGTTCTACTATAGGAAAAGTATAATAATAATAATATACTAGGGTAGCCTGCGACTAGTAGGCTGTAGATAGCCTGCGACTAGTAGGCTGTAGATAGCCTACGACTAGTAGGCTGTAGATAGCCTGCGACTAGTAGGCTGTAGGTAGCCTTAAATTAAGGCTACTTTTCTAGGGTTTAAAAGGTATTAGTATTATAGAGTATAGTATTATAGAGTATAGTATTATAGAGTAGAGTCTTATAGATAGAGAATATTATATAATATATATATAGTCTTAGAATATAACTAAACTAGAGTATTATAAGTTCTTAGTAATAGATCTAAAATATTATTACTTACTTATAAGTAGATAGCTAATAGATAGTCTTTATCTATTATAGAAAGAAAATAGTAGCTAATAAGAAAATTCTCTACTATAGATAGAATATAAGAGTTTAAAAAGGGTATATATAAAATAGATATATATAATACCCTTAGAAGGATAGGTAGTATAGAAGGTATCTTAAATGAATAAGACTAAGGGATATAATATATAGTATATAAAGTATATTTAATTAAAAGGCTTAAAGAGACAACTATCTATGGCTATAGGAATGTCTATATATATATAATTTACGTGCGTTATTATTAAGAATCGATAATATATATTAAATAGTATACTAAATACTAATAGTATTCTATAACTATCCGATTTAGTCCATTTTAGTACGCTAAGAGTTAATATATTAATTAATATATTATCTCTATCCAT